AGGATAAATCGCATAGTTTATAGTAAACTGGAATCTGCTTGGCTCGCATTTAAATTTGAGTATGATGTCTTCTTGTACTTGAAGAGCATTCCACTGAAGAGTTTTTATTTCATCCAAACATTTATCAGAGATGTAGTAGGATAAACACACAGTAGATGTTGATTCAAAATCGATATTTTTGTAATTCAGTCCTGAATTTCAAAGTTTTCACTTGGTATAAATAAGAGAAAATAATATAAAAAAAATGTATTTTTGCGAAATTGAAACTAGTTCGGCAAAGTAGGTGTAATCAATTATTTTACTTTTTATTCATTTTAATAAATTAATGTCATATTTATTCTGTTTACCTTCTCCTTCGATACAGAGTAAATCAGAATTTCCAACGCCATAATTTTTCTAAATATTCAATACAAGTAATTTGTCATTTGTGGTATAATATCCATCGATTATCAACCGAAATCTCCATGAACATATTTTGTCTTTGCATTCATCCCGTTTTGACGGGCTCATTATTGTTCCTGATTCGTACTTAATTGAACTCCCATCTGCGCAGGTGCTAGCTCTTGAACACGATATCAAACCTGAAATAAGAGTTTTATTGCCCAAAATCAGAAACCGCTGAAACCCGCTAGTATGGTGTTAGTCAATATTACCAATTCACTTAGTATTTATAAGTAATATACAATAGTGCATTAGCTTAGTATTTATTTCCTTGTCATAAATCATGATATAGAGCTCTTTTTCAGTTTAATTACTAGTTTACAATACCAACTCAAGAACATATAGAGCGCCCCCGTTTTAAAATGTATCACGTCTCGCGCCCACCTTAAAAATAATGAGCTAACAATAAGCTACAAATAACAGATATTCAGACGAAAGTTTTATTTAAAAAACAAATTGAAAATACGTGGATGGAATCGCAATCTCTAAACAAAGAAATCTAAATATTCAAAATAAGGCGGGCAAAATCAAATCTAACAAATATTTTTAATTTTATTTTGCTTCACGCCCCTCAAAAATTTGTCTACCCCCTGGTACGGGGCACGTTCCACCGTTAGAAAACCACCGGTATAGAGCATAAGAAGATAAAAGTCAAAAAAACATAAGTGTTTGATTGGGTATAAAAAAAAATTGTGGCAATAATTTTATTTATATTTCCCAACAAAAACTTTAAATTCATTAATTTCAAGTATTTTGTTGCTGATTTAAAAAAAAATTATTACTTTATTGAAATGGGTTTGTTACAGATTGTTCACGCTTGAAGAGAACTGATTATCGCTTATATATATGCTGAAGCATAACAAATTGAAATTGGTGAAAAGTGATTTTTCATTTGACTTTCAATAATTCAATGCACGCGCACTACATAAAAATAGTCGAACAAATTAATTCAAAATATAATAGTTATATAATTTTGTAATAATAATGTTTCGATTCAAACTTCACATTGTAGTTGGGATAGTTTCGATTTTTTATAAATACAGAAAAGTAGTTTGATTAATTGTATTGTAATGAAATTGCACTTACTGCAGTTACTCACCAAGGAATACCAGAATACATCCAATCAAACAGTGCATATTTTGATTATCAATGCTTGCCTACAGCTATCATGTAAAGTAACGATGAATAATAATTTTCATTCTCTATAAGAAACGTTTACACTTTGATGCGCATGATTCGCATATCACCCTTGCACTAAAATGGAAAGAATATAACAGCTCATATATAAGAAAATGGCTTTTGCTTAGATATTTCCTATGGAAATTACCTATACACTTTGAATGACGCTTTAGAACGTTGAAATATTATGAAACAAAATGCCAGTAAAAAACGATAAATCTCATTTCACTTGCGTTGCTTCCTGTATCAATTGAATAGAAACTACTTGAGGTATTCTTTTACTTGTTTCCTACCTGGAACAAATATACTCATTGGTAATATGATTGCCACTAACGCATATCGGGAATGAAAGTGCTCGCATTATGAATGTTTGCCATACATTGGATTTTGCATAAAAAAAAAAAACGATTTATACTACAGAAATATCTTTGAGACAAAAATTGTTTCTATTTTTTTGTAAATTGAAGCGCTTCATTTCATAAAGAGCTCAGTCATAAAACAAATGCAATAAAATAATATGATACGCTCAAATATATCTTTGAACAGAAGTGCACACAATATGGCTCGATGAACTTCTTACAATTTGAATTGTCTTTGTTTGAACAAAAAGTATTGATAATTCTCATCATAGTAAAACATTATAGTTTCTAATATGTAGGATTTCCTTCAGCGCCGTGAATTAAAACAGGGACACATTTAGATATTTGACTTTATTAAAACTTTTTTAGACATGCAACATATCTATCTGCTAGTGAAACTATCATCAAATCTCAATTGCAGCAATCCACACCTAATGGAAGATTTTGTTGAGCAATATTGATTCCTGGAAGGCTAGAAATAGAAAGTTCAGCAAGTTTAAAAATAATTAGATGTGCGACACCTTTAAACATGAATATTTATGGATATTATATTAAAATGTGGTCTTTTGAACTTTCGATTTACTGTCGGTGAACCCACAATGCAATTATATAAGAACATGTTTTACACTACCTCATGCTTGCTTTTATGTTCGTATCGAGCTGAACTGCTTCACTGTATTCTACTAAATTAATATTAAAGTTTCAGCAGCTCTTGGCACATCAGTGGTGGACCATAATGTTGCGCCGCAGAGTCCTGCTAAAATTGAAAAAAAAAACGTTCTGAAAATAAGATACACATTTATTACAACCACTTTTGATACTCTTTTTATAAAAAGTTTGGAAATTTTAGAATCATTGCAGGTAAGGTACACAAATGTGGTACCCATATTCTATGCACCTCTACTCGTAAATTTCTCGTATGCTTACCCTCATCTGGAGCGCAACAAGTTGACTGCAGTTCAAATCACACATGATATTATCAGTATGTGACATTACCTTTTTATCAAAATGTTTGTTATTATTATTGTATTTCAAATATTTGAATTAATCAAGAACTATTTTCTTAATCACACTTCATATTCACACTCTGGAGTTTCTTCATGCAATGTTGATAACCGTTATGCTTATTTTCGGAATCTGTTGTTCCAGCTTCCATATGAGAACTTCCAATGAACCAAAATATCACAATGGATTTTGCTTCTATGTACTAAATAGCATTACCCAATGCACCACATGCGCAAGTGCGCAAATTTAAAAAAAAACTCTTACACTCTTTCTGTTTCGATGCGTCAATTTGTATTGTAGGATTATATTGTATGAAGAGACACTATCATTCAAGTCAATACTTTATGCGTCTTATAATTGTGACGGCAGTCAACACTGTTGAAAAATAGCATCGAGATTCATTCTTTATGTATGTCATATCCTCCTTATAGTCCTCTTAAAATCTATTATCATATATCGCTAAATTGCTCAAAATTGTACTCAATAGGTACATTTGAATAAAGAATAGATATTTTGTTAGCGTAAGTGTTCATTAATAAATGGCTGTTGTTATAGCTAAGCACAAGCACATTTATTTCAATGTTTTGAAATTTTTTATATATTTAAAATTTATTATCTTCTTTATGTCATATTTTGAATAAAATACCAAAGAGACATAAGTATTAGTATGTGACAGTAATTTTTCATTAAAAATATTTGTCATAGTTTGACCCCTGCAATATTGAATTTTATATATTTTATTTTTGCTGTTATTTGTATTTATGATGTATATTGGTTCAGCCTCTATATGCGAATATTCATTCTATGAACTAAAAAATCTCATTGAATTTTATTTCTATATACCAAATATCAATACACACTATAAAAATATTAATCGCCAATGTGAAAAATCACTAATACTATTACACTTTTTCTGTTTTGATGCATCAGTTTGCATTGTACCCTTGCAGATATAATGCCATTCTTTGATGCTGAGTCATATGTAACCATGAAGCCAGTGGCTATGTGTACTAAAAATCGTGTATCAGAGTTTGTAATTGTATGCCTTCGCAACAAACGTACCGTGTGTTATATCTGGTATCTGGTATGAAAAGGTGCTGTTCTCATCCCAAAGATATTAAAATAATTAAACGTGATAGTTGATTTCATATTACCTAAAATTTGCAAAATAAAGAAATTTTCGGCTCGTCATAAGTTGGGACATTTTCGTCATGATTAAAAGAACGATCTCCACATTCAGATACACTATTAGTAGAGCGAGCTTCAACAAGACTCTACGCGTTTTGCTGTTTCTTGTTTTGAATCACGTTCACGAAGGACCATGTTAACATGTTTATACACAGTTCACGAAACACAAATGTATTTGTAGTTTATCTGCCATTCGATTATTTTTCGGGACGTAACAATATATTACACCAAAAAGTTATGGCTAATAGAAAATGATTTGAGGCGATACCGCCGAAGTGATCATAGAAAAATGTACTAAAAATGAAGTAGATAGGTATTGGAATTGATACGGAATTCCATTTAAGCTGTTTTTGCGATTTTTGGTGTGACTTAGTAGGCAAAGCAGTTTAGCTCCATAAATAAACTGTGTCATAATAATGAGTAATATGTATATATATATATATATATATATATATATATATGTGTGAGTGTTCATCTATAAACACTAATTTTGTAAAATAGTTATTACATGATATTTTAAACGTGAAGCCCTTAATACATTTTTAATTAAGCCAGATTATAATGAAAAATTGAAAACGAACTTAAGCTTAAATTACATATAATAACTAGGTTGATAAAAAAATAAAGCAGAGCCGAGGTAATTATGTATAATCAAGTGCAAAATGTTGGACAATTACTACTATAGAACATTTAGAAACTAGTCAAGTTTGAACAACTGTTAGATTATGTGCCCGAGGCACCGTATTCGTTCCATACATGCGTGGCTTTAACGTCAGCTTCTGTAACGGAAAGCAGTCCATAATAACATAGTTTGGTTGTTATCTTTGATCAAAATTAAAATTGCTAATTGTAGTAGTTGAAATATATTAGTTTTTAGCGTCTACAAAAATGAATTCATTTGTTAAATATTGTCAGTTTATTTACAATTAAAATTGTTTTTAGTATAATGAACAACAGTTATGATGGCAATTCGTCAACAGTATATTTGACATCAATCGGATATAATGGGATTGAAATAGCTTTTGATATTAAAAACAATACTGAAGACTATGTGAATGAAACATTGACAAATTTTACAACATCTGAAGTCGAGGAAGCATTATATTTTTATGGAAAAAATGAACTTTCTTGGATTACTAACATATTGGCAACGTCTATATACTTAGCTATTGGCTTTTACATATTTGGAGTGTTAACAATAGGAATGCAAAAGCGTATTGATAAAAGAAAAACAAAGGAAAGCACTGCAAAACGAATTGGCAAACTCATGGTAATAATGAGATATATATTGACTATTTGTTTTTTGATAAACTGTCTTTCCAACCTTGTAGAAAAATTCGTCGTAGAGAAATATGAACCACAAATATGTCCAGTGACAAAATATTCGAAAACTTTATCAGGCGTATTGGTGCTTTCTATCAGTTATTTTGTTCTATGGTTGCGACAAAGACTGTTGTATGAAAACAAAAACATTGAACATTTAACAACAGGTTTATCCAGGGCATTGAGTGTAGTTGTTTTGGTTTTCATATTGGCGACTGCTGTTGGCAACCCAACTGCTTATATAGCTGGATATCGTATCGACATGTCGCAATATGGTTGCGCTGTTGTTCAATCATGGTTACCAAATGGGTCTATGTGGATTGGATTCGCCGTATGTTCTATGGTAATGCAAGCAACGTTACTGTATCTTTTTCTGCAACCTTTGGTAAGACATAGAAGAAACGTAGGCGGAGCCGCTGATAATTTGATGCCTTATTAAAACGTGCATTTGCTTCAGCATTGATCTGCGCTATATCGGATATAGGTATATCCCTCACGATTATGTTCATAAAGAACTCTTTAATATCTACCCAGCTAATGCAATTGAGCTTATTAATCAATGTTTGTATGGCAATCGTTTCTTTTCCAAACTGGAAGGAAACATTATTTCCATTTTACTACTCATCTCCCAAGTCAGAAACAAAGACACATCTTTACCAATCCGACCCAGTTAGAAGTTCAATATGGAATATGGACATGATTAAGTTGCAATTTTCCACGGTGATCCCCGAATTCACTAGAAGAAAAAGCTTCGGAGATACGAAGAGTCAACGAATCAATACATCAGAATCTACGGTATAACGCAATCCATATATTCCATTATATTCCATTGAAGGATCTGCAACTATTTTATTCTTGAATGCGCATTCAAACAGGTGTATTCAATTTTATTTTACTCCATTTTTTTAATAAAAAATACGAATTTGCTATCCCAATCGTTTGGAAAGGAAACAATTATCTTCATTAGATTATTGCGATTTGCGAGGATGTTTTTAGTTATATTCACGCATTTTTGTACACTGTGAAAAGTATATGCTATTCTAATTTTCAAAACATCCCTGATTTGTCGCATTAACAAGGGTATACTCTTACTCTTGCGTTACAAATTTGTTCAAATATTTTGGATTTCTCACTCTGCTATTTGCCAAATGACTGCTGTACCATACATATTATTTGCCAAGATATGGGCATAATGTAATAATAAAAAACAAGAAAGTTGTGAATTATGTGGTTTCACTTATAACTTAATATAATTTCTTCATATATTTCCAAATAAAATTAATATTTTCACTTCGTGTTTCAATCATTTTTGTACTATTTCAATTTTATATATGCAAAATTAATAATAAAACTGATTCTATTCAAAGATTAGATTGAAACATAAAAGGCACTTATTGTCACGGGACGTCTTTTCAATAGTAATTGCTGAGATAAAAACTTTAACCTTGGACTAATCGATTGAAATCTTTAAATTCATTTTTCAGCCCAAAGTAAATTTAGACCAAATTAGAACTTGATGCTTTCAAAATAAAAACTTTAACGCTATATATATATATATCAGAATTATTTTAAAAATTTTATTTGAATTAATAAAATGCAATAAAATGGCTCAATAATATATTTTGTGGTTGTGAATTTTGGGTTTCAAATGGTAAGATTTAAAAAGTAACATAGCATGATTGTTGATTTCTTTACTTAATTTTTTTTTACTGAACATTCGTTGAGCATTCAATCTAGGCACTAGGCAAGGTGCATACGTCGGAGATGTATCAAATTGAATTTTATAATCTTTGTAACAAACAATGTGCTATTTACAATAACTGTATTGAAAAGCTTGGTACGCACTGAGGAGTTGAAGAAAGGGAAGATTATTTGGACCTGGTAACAAAAACAGAATGTAGTCAATAGACTTGCAATATTGTCTATAAATCCTCACAAGTATTTGTAAATATTTGCTTTGAAAATTAGATATTCAATAAAATTCACTAACACCGTATTGGAGACCCAAGAAATTTTAAATTCGATGTCCGAATGAATTGATAAGTAACAGATTGTCTTTGTTGTTCTGTGTGTCTAAATTACACAGCCCAGTTATTTTTTTCGTTTTCAACATGAAACGACCAATTTGAACGATTAAGTTTTGTTTATGGCATAAATTAGGTATGAAATTGTAATGGGATAATTTGTGACTTCAAGCGACCATTTAATATTAAACTGATGGCAGACAGATTACCTGGAGTGTGACTCGAATGTCCTGGGGCTGTAATTACATAAATAAGTCATTGAAATTTATAACCTATTCTACCGGATTAAGAAAAACTTTCTAGCAAATAAGGTAAGTACTTGTTTTCTTAACCCACGCTTATTCATGGTGGAATGTTGATCATGCATGGGATTAAAAGTGAAGACTTAACGATGTTAATGTGGTTTTGGTGTGCGGTATATGGTTGGTAAACAGGTATTACACAGATTACAGACTACAATCTTTGATGATGAGTTTCCAATCATTAATTTTAAACTTATATTTAATATCTTTAGGCTTTCCTTGAGCACAGGTACAATAAATATACCTGTTCAAAGCAAACTATTGTTTTTATTTCAACTTATATATTTCATTTACTCGAGAGAAAGGGATACTATAAACATTTTATTTTACCAATGCCAATTTTTGTTTGAAATATTGAAGCAACTGCGAATGAAGACTGAAATTTTCTCTCATCAACGAAACTCGATAACGACAACGATGATTGTTTCAAACATTTTCCATATGTTATTGCGACAAAGACATAGATTATTTTGCATATTTTTGTCCAGTCGAAGAACAAAATAGGTTTTGGAAGGCTAACGACTGGATCGAGTTGTTTTGGGTAATAGACACTTTGGTTATTTGACATGAGGAAAATTGAGCACTTCTGAATGGGTGTGTTAGTTGCACTTGTCAAGTTTTTGATTTCTGCAGAATGTCTTTAGTCGGCTTAGAATACCTTCGCATCCAAATTCTATATTATTCAGTATACACGCTGTCGTCTTCCATCTCAGCCAACTTAGCGGCAATCTCGTATGTTTCAACTATTGAAGATACAGTTTTAAAGTTTTGTTGGGACTAAATTTAAAAAATGTGTTGCTGCATAATGACATTTATGATAATTCTCTTTATACTTTAGATTTCGGATAGATTTCAACGGGAAAAAACAAAATATGTCGTCTGATATTGATTTCAATAATATTCTGATGTCAGATGAACGAGATGCCCCCCAGCGGCCAAACAGCGATACCACAGCAGTAGTATTTGTTTTCGAAATACAACACGGTTGAGTTGGATCTTGAATTTAATTTTTTTTCCATGTTGATACGTCTCTTTAATACGTACACAATTTTATTTCAATTACTTAATTTACTACTACCGAATTTTGGTAGAAAATGTCGGCGTCCACTAAAAGCTAAGAGAATATGAAATAATTTATAAGTTTTATTTAGATGTCAAATGCTAAATTAAAGGTTGAGCAAAACAAAAAATAACATCATTATTATTCACAATAATTTCTCAAAATTGATAATTCTCATTAGTCGTGAACTATTGTGACACGGAACGATGAAAATTAATAATTAGTGGTCGTAGTTCGTTATCAACTGTGATTGGATAGAATTATTAATAAAATTGCAGTTTCAAAAAGTATCACATATAGATCATCATGTTAAAAAGTAGTGTCAAACTTTTTGAAACGATATTTTCATTTTCATTTAGATCGGATAACGTATAGGTGTATGTGTTTTATGTGCGCATGTTTAATCAATCACAAATTTGCTAACTATACACTTATTTTTACACATAAATATATACATATTTTTTCAGTTTTTAAAATTAGGTTGCGCTTAAACTTTTGCGTTAAAAAATACAATAAGTTATACAAAAAGGACAGTCAGGTGAAAATTAAATGCTCACCTTATTTTCACTCAATAAACTTAATCATCGAAAAATTTAAAAAAATAATCCGTCGAACCGCTTGAATCTCTCACAGTCAACGTTGTATAATATTGTACTTTATTACAATTCTAATATACTGCATTTCTTTAAAATTTTATTTGTTTCCAGCTGAATATTTTTGACTTCATGAATCAATATATAAAAATTATTAATCCCTAGAGTATGGAACTGAGTCATAAACAATGTTTTGTAGTGCGTGGTCTATTTTAAGAAATCAATTTTAGCCACCCGTTTTGCCAGCGCATTTTATTTGTTCTAGTCCCGCTTAATAATTTATTTTTTGAAATGAACAATCAAAACAATTGCAAAAATAATAAAAATATTTTCTGATTTCAAATGGATGACTGTGCAAAACAGAGAGTACTAATAAAATCGTATCTTTGTTTTCTGTGAACCAAAATCGATATATGTTTCGTGGAAACTATTCCCCCGCAATATCTGAGATAAATATGTACATAATTGTATTATTCATATTTTAATATTATTCCGATCCTCAATATTTCAATAAAAATAAATGATCAACACAGAAAATTCATTTCTTTCTTTTCAGTTCAGTTTCCTTTTTTCTTTACAGCAATTTTTCTATTGTGTCTCAGGAGATTTTCTACTCTTATTGCTTTATAACAATATCATGTTCAACTTTGCTGGTATTCATTTAGTACTGGCTACTACAGTGTATTGTGATTTTGGTACGGCAGTTAAAACATAAGATAAACATAATATATTCTAGCAATATATCCAATTGCAAGTTATCACAATTTCCCACTACTACTTAAAATTGATATTCAATTTGAGCGTGTGGTGCGCAACAAACTTCTTGTCTTGATGCACAGATAACATTACTAAAAATGTTACTATTACCTAATCAGTTTATTATGTTTGATGGTATTTTACAAACATACAAATTTAGGCATTCTACAAAGCCTTAAAGTGATAAGCTGAAGCGGGAATATCCAAAATATTAAAGAATATATTACTTCTAATCGACTGCCAAATTCCCATTCATATATTCTCAATACAATCACTGGTTGAAAAATATAAAGATATTCTTCAAATCCTAATAGAAATTCTCATAGTAAAAGAAAGAATTAATATGAAAACCTGAAAAATAATAAATAAATTTGATGGGAAATTATAACCTAATGTATAAAAGAAAAACGAAAATCATATCTCATCCTTTACTTTTCATGTCAGAAAAAATAGGCTTTTGATCTATACGACACTGTACCAATCAAATGTACTAGAGATTTAGGAAAGATAAATGGTAATAGTGAAATCACTATATGCAAAAGAAATAATCTTAGCGTTCGAAACTGAACGAAACTGAGACATATGTTTTATTTCGAAACTAGTTGCCACAATTATCTCATGGTAGTTGAACATATGTTCAATTGCCATCTTCGAATAATGATGTGAAAACATTTTACGTCAAATATAAAATATTAGCAATACCTCAGTTTGGTATTCCTTGGACATTTTTTTTCATCCAAATATTTCTAAAAAAATTAATCATTTGTAACTATTATTAAAAAAAGAATAGGAAATTGAATAAAATTTAGTCACTATCTTTCTTGTAGTGTCTCGATAGTGAACTCCTTGCATATTTTCTATAAACATTAGCACCAATAAATTATGCATTCATATTTTTGAAAGATATTGGTGATATTGATGGTTGTTTTACTACTGTACCTATCATTTCAGGATCCATTAGAATAACTTGCATCCTAAATGCAACATTCAGGCGAGTATTTCATTCATAAGCCGGTTTGTATATGTTATGAACCAAATCCCATACCTTATTTTATTCTTAGACATTATGACCCAGCTTAACATTATCCTTTTTGGTAATGACATATGTTATGAAATACGAAAATTTTTCTATTACAAAATGGAAAATATCTTCCATTTTCAGTTTCTTTTCATATATTAAAAAGGTCATGTTATCAAAAATTAAACAAATGAAATGAGTAAGCTATAATGTAAGACAGGAGAAATGAATTCCGTTTTTAATGTGTGAGCTTGTTTTATAACGATATTCGAAAACACGCAATTAGCCTTCAAAGTTCAAGTGTTTCTCGGTTCTTTTATTTGACAATGTACGACTTCTGTCATACAATGCTTGGATTTATTTAACATAAAATATATTTTATTCAATGTTTAAATTTTTAAAGTTAGTTATTCAGTCGCTTGTCCTATTAGAGTTATTTTAATACCTTTATTGAGTATTTTTGACAAACATCTGAACCTGGAGAGCAACAGTTGTTCCGAATGGAAATGAAACCGATAGACTTTGGAGTATATGAATGAGGTACCCTCTGTCTTAGATACAAAAGCACACAGTAAGACAAAATCAGAATGCAAAAACTATTGAAAATGAAATGCAATGAATACACCAACATGAATATGATATTAGAAAAAATTACAGGTCAAATTCCAAGAAAACAGATACCTATTTGCCTGGGTACAGGAAATAACCTCAAATCAATATTGACAACAAAGGATCCATTGATTGGAGAAAATGAAAGAAATACAATTCTCAGGAAAGGGCTTTTTTAATTGAATCTTATCTTAAATACCATGAAACACAAGATTCAGTAAATATGCAATAAAATATACACGTGATCCTATACATTTTGTGGTCTACCAGTTGTTAGAGTGATTCATTGCGGGCTTATCGGAGTCAGTATGGGTGTGTTGTTATATATTTAATTAAAATAAATCAAACATTTATGAAATAGTTTTCCAAGAATTAATTCATTGAATGATGTTCTTTTCTTCTTAACAGAGTTCAAATAGATTTGACAAGTAATTTCTACCTCCCGTAGTAGTCATGCTCGTGTTGAAATAATTTGTTACATTTTTTAGTTTTTATACCGTGAAAGTGTGTAATCCAATAGGTTGTGAGTGGCCATCGACTATGTTTTTTATATTACAAAAATTTAAATAATATAACTACTTTGAAAAGACAGCAAGGCAGCATTACTTTTGTGTAAGAGTTGTTACAAAATGAAAAATTGATTCGCTGACGTATAAGCATATGTGAAGCAATCATTCTCCCCACGTGTTTTTTATATTTAACAAAAATGACTAGTTCATGATGACGTGACAATTTCATAAATTGCCAATATCTTTTAGTAAATTACGTTAAAAATTATATTTAATCAGCAATTCATATATGAATTGAGGAATTTTCTCATATCAATCTAATATGTGGATGTTATCATATTTCAATTTTTTACAATGACTTCCTAAATTGTTAGCATAGAATGAGAATATGTTAACGAAGTTTTTGATATCATATTTGCTATGTTGAATTTTTCGATCGAATACTGAGGGTCAAATTCGCATTCAATGCTTTAAATCTCGTATAAATAGACAAATTTGTGCTTTACAGTTTGTTAAGTATTGTTAAATAGTCATTTTTGTTAATTACACTATCCCAAGTTCTAATTGTTGAATGCATATTTAGCTTGTACCTGAACTGACAGCGCCAAAATTACTTCAAGATTCGTATATGTTCCAATCCAAATAACAGTGATGTATGAAAACTTAGGCTTTCATCTTAAAAAACCTGTTGACAAAATAGATAGGCTGGCGTCATAGGTCTTCCAAAACGTGGAGAATATCACTTTACATTTATTCATAAAATATTAAGTTTTGATTTATAGTAATAATAATCCTTATGTTAAATCATGCTGTACAATCAGAAACAGTCATCTATCAAAGTACTGCAATCGTGGTTAAAGATAAAATTAGTTCTGTTTGATTCAACAAAAATGCGTAATTTGTCAATACTATCCTTCTCATTTCAGAGAATTTATGTGCGCGACTAGCTCCGATGTAATTTCGTGGATTTTACTGCTTTCGAAATCATAATTAATAATAAACATTCTGCTCGGTCGTCAAATCAAGTAATAAATATATTTAACGATTATCATAAAATGAGTAATAATTCCAAGATGTTTAATAGTTATAAATGATTTTTGTTTGGGCCAATCTCGGAAAATTTTTAGTTACATTTAAATGCTTCAACCTATTTAATTAATAAATAATGATATCAAACTTGAATATTGAGTATTTAATCAAAATATTGAATGATTATTACTCATGTCAGAATCTGTATTAATTTCCCCCCATATTGCTACCAATGCAGTTTGAATATGAAACACACACGACTGGCAACACAAAGCATTCAGCAAAGAAAGATTTTTTCAATAATCAACACTACATTAGTTCATTACCTCTATTCGACAAAATCGTATTTTTACAAAAATGTAGAGTAGTTTTCTCAGTTGTTCAAATTGTCGTAAAACCGGAATCAATGGCGTCGATCCGTGAAAAGTGCAACGGCTTGTCAGCAATGACTATCTCGTCTAGGATAGAGAGAGAGTAGTTCATTCCATTTTTCTATATCTGAAAAAATAAGCGAAATAACCTGGGATTAAAGCTTCAAATTGAAAGAGAAATTGTGATGAATTTAAGGCTTCGAATCTTTTTATTAGATTTTCTACTTCTGTTTTGACACCAACGTGTAAATATTCAAAAAATTAAAACACCCAGTTCACATAATATTTGAATACCCGGAACAATTTTAAATGATTTGTCGAAATATTTATAATGAATATATATATATATATATATATATATATATGAAATTTGATTTTATAATCGATTTTTTTTGTTAGAGTAAATATATGACCAAAACTATAAATAGATTTCCAAATATAAAGGACTGCAAAAATCCCAGGACTTACAATGTAGTGGATTTGGTGTGAGAATTGTTTTTATTCACGCTTAAACCTTGTGACAAAAAGCATTCAACTTTCTAGATTTTTTTTAGATGGAAGTTTGCTATTCACTAATTGTCCTCATAGTAATCATTAAATTAGGGATGTTTATAAGTGACTTAGTGAAAAGTTTATTTCATTTTCAGAAGTATTATGTTGCAGATCGCTCACCACAGAAAAGTACAGTTTTTGAAACAACGACAATGATATTTTGTAATTTTGGTTCTGGAGTCATCTTTACATACGTTGATGATAAAAACTTTTAGTGTTAAATATTTAAATATTTTTAGCCTTTAATGGTATTCGATTTATTTTGTCTGAATTTCACGATGAATAAAAAGAATGAAATGATATACGTATATATATTGTTTGTCATCTTTTTTAATTTGAACAAAGTTTCTCGTTTTCATAGAAATGTGAGCTGATTAAAAAAATATTTGATATTAAAATATATACAGCTTGTTTATTTTATTTTTATAATTGTCGTCACTGTAATATACTACTAGATCAGGTTATTCATTTTATTATTCTCTTCATATTTTTGCCAAGTTTAGTATTTTCCGCAACGTGAACACGACTGATAAGAAAATTCATTAGGATGAATTGAATTTTGGGCTTTTCTGTCAATATTGCAATGCTTCAAAGTTTAATCGATATCGTATACGTCTCAATCAATTAATTTTCTTTCATTTAGAAATGAATTTTCTATTTATATATTTGGCATAGCCAAGAAAAATGAGCGCAATCGCATTCCCAATAAATGTTAAATAAGTATTTTACATGCCCTATTTTATTAATATTCTATTCTTGTGGGAAACAAGCATGACCTATAAATGTCTCGTATTGATTGTCCGAAAGATTTACGTTTCATGCTTGATCCAATTTAAAGAATAGCGCAAGCGAATCTCACACGACGACCTCTCATACGGAACTGAACAAATATTTGCCACTCTATTCTGTACATACAATACAATGAAGTATTCTGTTCGCTTACAAGAAATATGGAGCTAAATAGACTGCTCTGTGAAACGATTTGTAAGCGTGTATCAATATGATTTTAGTCTTCGAATCAGTTTGTAGATGCAAATGAATATAATTAGATAGTAAATACTAAAATGTATAAGTTATACTAAATACTGTAGTTTTATTTGACGTCAAGAGGAAACAATTAATTCGAACTACAATCTTTAATATCAATTCGTAATATTTGAAAATAAGTTGGTTCGAAGAATTATTTACTCTGCTTGGTTCGCTTATTCATGGAGTATAACTATAAGCTCTAAAAATATCAAAGAAACAAGAAAATGAATATTTAATAAAAAGTCCGTATTACACCACAATGTGTTTCAGTGGATAAACTATATGGAATTAGCAGGTATTTGTCGAAAATTAGCAGACCTAACCTCTGGTAACCCTAGGTTGTGCCCAATTGTGCGTAGCATATATTTTAAACTGCAGCAACTGTATGGAACATTAACTGTATTGAACATTTGTAATATATAACATATCATATTATTACTGATTAGTGTCATATCCTCATATCTAATAACAAACAAACAAAAGGTAGATAAGAGGATTTGTCATTTAATATTTGAATATTGAAGGAGCAGAAAGTGTATAACGAAAGCCCATTGCAAGATACTACTTTTTTACTTTATACTAATAAATTTATTTTATTTATGAAAGATCAAAAATTTAATACTTGTACGTCTATCATATTGTATAGATGAATATTTTTAAAGTATATCTATTAATGTTACTATGGTGTTTTATAAATATCAATTCCTCACAGAAGATCACAAGTAGACATATACCAAGTAAGATAACGTTTATTCTTTGCTAGTTTACATATCGTCACGCTAATAACCGAATTGCGTAAGTCATTTTTGGCGGTTTTGAGTTTTTTTTTATAAAATAGGTATTTATGTAATGTTGCCCACCTGTCTGTTAACACAGATTTTATTTTAAGAATTCCGAAACCCATGGAAATATAGATTTTGTATAATATGCAAATTTGTTCAATTGTTACGTCATAATGAATTATCTTTGTTAATGTAGGACTATTGTGACGTCACAAAGGCAAAATAACCTCGGCGAAGGATTTTCGAGTTTTTGCATCTCAGATTCTAGCTTAGCGCTCATAAATTTTAATTTATACTACAGTATAGGAAAACGTGCACTTGTGATATTCACTGTCTGAATCCAATTCACCTTGGTTGGATTTTATATAAGGGTACATTGCTGTTTTATTCTTTATATTTAATTTTATTCTTATTTCGGTGGATGTGCAGAGCGTGTTATATTGATGAAATATATTTTTGAACATAAAAAATAATGTAATTCAAACAGATTAGCTATTTTGGGGATTAGACATCGTATGTACTAAGAATTATATTTGTTTTTATATTGTTTGAATTTCAGGACTGGTACATATAGTCACGTTGCAAAATTGCGTATGTCCCCTAGTCATAGACACATTTCTGCCTAAGCCACAGGGCGCCATTATGACGTCGTCAGATGACTGCGTCATACAAATTTTAACTTAAATCCGGCTATGATCAAAAAATTGAACTATGGCAAATTATTGACTCTCAATGGCATAGCAATATCATTAGGGAGTTTTAAAAATGACTTACGCAATTCGGTTATTAGCGTGACGATATTCCTCACTTCTTTTTATAAATTTTCAAAACTTTGACTGTAAGAATTTCCAAAAATAGGAAATTTAAAAATTAAGTCCGACATTTGACAATGAAATGAATGCGATCAGGAATTGAAATAATAATAAAGGTAGGCAAATTGATATAGAATCTAAGATTAATTTTTTTTTATAGAAAGACAATTTTATTAGCGCTTGTTTATTGTTGAAAAATTTATTGTATTTTCCATTAGTTCAATGTGTTTGTTATGTTCATCAGGGCGACCAAAAAATCTCAAATGTGTAGATAAAAACCTTCAACGAAATTTAGTATGGGAACCACCAAAACCCAGAAGTGATGAACTTAAACTGGAGCATTACGAAACTTCATACTGGTAATACTTATAATAAATAATTTAGCTTACTTAGTCCACTTATTTACATGTTATGTTCTTTGACAAATGCTATGGATCTTTATTATTATTATATGTATATTATTAATAACTCAAAAAGAATAATATTGAATAAAATTATACCATGGCTAGCTTGAGAAGCATATAGAACATACTTTTATTAGTTTCATGTTTGACAAATAAACACCTCTGTGTTTGTTTAATACTTAGTTTGATGTCGTTTCAAATAACGCTTACGAGAGCAAGGCGCAACGCTTGTCAGTGAATGTGGTCAGATATAACAGAGTTTCTATGTTTGCATTAAGTCTGTTTCTGAAGACTGACACGGTATTCTAAATATTGTTTTGTGGAGGGGATCTTCAACATATCATCAGGCATTACGTGATCCTGATCTTCATATTTCGAAACTCAATTGTGTAATTATCTAAATACTCTTCATGTAAGTAGTAAATGAGTTACAGAATATAAAAATAACTAACGCCTAAAACCAGAGTTCATTTCCATACCATAATAAGGAAAATAGACCCGATTATTCAGGAAATGATAAAATAAAAAGCCCAACAAAAATCACAATCTTTCTACTGATTAACCGTATTAAATACGTTATTATAGTTACAAAAATTAATTGACGTAACATCGATTAACCTTAACAGTGCCATGGCATCTTGCGATCCAAAGGAGCGCCTAAGATGTTATCAAGACACTAACCGCACCATAGAAGTCATAAATACGGCTTCACCAATGTGCAAAACTTCAATCGAGCAGTTGGATGCTTGGGGTGTTTGTAAGTAGTTAAGAAAGTATAATTGACAGTTTGTTTTAATTTTCCATATAGGAAATAAAGCAATGAAACTTTGACAAAGCATAACTGAAATTGTGTTTTCTGGTCCTATTTTATAATTTAGCTCCTTTTTGTCTAGAAGTTATCTAAATAAATTTTCATATCAATTTTCAGTCGCCATTATTGAATCTTCATTATTGCATTACACGAGCTTAGAGTAGAAAAATGTATTGGAAAACAATTAATAAAAAATACAGAATTTTTTTTTAACAAAATCATGTTCATTGTTCAAAGTTGCGACAGAAATAAAAAAAAGCTTTTTATTTTTTCCCCAAATACATGATTTATCTCTTTCTTTTAAAAGATATATTCTACGTCGAAGCTGTGTTTTCAAATACGAGTGACAAAACGACAGTAAAATCAAAGAAAAGACATATTATCTGCAAATCTATCAAATCACAAAGTAATGTTTGATATTATAGGTTTTAACACGCGTTCAACTTTAAAAAATATTTATTATATAATTAGATATCTATATGGTGAGAAATGAATTCTATTTTTTTGGCATTAAATTATGAGTAAGGATGATGAATTAGAAAACATTTTAAAAAGTAATAAATTGTATTCTTCGTAAATAAAAATCGTTCGATTTTTTGTAAACAAAATCAGTCCGCTCACTTAGAAAATAGTTCACGTTTTATATTAAGTTGATATAATGGTAGTAATGAATTCGTGTTTGAGATGTTCAATTAATGATGATTGAAATACAATTTTGTTTAGTGAGTCTTTCATCTCCAAGCATCAATGCATCCTCAACAAAGGATTCTATTCAAGTCCATTCTGAATTGCCAACAGAATTCGTGCACGCGCAAAATGTTTCCGGTTACGAGATTGGAATTCAATATTCCTTCTGTCTTTATGAGGGTGAAGGTATGAAGAAAGCTTTAAATTAAAGCAATTTCGTCATTTTGTTTTTGTTTTATTTGTGACCTTTTATCACTAATGGGTAAAGGACTAAATTTATTTTTCCCAATTTAAGGGTATTCGTATTTTTGATTTTATACTTGGGATTTTGAATTAATTTTATCTGCTTTAGTAATAAAATTACTTGGACATAACACATAATTGAACAATATTTTTTATTAATAAAGAGTTCGCTGATAATTAAAATTATGATATATTTAGTTTCAGAAAACACGTCGAAAATCGGTTGCAGATACAGTGAGAACAAATTTTATATTTCATTTTTTTACGTTATATTACTTTGTCACAAAAGTTCAAATGTTTAGTGTACCTGCTTGCTATGGCCTATTACCATAAGTTCGCAGAATTCCATAGATAACAGAAATATACAATTGTTTGAAATTGATTGACTAATACCATGAGCCACAGGGTTGTTTACGCAGTCGCAGTTCTTGCTTGGTTCAGTAACCGGGTGCTTCAATGTACCTTCCACATAACTGCGATGTCTTATTTGCCTTGGGTTATCTGAGACATATTTGACAAACTATTTTACTTTATTTGAAACTACTTTGAACTGCGTGGTTCATAATTAAACTTTATTATTCTAATCCTTTGATATATTTAACAAATAAATAACATATTTTCGCTATATGAAACCATTATTCGCGATGGTTCTGTCTGTCCAAGCTTCAACGTCCTAATGATACCGATCTGGTGGAAATTTCCCACGTCGGTTATCATGTCACCCTAGTAATGTGCGTTTTATAGAAAGTTCGGATTGAAGTTTCGTTTCCATGGCAACTGCGGCGCCGATTGTTATAAAATTTTCAAGTTGTTCACTATTTAACGCGGTTTTCTCGTCAACCAATTCGAAAATTGAAATTCCTTTTTCATGACGTTACCTCTCGCAGAAGAAAATACCAAGTCTACCAAGTCGTCTTTTGCATTCCTGCCCCAATTACCTGGAGAAGCCTTGGGGATTTCAGTGAACATCATTTTAATTATTTGAAACAATATACCAGTACGCAATAATGTCTACGAAGCGTACAGCGCTTAAATGAACTGTAAGTTTTTGGTAACCAGATCGCTAACTCAAGCTGCCTCTATGTCTTAAAAATCCACAAGTATGGATGGTAACCTATTGCCTGAGTGCGAACCTAAACTACAGCGGAGGTCCTCGGCGGCTACCGGCTTGTATTTTTAATATTAACAATCACAATATTATTGCAGAAAAATGTGATTCAGTCTCAACTTTTCAACTGCTGAAATCCGGTACACAATATACAGTTGAGGCTTGGTTTGAAACATTTGGAAATGGAAAGGACAAAATTAAAAGCAAAAAGTCCATAAAACAAGTCAATACAAAAATAGGTATGTGGTAATGAGGACATTTATCAGATAACAAAATGCAAAATCATAATAAACATAACAACATTCCGAACTGAAATAACATTGCTCGGGAGTTTGAAAAACACATTTTTTGACCATACATAGTAAAGCAACATTTTGTTAATTTTGTTCAACTGGATACGTAGTGCATCTATTGATGGGTATGCTAATTTGTTTTTGTCGCCATGATTGTGGTTTTATTTGATAATGCTCGATTTTGGACACAAAATTGACTTATGGATTGGTTCGTTATTAGTTTTTTTTTTTTTCAGTATTCATGTTGCTGTTGTACATTAAAAGCTTTTCTGTTCATTTACTGGACCAACTGTTTAAACTTTTTAGGTGGTCAAAGTTTTTTTTCGCTTCAAAAACTTTCACGTTTATTTATATCAAATATTTTCGTGAGCTTAATGAGAATCGTTGAAGTTTGAAATTTTATGTTATGACATCGTCAACATTACAATTTGAACAGCTTAAATCTTTTCCTTCACAATCAAGCGATCTTGTATTTAGACTTCCGGAACTGTAAAAGTTTTGCTGATGATATTTTGATTTAGCCCACGTGACTCTTGTTTTTACAACTATTTTTCAGTACTTGACAATGGCCAAAGCTCATTAGAAGTTTTTGAGCCGCGACTCTTTTTTAGACATTGTCAAGTCTCGCGCCACACTTTAAAAATAACTAGCTAACAATAAGCTACAAATATCAGGTAGTAAGGCGAAAGTATGTTTTATTCAAAAGCACGTTGAAAATGCGTGGATGGAAATTTAATAATGAAATAAACGAAAAGTTTTAAAATGTTAATATATAAAATCAGGCGGGTAAGATCAAATCTAACAAATACTTTTTTAATCAGCATCACGCCCCCTCAAAAAATGTCTACGACCCATTTGTGGGGCCAGCCCCACAGATTGAGAACCACTGTGCTAAAAGATATAATTTGTTTTTCTTTCATAATTCTTTTTCATACTTTTTCTTCGTGTCCAACGGAGCATCTTAATTTACCCAAAGTTGTGATATGTGAAACATTTATAGTAACAGTTTACTCAGCACTATCGATCGTCTGGGACACACATCTTCGTAATTATTATTATTTTTTTTAAACGAATGCTTTTTTAGGGTTTTTTGATACTGGTAGCAATGCGCAAACCAATATATCCGAGCACTGATCTCTGGTTTTCTTTCTATTATCATTATTTACTACATTTAACAGATCCTTTTCCGGACGTAGCAAAAATATTATTGTGTGTATCATTGATTGGATTTTTTGTCTTCCTTGCTATATTTCTCTTCGTTGCAAGATATTTAATAAAAGCATGGAAAAAGATTAGTCGACAGTATCCAGATCAGTTTCCAGAAATACTGGTAAAGTTGTTTGCTAATTTATATTACATGATAACCTACTAAAGTATCCATGATATTTATTTCATTTTATTTTTTATACGGCCGTGTGATAACGTCATGTTTATACCTTTAAACAATGAAAACCACGATTTGTCTTAGATTATATTACCAAGTAAAGTTCAATATGTAATATTCAATATTTGAATGTGTAAATAAGGTCATTGAGTTTTGAATTATTATTTGAATGAAATAATTACACTATGATCATGGTTTTACAGGTTTTGAAAATAAAATCAAAATCTCTAGTCTAACTATACCTATAAGTTTTAGATATTGTTATTGCAAAGATATTATTTTTGTAGTAGCAAATGTGCACACAAATATTTCATTTTATCTGTAATTCAATTTATCCATTCAGCCCATTGAAAAAACATAGCTGTCGGCAAATAGAAACTGCTTTCGCATCCATTAAATCGACCAGAACCCACTTTGATCCTGTTTTAACGCCAAATCATTATTTTCGAAGCGTATGCTGATAACCACAAATAATAATTATTCAACATATATATATACAAATTATTTATTTAAAACAGAAATATAAAATATGGTTTTGTCTTATGATTCACCGAAAATAATTCCAAAACTATACGCAATAAACTAAAAATCTGTAAACATACGATGCATGAATATTTTAATCTGTGAGAAATATCATTGAATTTTTTTGGGGTATTCACAGAAGCAAGTGGCCTCATTATGAAAAATAATTTATTATTGCAGAGCAAATTTTTTAAAGATTTAGAAGCTAACCCAACCAGAGACTCGGATTTATTAAACAGGTGAGAGGCGTGTTATAATTTATACATATATTTTAGTTTTTGAGAAAGCATATAATTGATAAATATTTTAATATATTTTGTTTTATTAAGCACAAACTGGGATGTACTACAAAGGCGACATTTAACCAATCAGCCAGAACAAGATATCGACCCGATGAAAGAAAGAAATAGTTCAACAGGTATATTATTCATTAACTTTTGTTGAATCCATATTCATTTATTTATTTCACCCATAAATTTATCATGTTTGAAAAATTAACCCAAAATATACTTATTTTCAAATCTATACATCGAAAATGTATTTACAGTGCTTAATTTGTTTTAATTTCAGGTTCTAACCCTTTGAATGGCACAACATATTCAAATTCATCAAGTAGAACCGAAACCACACATGCGAATACATTTGAGAAGTGTCAAGAACCTGTGATTTCACCGCCCTCTTACGTCATGAAAAATCATACGTCATCTATTGTGAAAGACAGGCAAATTATTAATTTCACAATAAAGGATGTTTCTCGAAAAGAAACTTTATCAAGTACTCATGCTAAAACTACTAACACAAATAGTGAACTTTATGATGCAATAACACCGCAAACAACACAACGTAAACGTAATTGCGTAATAGTCTCATAACTTCTCGTGAGCAATTATTATTTGGTTCAGTTGAAAACAGAAAAATATTCCAGCAAATCTCTTCTTTTTGTTAAAAAGTACAGTTTATTATAACCAAAAATTCTTTCATTTTTTATTGTTCATTTTTCAAATTTATTTGGTTCAGCTCTCTTTTTTATTTTATCAATGCGTTTGCATCTCAGGGACATATTCCTGTATAAAAAATTGAAAAAATATGTTATTAAAGGTGGTTTCGCTGACAACAATATAATGTGAATAGCATTCGTGATATATACATAAAAAGAATTCCTTATTCAAATAAATTTTGATTTAATATTTTTTTTAAATGAGTCGATTTTGTAAAAACTTTATATGACGGTTGTGTTTTGAAAAGTTTATCAATTCAGTAACTCAGCTATATAATAATATGTGAGCATCTCATGGATGTTGTTGAGAAATACTTTGTTGAACCAATTATCGTTAAAGCAATTATAAATTTTGTTTACAAATATTTCTTATTAATGTCGAATGACTGAGAACGAACCAAATTTTAATTATTTCTTGGGATATTCAATATTTGGTAATAAATGTTTACCTCATGTCAACATTGAAAACCTACGTAGACTTCAACAAAATAATTTCAAACGTAATGCAACAGTCAATTAGAAGGAACTGATTTCGTGAATTAAATTTTTGAATGGTGCCAATAGAGTGAATCAAGCACAAAAATAAATCACAGTCTGCTATCACATCAAATTGATCGTAATGGTCTTGAGAGCGCCATCTTGCGACATCATCTAATATTTTCCAATATTCGCTACTCGGAATCGATATTGAAGAAATTTAATGCAATAATCTTTTATATTTCTTCATATAGTTTTGACTATTTCGGCTGTGGAAAAGTTCCTTTGTATTTTATACTCGAGGTTTTGAAAGTTACTGCAAAGCACAAACATACTAAAGGGATAATGGTTTTATGTAAATTGTATATAGCCATTCAATTTCAGCAACTGTTCAGCTGAAACGTTTTATTCAATGGCTTCTTGTATCGTTTCTTACTGCTTATGCCTTTCTATTTGTTATTATTAATATCATGTTATCATTTTTTAAATTTTACTTCATCACGTCAAAATAAACTAAAACATTTCTAAACAAAATATGACCATTTTTTCATAAATATTATAAAATTTAACGTGAGAAAGGCCATTTTGAAAGGATTTCCAATCGATATTTTCATGTCCTAAAGACAAAAAAAGGGATGAATTAGCGCTTGGGTTACCGAATAGCTTAGCGGTATTCAATGCGTTCATGTTATGCCTGCTTACCTTAAAGGTTAAAAACGCTGGCTTCGCAGGATTTCGTGGATATGGGAGAACGTAAAAATTTTAAATCCAGTGACGTCAAAATATTGTGTAACACTTTATAAATTTAACAACCCAAATAATGAAACTGCAACGTCATATTGCATGTCCGTAAAATAAGTTAAGACGTTATGAGCAATTAATGAATTTTGAACAAATGGGTAACATACAAAATTGTGAGTAAAATGAAGTATGCTCGGTTGTAAATTTGATAACTGCAGCAAATTAAGCAGCTGCAAGCTATGGTAAGATTTCATGATAAAATGTGACGTCGTGGTGCCTGTTTCTGATCGCGAGGGGTGGGGGGATTTTACCATGAGAATTAGAATCTAATCCGATTGAACCCACATTATGTAATACAATAGGCATGCTGTTTATTCTGTTTTATTTCAAAAATCGTGATGGGCAACTATTAATGGCTGTTTAACGAAAAAGTGAATCAAAGAAATTGGAAATAAATGCCGCAGAAAAATGATTTGAACCTTGTTTTAAAATTAGGAAAATGTATTTGAACAAATTTTATTTATGAGAACGCCGCTATATTTTGTTGGCGAAATATCTTACTTCAACAATAACAACAAATTATCATATTTTTTCAACTATATTCTTTCTATTTCTATTAAAAAAAAAAATTGGGGAGTGTTGAATTAACATCGCGAGCGGGTTGTGGTCTGGAGGCCATCTATTTAAATTATATCTAGCCAAAGAAGTTATTTTTATATAAACAAGATAGCAATATATGGACATTGAAGTCCCGTGAGTAGCCATAGTACCGGTAGGCTTTGCGATTACAGGAAATGAGCCTGAGTATATATTTCGCAAAATCGGAAAAAATAGCCAAGACGTAGGTTGCCATGGGTGACAGAATAAAAACGTTTCTAGGACCAATTAAGCACGCAACTAAAAAATAAACACTTTTCTGAGAAATAGGCACAACGTTACTTTATAAGACGCAAGCTGGAAAAAAGCACCAATCTTAGAAATACGCACGATACCTGAAAACAAGCAACTCAAGTCATCTTGGATGAATGAACAGAGATCAACCTACTGCTTTTTACTGCAATCATACATTCTTTTGATCTTTGTCACTAACATCACCTGGGCTGAACGTATTGCGTTGACCAATCACGTCATGAAACTTTTGGGTCACGTGTCTGATTGGTGGTAACTGACTTCAATGAACGCATGGGGCCGCGAGTAGCGTTTATGGAATGTCATGATAAGCAGCAAACGGCATGGTTTCATAAAATAAGGGAAACCGTAGTTCGCAAGTTCTATTCAAAAAAATAACATGATTCTATTTTGATATTTTGAAGTCACGTTTGCCGTTTTAAAGAGTTAAAATAAAACAATAAAATTTTAGGTAAAATATCGGATCTTGTGGGATTCACACGGAAATTTGAAAAAAAAAATAAAATAAATAAAATAGGTTCATGCGAGTGCTTTTACCTTCGAGCACTGACTTTTTAATTGATTATCCCTCTTTTTGTAAAGAAGGGTTATTTTGCAATCAAAAATTCGTTCAACAAAAAAAAAATAAATAAAATAACAAAACAAAACGTAGGAAGACGATCCATATGACCATATCATGTCCATTAATGACTTTTACCTAAAATTTCATTGGCATTAAAAAATTGAATGATATTCCTAATCTTATCTCTAGTCTGTATTTATGACAACCATTTCGTATGTGCGAATATTTATACATTTGCATTCCATGGGTACGCCATATTCGAAACGTTTTCAAGATTGATAAGGATTACGCGACTGCAAAGCGACACCTTGCGACCGCTTCATCTTCGACTTTATTTCATTCAAATTTAAAGACACAACATGAAGTAAAACGCTGTATATCTCTCCTAAAAAATTAAAAAATAAATAGAAAATTTAGGAGAATATTAACTTAAAATAAGTCAAATGTCACATGCTAGTTCCCAATATGTTGGCTTTAGTAGTTAGAAAATTAAATTGAAGATATTGCAGAAACAACGGTGAACTTTCTTTAAAAACTTTTACACACGCCACTCTAACCGAGGTACCAAATTGCTCACTATCTGGATAGTTGTGCTTCGTTCTGTGTTAAACGAATGATGGCTAAAAGCATGTTTCACAGATAGATAAATCTCATTAAAAGGATATTTCATTAAAAATTTCGATAGTTGGGTACTCCTGAAGTATGCGCACCAAGATGTCGCATAGCCTGAACCCTAACCTGGTACACAACCTGAGTTCAGGTTGTGCGCCATTTGGTGCGCATATTTCAGGAGGTCCCATAGTTAAATATTTTTCTTTGGTTTCATATCATTTTATAAATTTTAGCGGTCTCTTGTTATCTTTAAAATTTTGCTCAAATTCTTTTCTTTCCAATCTCTGATGTCGAGTATTCATATTTTAAATGGTATAGCATGCTGATATAAATTCGTCACCACTGAACGATAATATAATGTTTCAATATATGTCATAATATAATCTGATTTTAAACAAGTTTAATAGTCATACTAAAAGTTATAAATACTGATTTTGGATTTTAGTAACACATTTCAAAATTTTTTATGTGAATTAATGTTTGAGTTCAGTATTCGAAGTCATTTTAAAAGTGCCAAGATGTTTTTCCTGTTGTAGTAATTTACAATCCTATTTTTTTGAAAAGAGAATATCTGAGTATAGCCTGTTGTAGGCAATTCGTCAAAGCCTGATAAAATCGCTATCTTTGGTATAATTACTCATATGATCGTGAATCGCTCATCATCCTAAAGTGTACTAGTTAACTCACTTTCAATAAAATGTATCTCTTTCAATTTCACTGTAATTTATATTCATTTCAATCTTATTATGAAGAATCGTTTTCGGACAGATCTTAATGTGAAACCTAATTTAGGCTTTTTTAATCCATTTGCTTATAAAATTACATACCGAAAACTCATCTTAAATCAACGCATTTGTTTGGCAGTATTTGTTTACTGTAGATAACATGAGGTACTTAGAATTAGAGGACAAAACAAACATTTCTATATAACGAGGTCTCTAAGAACCGATGTATTGCAATTCACAAGAATGTTTTGTTGTGGCAGTTAGAACTAGACAGGTAGAGTGGCGTAATAATGTTATATAATCATTGTAGTTCTAACTCTTATGTTGCTATACAAAAGTATTTATCAAAGCACGAGGCATAAATTCGGCGAACTGATATGAATTCGATAGATCGTTTGAGTGGCATCAGAAGATTTGTCATTTTGTGTTGATCACAGTTTAGTTACGTAATGATTTAATTTGTAATGTCTTTGTAATGAATGAAATTCACGTTTTCCTGGTGGACGAAGAACAGTGGCAGAAAACAAATTAACGCATTGCAGATCCAATTAATCACAATTTTTATCAGAAATATGTAAAGGAGAAAAATCAAAACCAATTATTATGTCAATATTGCTAACAGTATAAATTTGTATATACAACTGTTACTTTTTAGACACAGCATTGCATCGTATACATGTATACGTGAGATATCGAATTAAAAGGCGAATAATTTGTTTAAAAGTTCATCATTGTTTATATTCGACAAATTTCTTAGAGTACATAATAATTCATTTTGGCAACCTATTTCAGTTAAACTGTTTCCACTTTTGCGACAGTATCACTACCAAAAATTTTGATTTTGATACAAATGAATACTATTTGTTTACACTATTAAACTTTTATCATTTTTTTTTCACTCCAATATAACAGCACGTTTCAAAATGACTAAACTTATTACAATAAACTTAGCTATATACTTGTGTTTGTTTGCGTCTTTATCATGTAGAATTTATGCAACCGAGATTATTTATGCAGATAACGATTACGATATGCAGAATATAGGTATGTATGTGTGTGATTTTGAATTTTCAAAAATCTTCAAAAATGATTGATTAGCTCCATTTCAAAGTTTTCTTCACTTTGTATTATATTTTTGAAAAGACGATGGATGCTCTTTTTCATTTATAATTTATTGCAATATCATGTGAAATTAAGCTTCACCTCATAATAGTCTTCCGGACAAATAGAACTTTTTTATTATTTTTGAGAATAAAAATCAGAGAATTCCAGACATAAATTGGGAATGTCTCTATCATCCATCCCTCTTTAGTCCACTATCTATATTATTATATCATATAATATACTCTGATAAGTTAGAAAAAGTAATTCAAAGTTCAACGAGGGATTACCTCCATTAAAAAATTGTGTTTCTGTGAGTCACACAATACAAGTAAAATAAGATTTGAATTGAACTTGTACATAAAACTATGGCGTGATGCAATTTGTATCTCAGACCCCGATTTGAAATGCATCGATCGTAACTTGCAGAGAACTTTGAGATGGAAAGCAGGAAATGTTTCCGATGACTTTGAATTATTGAGATATCAAGTGGAGATATTCAAAAGGTATTCAAAAAATCTATTTAGCATAGTTTAGATCTCCTTTTTTAAAATGTATACGTATATATGACTATAAGAGAAATTGAATATATTTTAAATAAACATTTTTCAATTGAACGGCCACTCTTTTCTTCCACAACTTGGTTTTAATTCTATATTTTTGTGAGAACTATGTGTGTATAGAGGATTTTATTCCTACGGCTTAAGGGGATAAACCTATATTGAACGCAAGTTAATTTTTACACAGATTATAATCATGTCAGTACATAAATTTAAAATTATTTTTTTGAATTTCTCAAATTTTCAGCATTGGACATTCCTATTATTTTTTGCCTTTGACCTGTTACAAGGACGACGACAGGACTATAGAAATAACGGATTTAAACGTCACAGAATGTAAAGTAGATGTCGAGGAAATTATGCCGTTTAACTACGGTAAAATATATATACATAACATTTACCTCTTGTTGTCAATGATTTTTGTCCATTTTACCAAAGGCTTGTTACAAAAATAGGCATGCTGTACGTGATTTTTGTAGAAATATTGAAGGTCGTATAGTGTAAGCCCCGGGAGAATCAATTTTGAGTTTACTCATTTTGAAAGTTATGCTATAAGTATATTGAACTCTCAAGATATATAGGAATGTTGAGAAGTGCGAAGTATCTGATTATTTAGAAATTATATCAACTTTTAAATAATACAAAGAGTTTTTTTCTAAAATAATATAATCTTTGCCATCAAATAGTTCATTTGCCTTTTTCAATCTTGTTGTTTTGATTACAGTCACGTTCCGGGTGATATCAATTTATAAAGTTGGTGAAAATAATGAAACCAGAATGTACAAATTGAATGAGTGTCAACCCCTTCAAAATCAAAGTGAGAAAAGAATATGAAACTATTACTAAATATCATATAAGAAAATATTAGTATATTATGTGAAATTAAGCATCACCTCATAAATGGTCGCCCAGACGAACAGCACTTTCTTTTTCCTTGGGAATGAAATCAGAGAATTCCAGACATAAATTGAAGCATGACTCTATAATTCATTCCTCTTTAATGCCACTATCTATATTTTTATATTACATGCTATAATCTGACGAATTAAAGGAAATATTCAACAGTTTAACGAGGGATTTCAACTATATTAAAATTACTTCCGGAAGACACACGATACAAGTAAAATCATATTTGAATTGAATTTGTATATATATCATGGCGTAATCCAATTTGTATCACAGATCCGGATTTGAAATGCATCGATCGTAACTTGCAGAGAACTTTGAAATGGAAAGCAGAAAATGTATCAGATGATTTTGAACTATTGAAATATGAAGTGGAATTTAGGTTTCCGAAAAATCTTTTTAGCATATATCATATCAAACAGTTTGAGAATGTATACATGTATTACTATAAAGAGTAATTTAATATATTTTAAGTAAACATTTTTCAATTCTTGAGTCTCTTTTTCTTTTACAACTTGGTTTTAATTATAAATTTTTGTAGGAGCAGTGTGTGTGTTTAAAGGATGTTATTCCTACGGCTCAATGGGATAAACATATATTGAACGCAAGGTCAATTTTAACACAGATTTTAATCATGTCAGTAAATAAATTAAAATTTTTTTTTTTTAAATTTACCAACTTTTCAGCATCGGATATTCCTATTATTTTCTGCCTCTGGCCTGTTACAAGGACGACGACAGAACCATAGAAATAACTGATTTAAACGTCACAGAATGTAAAGTAGATGTCGAAATTTTTTTGCCGTACAACTACGGTAAGAATATATATATAACATTTAACTCTTTTTGTCAAAGATTTTTGTCCATTTTACCAAAGGTTTGTTACAAAAATAAGCATGCTGTACGTGATTTTCTTAGGAATATTGAAGGTCATATAGTGTATGCCCCTATAGGAAATCAATTGTCAGGTTCCTCGTTTTGCAAGTTATGCTATACGTATATTGAACTCTCAAGATATATAGAAATGTTGGGAAGTGCGAAGTATCTGAATATTCAGAAATTATATCAACTTTCAAATTGTTTAGAGAGTTTTTATTCTAAACATCTAAAGTAATATAATTTTTTGGCATCAAGTATTTCATTTGTCTTTTTTGATTTTGTACTTTTGATTACAGTCACGTTCCGGGTAATATCAATTTATAAAAATGATGAAAATAATGAAACAAGATTGTATAAACTAAATGAGTGTCAACCCCTTCAAAATCAAAGTAAGAAAAGAATAGGAAACTATTACTAATAATCTTATAAGAAAATATCAGTATTCGTATGTTTTACCCCAATACGACAAAACTTGAAGTTTTTAATTCAAATAAAATTTGCAGTGTGGTATAAGTAAAATGGTTATTGCAAAATAATTTCAAAGTATAATTGGACTTATTATGTATTGACTAATTGTGCTTTACCGACTACAACTACATTTTGTGATCATTTTCTTTAGACCAGTACAATATCTCAATTCAGTATTCTCACAATTGTAATGATCAACTATTAATTTTTTTAATCCCGAAAATGGAAAATGCAAAATGATATTGAAAAGGGTGTTCCGTGTAGGGATTTTTAAATAAAGAACTTGTATTAGCGCTTTTAATATTCAAAATTTTTTGTTTGTAAATAGTAGAGATAATAGGGGTTCTAAAATCCACCTGCAGAATTGATTGCTGTTACCATGTGGTAAACTGTATTATTAGCAAGCAGGTAAATGATAATTTGTAAATTTGTTTTGTTCTATCAATATTTATTTTAGTGTCACTGTCGGCACCGATATTACAACTTCAACGTACCACAACTTCAATAAGTGTGTTTTTGACTTTACCAAGTGAACTGACTAAGAGCATTACAACGCTTTACGACTATGATCTCGGAATAATATACTATTTCTGTTTGTTTAAAGGTAATTTAGTTATTTAATAAATTTAGTAGGTTTTAATTTTATGAAGTGAGTAACACATTTATCATCATATAAAAATTTAGTCATATATGATATGCATTTGATAGCTAAAGGAATAAAAGTAGCATTAGCATTTTAATTGTCAAATTTGGAGCCATGCTCTCGTCACTATTAAATATAATCCATGTGGATCAATTTACCAAGCGTGTAATATAATTGGATGATTCAATGGATAAACTTGATTAAACAACTTGTTTAAAATTCTTTACAATATAACCTTGCGGACTTACATTGAAATCAAATACGTTTTATATTTATACGTTTTTATTAATTATTTTTTTGTCTTATATTATTTTGTTTGCAATAATTTATTATATATAACATATTATTATAATTTCATTGCAGATGAAGGAGAATGTAGAAAACCATACAGTAAGTACAAGAATTTTTTTTTTAAAAAAAGTGTTTCAATTAAAATTTTGACGACAAAACGTGTATGGTAAATTACAAAAAGATTGAAAAATAAAATTGTACCTATTATTTCATACTTTTGAACATGATTTTGATTTGTATTTTGAACTGTCCAAGATCAACTAATAAATTTTTTTTGTAAGAATATTGCAATATAATTTCTCTATTGCAGGTAACTGTAAACCGTACTACACAAACATAACACTAGAGCCAGGCACCAACTACACGGTAAAATCCTGGTATATGGCACGAACAGACAAAAGAATAAAAAGCGACAATGCTACAGTTTACACAAAAACATTAGATGGTAAGTGTTAAGTTGATAATAAAATCATTTCTACTGGAAGCTGACATCAATGAAAATCGAAAAGAATTTGTAATGATTAGCTATTTTTAAATAAAAAATATAAACACTTTTGCTAATCAGTGATTTAATTCTATTTGCATGTTGTTGTCTATCTAGTAATTTTAAATCGATTCACATTATTAAGCTATTAGAACCCCATCGTGCATGTATCGGTTTCAGTCAATTTTTTGACAACCAGCCACTGATATGTAATGAGACATCAGGTTTTCGTGTTTAGCAATGTTTAAATCAACTTCATAACATCTTAAATGAGGTTGTTGGTATTAACAACCTAAACGCTGTGACCGTTAATTTGCATTTTTCAGTCCGAGTTGAAGTTGTGGAATATTGTTATACAAACCTTCTAAGAAAGGATGAGTAATTCGTCTTTCCGAAATTTAATAAGCACATTTCATAATACATATACGCAAATACTCAAAATACATATTTTGCAGATCCGTTTCCTCAAGAAGCACAACTTGCACTCTTTTTAACACTATTTGGATGTTTACTATTAGCTTCGTCTGTGTTTGGCATATGGAAATTATTTAAAACATTTCTGAAAGAACCAAGCCAATTGCTAAAACTTCCTATTCCTGATAATGTGGTAAGTAATCTATTCAATAACCGAACAACAACGTATTCCTTGGTATTGAAAATTGGGAAAACTTATAAAATGTTCGGAGCTATGTATAAAAATTTTATATATATAAATATATTAAGTCGAGTAACGATTTTGTTCATCAAAATTTGTTATACCAGTTAATGCCTCAAGATTTTCGAGAGTAATATAATTAAGTCTTTGTACACTTGACAAAAATATTTTGTTTATTTGTACTTGCAATTTTTTTCAAAGTGACGCAAATTTTTACCTGAAAATTAGGTAAGTGTCGCATGCAGGTAACTACTGAGCAGTGAGCATTTATATACATATATATATATATATATTTATAATAAATATTTGTTTGGCAGGAAAAAATGGAAATATATACAATATTATCTAAATAGTATTATCAAAAATTACTTGTTTGGCAGCATTTAGAATTTTATTTATCTCTTTTGTAGCAGTTTACCTGTGAAAGTGAAACAAAGCCCAATGTATATATAAAAAATGGCTGTATTAGAGTAATAAAAAATAGCAAGTATTCCTAATATTCTTTTTCAGAATACAATCAAATGTGATTACGAAAATAAAGCAAAAGAGCCAATAAATCTACTTTGCTGGTGAGCGATTTCTATCCTATAATATAGAATATCCACATTTTTACCATTTACTGAAGATTAAATATACATACATAATTGAATACATTTTTATGAGCAATTCATAACTATAGAACAAATGCCAAACAATATTGACAGGTTTCAAATTTCTGACTGAACATCAATTTCTATCATCTCAATTCGTTGTCCATCTATCAAGGGTTTTATGAATTGAGTAGGCAATTCAGAACCGAAAAGATTCTAATACTACCAAAATATAGCAGCCATCCTTGTTCGCGGTATAAACGTCATTTCAACGTCGTGTAAAAATTATTAGGTCCAATAAAAATAATTATTTAGATATATAATAACAATGTGTCAAAATAATCTGCTGTTTATATAGCAACAAGATAATTAATTACAAGCATAAATTCAAAATTACGTCTGTTCACGTCTAGTTATTACATTATTATTGTTCATTAAATAGAATATTTTTCTGGTAGTTTTGCATCAAAGACAAAAATTACGTGTAAAATATAGTGATTGGTCGACGCAAAATATTTGACAATAATGAATAAGATGTAATAGGGATCTTCATATCTTTAAAAGGGAACGCTTATTAACATTTGCGTTGGCTGTGTAGATTTCAACCATTACCGCTGGCGAGTTGAAATAATATTTATAAATAATAATTTCTCATTGCTGTATAAGATTTTGGCTAAGATGTGAAAATTTATAAATACATGTATGTGTGATGTAAAACCAACATACCCATCAAAATCATGAATTTTGGAAGTAAAAGTTATTTTAAAATTGAATTTCATATTTTATATAAATTACACTCTAATTGACTTTTTTATTTAAAATAGAAAAGGTTTCGAACGACTTTGAAAATATAGTATAATTTAGCAAAATAAGACTTGGTTGCACAAAATGAATCATACAAAAAGAATTTGGTGGTATGAAAATGATTTCTGTATTCTCAAGCCGATAATCAAAAATGAAACTAGAATATCGAGTACTGTTAAAATTTTAATGTAGTTCGATTATAGGTCATTTAACCACACCGCGCTGTAATTAAAAACCTCAAATACCATGTTGGTATTCAATTTTCCCTCTTCGGCATGAGGTAAATAACATATTGACTCGTGATAAGCACATCTGTTTGGCAAACAGTTAAAATATACCTCAATCGTAAGAAATGTTTGAAATGGTATGAAAAAACAAATATACGTCATCGCAATAGTAAATATTTTCTTGTAATTATAAGCTGTACTCAGATATGATCGGTTGAAATATTCCTTGTTAAGTATTGTTATCAAACATTTATGCTAAGTTTGCTACGCTATCGTTGAAATAATGAAAGCAAGATTTCAAATTTTGAGTGACATCATGAAAGATTCCTGTTGAAAATATTTACATATGAAAATAAATTGCGTAAGTGTTAATGCTTTACGCTGACCTGAAAATCCACCGAACTGGCCTCGATATTTATTTTGGCGCATTACGTCAGGAGTAACAAATAAAGTTGGGTAGTAACCGACTCCGGTGACCGCCTATGTATATCCTTATCATCCAGACCATATAAAAAATATTATCCTCAAATTATTTTTTGTTTTCGTTTATAATTTTCAGTTGACAAATCTGGACGCATTCTGTTTTCGAGATTTTGAATTCTATAATTTAAAATTAAATGAGATTTTAATAAAACACTGTAGACTTGAATTGGCTGGCAAAGGGGTAACAAAATCTTTTTTGATACAAATTTAAGTACTTTGAATGAGTATTATCAATTTATATCTTGATGCGCGCTCTAATTTGATCGTGTTTATATAGTTGATTAATTGTTTACAAAATTCCTGAGAAATAGAACAGGTCGTAAATTATCACAATCTGTTTTACGGATTTACGAGCGTGTTTGTTTACGAAACATTGTCTAAATACCTTAAGTATTCAAACTATATTGTTGGGTAGTATAACATTTTATTCGCTATATTAGAAATGAATATACAAACCTTTCTAAAGGAAAATGTGATCTCAACAACTGCTAATGCCTCAATAAGAAATATGGCGATTTCAAAACTGACGTTCGTAAAATATTCAAGTGGTTTTTTGTAAATTGACAATGGGTTTTTACATATAACAATCATATTTTGCAATATGCAATGTCTTAAAAAGCGTCTTTAATTATGTCACGGTCCATCCTAAAACAAGACTTATGGCGTTTTCCGTTTCATTTTTAGTATTTTATAATGCCGCTCCTCAATCAAAAAAATTTGGATGGCGTATTCACTCCTTTCTTTGCATCTCGTCGCTGTCGCTATAAACTCGTTTTTTACAGGTGTCATCGTGCGTTTAAGAACAAAAATGTACTTATCATGTCTTCGCGACGCCAAAGATATGTCAAAAATATTTGTGATTTAGGAAGAATAAATGCTGAAATAAAAGATGTTTACGGCCCAAATAACACATCACGATGACGAAACCATTCCGCGAATTTCACAAAATGCAATCGCACGTGTGATGGTATCGGTAATAGCCTCGGCTCGTGATACACACACAAGCTGCAACTTCAAATATAATAATCACAGCCGTGATATTCCATATTCACAGTGCGAGAACGCCAATTCATTTAAACTGACCTGACGTGAGGGATGTTTCACTCTCAAGGTATTTTATAGTTCAAATTGTACACCCCCCCCCCCCCCCCAAAAAAAATAGTCGCCCAACAAGACGCCCCACATCACAAAAATGAGACATTTGGGTCTGGAAAAGCGACTTATTCGGAGTGAAATGGTGAATATCTTTCAAACGTATGAGAGCACTGACATCTTGGTCCAGCGTCATATGGCTAAAACAGCAAATATATGTTGGTTCCAAAAGATATGTAGGGGTATGTTAGATCACGCTTTTATTTGAGTAAACTTTGCTCAAATATTTATTTCATGTTTTATATCTAACAGCTGCAATTGGGATTTACTGCAAGCAAAAGAATCTAATGAAGAAGGAATAAAAGCTGATGCTGATTCAGATAGCAGCTCTGAAATTATCAATGACATTCCAAATCCACAGAACGCGAATAATACGCAAAATCTAGAAGGTATATTATATTCATAGTTCAAAGCAGTGGTTCCCAGCCGCCGGTTTGCGAGAAATCTCGTTGTTTTGTTATTTTTATGCCGTCTCGAACGCTTCATCGAAGACGAAGTTGCGTTGGTTTATTACGCAATTTCTCTTCCGGCGTCTTACTGCGACGTCTTTCGTGATACCGTGGCGTCGAGTAATAACACTTTTCGCTTTTTAGGCCCCGATTCATCGCGAATGCGCCCCATCAAACCTCGCAAGACTCAAAAACCGAACAATCGGCACGCGTGCTTTTTTTGTTCGGCGTGCTTTTTCTGATTAATGTGAGCATCTACATAAAACGATATGCATATTTCTTTGTTTGAACCAGAAAACAGTCAAGGACAGTATAATATTCCAGTAAGATATGAACTTGTTCCGACCCTGCAGGTGATCACGAGACGCGCAAAAAAGCATGGGCCGCAGAGATCTTTTCCAGTATTTTGAGCGAACACAGTAGGTTATCGATGACTTTGTCGTTGTAATGTAAATTCATTTCGTTTGGGGCGTCGATCAACTGCAGCGGGATTAATATGATGAACCGATGAAAAAGAGAACACTTGATTACAATTGCGATTCTACTTTACAATACAAATTCTGAAAAAATTACTCTCACAATTTTGGATATTTCTTGATAGAGGATAGCCATCGCTAAGTAATCGAGCAATAAAACTGTTGTCCATATTTTCAAACAGTTACTGCGTTATGCAAAAAAATATTTTCATCACTAGCTATAATTAAAACGAAGTAAAAAAATCGGTTGCACGCCGCTGCAGAGCTACGTGTTGCAGAACCTTTTTTGATGCCTCGTTCGCAATCCTGTATTAGAAACGAAACAGAAGCAAAATTAATAATATGGACAATATTGTAACATGGCACATTGTGTTCTTCAGATGTGAAAAGAACTTCAATATATGAAAACTTTAACGAAACAACCCATCAACCTGTTCAACACGGGGAATTCGAAATTAACAAAATTGAAAGCAAAATTCTATTCGAAGACAACAAAGCATTATACAATATCCACCCATATATGAGGGAGATGTGGAATACCTCTCGTGAAAGTCAAGCCCACCACTTGATAATCGACGCGACAACCAACAGACCGCGAATTAAAAACGATGAACCAAGTCAATTATTGCCAGAAATTTCGCCACGTAAATTACAAACCCCTGTTCAAACTGACGAAGATGGCTGTGCAATCCAAACGATGGCAAGGAACGCGCAAAAGTCTGTTCAAAACAGGAGAGAACATTTGCCAAACAATAAAATACAAACAATAAAAATTAATTGTGATAACTTGGCCAAAAGCCCCGTTTCTGGTAAGACAACAAGCAATACAAACTTATCAAGTGTAGATGAACCCCATTTTCTTGAAATGGATGTACCGGTAAATTATTCGCCTCAATTCCTTGAAGGTAAAAACAATCCAATGTCATCGACATCTCGCCATGTCTGCGCAAATATCGATAATGTAGAAGACTCTGTATTTAGTCTTGCTCCAAAAACTGTAAACTCAGATTCTTTTTCAACTGATGCAGCCTTATATAGTCCAAAGTGAAAGCGGCTCGGCTAGAGTTCTTGACGTAGTTACCTGATTTACGTTTGTCATTGACAACGAGTACTTTGTTTGATATGTTTGTGTTTTATGGTATCAAATATCATCAGGTCAACTTGGTTCCACTAAAATATTTGTTATGTTGAAAAATAAAGTAATTCTACAGTAAAACTATGTGTAATATTTTATTTGAAATTATCTAACTATGCTAAACACCATTTTCGACGGGTATTCATGTAATTTATAATTGATTTTTGATAAATTTCTGTTAATATTGCTGATGGGGATAATGGTCACATTATAAAAAATGTCTACGTTTTTTCTGAACTAGTAACATTTCATTTAACCACTTATATAATAAATTGTACCAAAAATCAGGAAATAAATATTTTCGTATCTGAAGTATTTTATTTTTTGTAAAAATTAGGTAACTGCGAAGCGATTTTGTCGAGTGTGTGAACAACGTGGGTGTAATCGAGTTTGAATCGCTTATAAACATTATGACCAAATTTGAGATAAACAAAATGTTAAACACTTAGAAAACATATTTATATCAGAATTATTCTGCAATTGCTGGCTTCAACGATGTATTTTTCACGTAAAAATTGTAGATCAAAAAGTGTAGATCCGTTTCTCTCAACTTCCAATTTGAGTCCATAATGCATCTTTATACACATAAATTTGACAACGTGTTTTTTAATTTAATTTGATTGGTATTTTTCATATCACCACAGACTTGTGAAACTTATGCCAAATTGATTTTTTTGAAATTGTTATCTGAGTTTTTGCATGCGAGTTTAGTGGTGGTAATAAGAGCTGCAGCGTAATTTTTCTTTTCCAGCATAGACATTCTATAGCAGGGTGGTCCAAGGTTGATGTTCTCGCGGGCCACACTATTATTTTTTATGTTCTCGCGGGACACAAGAGTGTAACTTTAAATAACTGCAGATTGATTTATTATCGAATTTTACTAATTTTGAGATACAGGAGGGTATTTACCCAGCAGAAATTATATTGTTCGGCCATAACATTAATATTTGGTTATCAGGCATAGTCAACCTAGGCTAATAGATTCCTCATTCGATTTTCAGTTACTTATAAAGCCTATTTTGCTAGCATATATTCCAGACCCAAAAGATAGAAAGCCAGTTAACAATTTAGACTAGCCAAGCACATTATTCAACTTCGCTAGTTGCCTCAGCTAGCCATAACACTAGTCAATTCAGCGACATTAGTGTTGTAACAATATGTCAAAAAAATTTTCTGGTTATTTTTATAACGAAACATCACGAAATTTTGTTTTGTTTGATTTTTTGTTAACCCTCCCGCAATGGCGACACGGGCCATAGATAATAAAGCCTGGGTTTGGACCACCCTGGTCTAGAGTTTCCGATGAACGCATTTTCGCATTGTTAAATGTTAGAGGTTATTTACGAAGCAATTACCACTAGAAGAAAGCGACTAAGCGATGGTAATCCATTTTATGCATCTTCAATAGAGATTTGCATGTTTGTTCGTTTTCAGTTACTTTACGCTAATGCAGCACATTGTAGATTATAGTCGAAGTACTATTTTTAACATTTCAATTTGTTATTGTTAATTAGTATAGTGTACCAACCAATTTGTACAAAAGTAAATAGGCAAGACAAATACAAATGACTTTATTAACATGTGAGAAGATAAACGCATTTTCGTTGATGTGATTGAAAACTTTCTCTTCTTAAAACCATTCTTAACTTGCATTTGAACACAAAGCTTCAACTTTCCGCCAAGTCCAACATACGTCACGTTTGTCACCTTTATAACTTTGTTTAATTTAATCTTTACTAATAGGGTTTAAAACATTTAGTCTTTACGTAATAATGTATACTGACTTATCTGAATGATCTATGGGCATAAAAACATGAGAATCAATTTGATTTTTTTGTTTTGATATTCGGTATTTTTATGGGTTTAACCTCGCAAACAATTTTGTCATATTGTCATTTAATCTTATAGAAGAGCTTCAAGATAATATCTATATATATATATACCTCAGCTATTTTCGTTTTACAGGTAGACCAAATAACATTTCATGATATCGGCCTATATAGATCAAGCTTGAATTATGGCTAGTTAATCTTAAAACTATTTTCAATGTACAAAGTTTAGAGCATCTGAACTTGAGTTTATTTTATATTTTTTATCACTTTCACATAACATCAGACATTTAATGACATGCTGGGTTATGTGGTTGATTTGGATTCGGAATGTTATGTCTAATTGGGTTTCAAATATATTTTTCAAACGATAACAATTCATTACAACGTCAAAGCGCTAACCACCATACCACAAGTCTCAAAAATATTTTTAAACGATCACGCTCAGCACAAAGTAAAAGTGTTTATTATTATTGTTTTTGTTACGAAGCAATGAATGCCCACAAATTATTGCTTTCCATTACAACGCATGATACTTATTTTGAAATGTACGTAAACAGAGCTGAAATTATAAAAAAATTATCCTAGGTATAGATAATTTCTCATTTTCTAATTATAAGTTACATACGCAAACACTTTCAGTGCAACTTGAAAAAATATCGGGGAAATAACCAGCAATTTATGTAAGTCTTCCCAATCGGGTAATCTTGAATTAAAAAAAGATAAGAATCGTTACATTTATATGAACGTCTATAAGAAGAATACGTTTTTTGTTTGTATTCGGCAACAGAGTTCTAATTGAATTGTAGAGCAGATTAATGAAATAAAATAATTACTAACTTAATCTTGAGAATGAGGTGATAGACAGACAGCACACTAAGAAATTTAATAATGATCTATAGTATAGCAAACACATTGAACAATATGAGAGTTCAATAAAATACCTGTCTGTATTTACATACAAATAAATAAATGTATCGCTTTATTTGAACTATGACTGATTCGAAGCAACCTTAATAATTTAAAGAAAAGTAAAAATCTTCGGCAATTTCAAACTTTTACATTCATTTCAGGCTAGTCAGTAGAATTGAGAATTAAGTAATATTTAAATCAGATTTCTTCATAAAAAAAGTTCCGTTGCCGATACTGCATTAAATCATGGCTGACACAAATCAAAGATCTCTTCGAACAGAACCAATTCAAACTTCAAATGGCCAGCCGGTTTATCAAAATCCTGAAGTTGGAAGACTTCCTGATAATGGATACGTTAGAATGGACAGGCAAAATGAAGGTGATAAAACATGTAATTAATATTTAGCAGCGGCCACTGAAAAAAAATATTTTTCACGATTTTATAGACTTTATATATCCCAAATATATGTCATATGTCATGAAAAAGTGCAAAGTAAAATAACTCCTAAATAAATTTGTTATGGAAAAGTTTATCTTTAATATATACCCAAGATATATAAATGGATTAGTTAGAAACACAGCCATATGTATATTTATGTATCATATAATGTTTTCAGCTCTTCCTCCGCTACCCAACCAGAATTCTGATTGCAAAAAAGCGGAGAAACTAAAAAAAAGTTTGATGTGGACAGTTCTTACCTTTTCTGTGTTTGTGATATGCATGGCAGGGTTGTTGGCTTGGTGCTTGTATATGGTTCTGGAGGTAATAGAACAGATTTAGTTCTTCCCACATGTTAATCTTTACGCACGTATCGAAATACTTTTAGTGGTTCATTAGGCATATTATTCTACAAGCTTTTTGCGTATATTTCTCAGTCAAAGTATATTAGGCTGTTGAGATATTTAGGTATCTTGTGAATATTGAAAAATCAGGAAGAATTACTTGAAATACCTCTAAATTTAAATAAATATTTGAAAATATTTATAGTTTAGAATATGCGTAGAATGAGGCCCAAAATAAGTGACCAAATTAATAAGTTGATAAATCTATCGATAGAAAAATTAAAAATGTTTGTAAGCAGTAACTCTTTTGTTTCTTGACGTTATAAAATTACATTATCTTTGTTTATTCGCAGCAAAGATATGGAACTATTATGCTGAACGAGACAGGTATAAACTCTCATTTATTCATTTTCTCCTAACTCGTGCACTATAAATAGAACGTTACAAGTCGTTTTAATGTGTACCTTGTTAGCATAATCTCAGTTCCTTCATAACACATTAGTATTATTTGGCTAATCAGAGTTATCATCTACTTCATATTGTTCATTAACCCAATATATGACTTTCAAATCCATTCCAACAATTTCAAATTGTTCCATGCGTAATAGCCATGTCCCGCGTATAGTACAAAAGAAAAGGGTTTACATATTTATCCAAAAAGAGAGGAAAAGGCAATATGACGGCCTAAAGTTATGTCATTATATATATACAATTGTCTTGTCCATAATTACCCCCACTGATCTAACCTGACTCCTAGCGAAGATTTAGACAATCAGTCACAATCATGCTACAGCTGAAATAATTACAAAAAATACTACTTTTTTTCGTAAGTTTTATTAGAATTTCTTACTGTTTGAAAAAGGCAGTAATCCGCCAATATTTGGTCCCAAGATTATTACTACTACGATTAGACTAAGTAAAAATTCGCCCGCACAGCACGGCTTGCTAGAGACGTCTACTATTGCTGCTAAAACAATAGTAGTTATAGGAAAAAACGATGTAATGAAAATGTCATGAACATCCCCGATAATACAAATAATAGCAAAACAATTCATAGGTTTATATTATGTATGTTCCGAGATTATAAAAGCGATATATCGAAAACAAAAATATTTCAATTTAGAAAGCACGACAGAAAACTTCTCATTTTATTTATTTTTACTAAATACGTCGGATGAGATAAAAATGTTCCCCATCGAATATCAAACTTTTTTGTTTTTGTTTTAGAAAGCAAGACAGAAAACGATTCATCTTTATTTATTCCCACCACAAATACACCGGATGAAAATTTGCCCAATAAAGCAGTTTCAGCGAATGTTACAACACAAACTAAAACGCTGGTTGATGCAGTTGAGTAATTTAATGATTTATATAATTTTTTTGATTATTACACTGGATGCATTTCCTTGAGCATGATAATTTTACAAATATAATCATAAAACTGTAATAATACTATCAGAGTCAGCTGGTTTTGGTTCATTTCCTTTAAATAGCCAAGCCGAATACATCTCACATAGTCACATGTTAAGCAATATATAAATTATGATATACATGACCTCTGATAACGACCGTTTGTGGCTTTCATTTCATGCTTGTTGAACATAAAATTGATCTATGGATCGTTATGTTAATATTATGTTGTTGTTATTCTTCTTCTACTTTTCACCTTATTAAATCGCTTTCTCATTTCCTAATGGACCAAATAATTTGCAAATTTAAGTGATTAAAGATTGTATTTTTCGCTAGAAGATTATTATTTTTATTTGTTCCTAAATGTCTGTGAGATCTGATATTTCATCAAAAATGCGCTGTATATATTTTAATTTATGGGACCACGTGTTTATGATATCGTGAAGGCTGTCTTCCACATTTTTATGACATCGTTACTGCCGGCACCAGAACCTATTGCGACAGATTGCATACCCGTACTACGGCGTTTTAAATTTCTTGTCCATACACTCGAGTATCGCGCTCTTTGACAAGCCCCAATTTTTTATCCTCCTATTGGTATACGTCTACCGTGAATTGACTGACATGATTACGTTTATCCCATTTTTTTCTTCTTCAAAACCAATTATGTCAATAAAAAATCTGCTTAAATTTCAGTTTGCACTTCTCAAAAAAGCTAATATTAAGATGAAAAGTGCAATCCGTGTCTCGGGTTGGTACGTAGCAAAAAATAATAAGCTGTATAGAAGATATCGCAAAATGGTAAACTATACGGAAGCAAAAGAAAAGTGTGAAATGGTCGGAGCAAAATTAGCATCTACTGGATTGAGAGACAATCGTATCAGAAAGTAAGTGCTTCTTCCCAACAAATAACACTGTGGTATTGCATGCAAATGTCCTTTACACCTATATCATTAATTTAGATTTAGTTAATATTCCACCAAAATATCATGTTATGGTAAAACTGTAAGCCTAATCAGGTTCCTATTATAGTGTTAATAAAATTGTTACATTTGTGATATCAGCAAGAGCTCTTCGTTTTATAAGCAGTTATTATTACGAGTCTATATCATAAGAAATCGCACTGCTTTCATAACTCACCTCAACTTTTTGCCATATAATTCAAATCTTTCATTTTATTTCTGGTTTACCTCATATTGATAGAACTTTTAGGTTTAGACTATAAAGTATTTTGCCCAATATATGACGATAAAAATGCGATTTGTTTTCAGTGAATTGAAAAATAGGGGACTAGCTCCCGAAATACTGAATTCCCATACTTGGATCGGCTTACGTAAACATCAAAACAACTTATGGATATGGTCGGATGATATAATTGCAAACGATAGAAATACAGATTGGGGTCTGTACGAACCAAATATGTACAATGGGTGGACCGAGGCATGTGGAGAGATAAATATGAGCGGGATTAATGACAGAAATTGCTCATTGCCATCTTCCTTTTTGTGCGAAGCATAATTAATCTGTGGTATATAAGTAACAATTTTTTCAAATATTACAATATTTTGCTATTTACTTTATTTTGCCTCGTCTTGATTCTTGTTTGACGAATCTAATTTCTTGCTGTGTTTAAATATTCACACCACACCATGTAATATTACTCAAAACGCAACAAAAGGTTTGTTTAGTGAAGTTTGAAATAAAATATTGTTGTACTTTTTAATTATTTTATCGATTCTTATTTTATGAAATTCAACAATACTTATTTCTGAAATATTGCTTTAAATATTCAAACTAAAATAACACGTAAGAATGAGAAACGCTCTATAGTATCTTGTTATCTACTGTCGTACCTAAAAATAGAATATTTTTGGGAATACCTTAGCGTTAAACTTTTCCGCAATTTTATCTGCTTGTCTGGTGTATTGAGAAAGTCATTTCTGCCATTTCAACATAGCGGATGCTAAATTTATCTTTAATAAAACACAAGATTTGCAATAATATCATGTCTGAATAGGTTCACTCATGTGGGTATTATATACTTAAATAGTGATCAACATTGGGGGTAAGCATATAAAAAATTGCTCATTGTTCGAGCATAAATAATTTATTTATAATGCTTTCCGTTATGTTTATTATTACAAGCTGACGTTGTCTATGTATGATGTAAGTGTGTATTATAAAACAGAAGAAAGAACCTTTTGTTGAAGACCGGTTTGACAACTTATATTTTTAAATCTTTCTTATATATGTCCCATAATGGCTTAATTTGGTGAAAATTTTTGTATTTTAATTAAGAATTAGAGTATTTCCAATATGACTTTAGAATTTTTGTATTTCCAAAATGAATTTAATGCACCATATAACCAAAAATGCTTCTGTGTTCCATTATTATATGAACATACATGACTCGCATATAACTAATCTCTTATTGCGCACCAAAAAAATAGTCAATTTTTGTAATGCATTTTTTACGCGAATAACCAAATTGACAATTCTTTTATGCGAACTTGATTAAATTAATCAATGTATGTGATATATATATTAAAATATCGTTATAACATTATTTGAAACTTTAAAAATAAACTAAAGACTTAAACGCATGCAACTTTTTTTCATATAGCAAAGGGAAGGAGACGAATCACCATTTTGAAAAAAGGTTGAGCGACAGTGACCTTATTTGGGGTTTTAGAGCTTGTAAAGACTTACCATTGGCAACCCCCCTGAAACACAAATTTGATTCATTTTACGGTCATTTAGAAACATTGATTAGTACCGCGTTTTGCATCAAAACAAGAATAACGAATGTTATATTGAGTGTGCTCGTCACATATAGAGTACTCAACACACATAACGTGATTGCAAATGAGACCATATGCAGATGGACCTCCTGAAGTATGCGCACCAATATGGCGCACAACTTGAACTCAGGTTGTGTACCAGGTTAGGGTTCAGGTTATGCGACATCTTGGTGCGCATACTTCAGGAGTACCACGGACCTACAGAATTATGCGCACCAAGATGGCGCACAACCTGAACATAGGATGTGTGTACCGGTTAGTATTCAGGCTGTGTGACATCTTGGTGCGCATACTTCTGGAGCACCCATTTTTGAATAAGCGATAAAAGTCCTAAAATTGAGCCACGGGCAGCATCTATGAAATTTGGTTTAGAATCAATGGACATCAAAAATTTCGTTCACTCCCAGGGGAAAAGATTTAAAAACATTTTTGTACTACCTACAATATATACACAAATACTTTATTCATTTGTACATATATTTCCTGAAGCTAGAATGGGAACATACAGTTAAGCTAGGTGGTGACAATATGAACGACTATAATTTACGATCAGCACGTCATATAGTATTGGTGCATACCTATTATTTCAGACAGTAATGGCACAATAAGCCACAATACCGGTTCGATGCTTAATTGAAATACCTAATAATTTAAATTACTACATGCGTATTCCGCCGTGTTATGGATAGAGCGTTTCGGTACCGCTACCTGGTGGTAGCAAATAGTTGCTTTTAATCGATTAGCAATTTGAACGCATGTTGGTATTTTAGTTGAATTATCAGTAGCATTCAATTGACCACAAAATTTTAAAAATGGTAGCATATATCAGTGGTGATTAATCTGTGGCGCGTCAACGTTCGCAAATAATTTCACCATTTCTAGAATAAGTAGTACAACAAAGGAAAATTAGTTGAAAGCTTTATGGTTGAACGTGGCTCAAAATTACACGATAACGAATCGAAATGATGTTCATAAGCTATTTCCTTATGCATAAATGGCTCACAGGCATTGATCGAGAAAATCTGTAATTGACTCCCAATGTTCTAGAAATAAAGTTATATAAATATTGCAGGTACGTTTTGAAGTAATTAGTTCTATGTGTCTAATTACCTCGTGTAGTTTTTTTTTATAACCGGCAAATATCAGTTTAGTTATGATTCCTATTACGTTCAAAATATAAACACGGGGTAAAATCTTGTAACTAGATTTTTTGAAATCGGAGTTCAGAATATTTCCGCGTGGGAACTAGTTCCGAAATTTTGTTATTCTGTCCACATTCTGAGGTATATTTTTATCGCTGCATTATTAGTTATCTCCGCCTGCTTTACTAGTTATCTGGCCTTGCCGTAGTGTTGGGACGTCGCTTGAAGCGGGGTAGTCTTGATTTCCCATGGCATAGATAGGACCATGACAATTTCACTCCTGAACTGGGAATCACTAGCCAGGTAACCGTCCCTAATTATACCCATGAACGTTACAGTGAAAACAGGTTATCGTTCCCGGTTTAATACCAAACTAGAGAAGCACAATACAGTAATACTTAACGAGAAGTTTTGGTAATTCCGCTGAGGTTTGCCAGGTAATTACGGTTATTAATATTGGAATCACAATATCGATGTGTAACAAGTTAACAACAGCCCTAACCCTTCAACATCCCCTACAGACAGACAGACTAATGCAGCTATCAATTCAGCAGCACAATAACCATGAATATTGGCAGAATTTTTTGATATTTCTTCCACGCGGAAATATTAAGCGTCAATTTTCACTGATATTACATGACAAGCGTGAATGCAACTGAACATGGAAATTATAAATTATTGCAGTGTAACGATAAGTGAACTTGCCCAATCCTGATGTTGTTCTCTGTCAAAAACTTGTTTCAATCGATAATGGATGCTTACGCAACTAATATCCTCGCTAACTTTCGAAATACCACTAATTTTAATATGAATGCACCCATATTCGTATGTTTCATGACGCTGTATATAGGACACGTAACCAAGATAATAAACGCGGGTATGCCAGAATTATCCAATACGAAAAACTACAGTGGGGCTGAGGGTTAAACAATTCATCGACTGTACCCCGGTATCAGAATGTAGTTCCCTGCAGATCCCAAATAAACTGATAAATGAAATAACTCAAGGAGAAAATAGACGTGATATATATTACAAAATAATAAATAACAATTCTCATGTTTACTGATCAACAAGGCCTTTCATATATTTGTGCAGAGCATTCATGCAAAAGTTTGTTGTTACTTGACTTATATTCTACAATAAGAATTTTGCAAATATTTCAAAACGAACAAGTTTTTCGTTGTGTTCTTTCTCAGCGTGTATATATTGTTGCTCTGTCAACAACTTTTTACGCAACCATTACGCCGAACTTTTTATCAGGCATCATGGACCTTCTGTGTTGGGTACTTACAAAAAGTAGACTACTGTCATATTATTCATCCATATTTCTGTGGTCTGTTGATATAACATAATAAAACCAATACGCAATGTTAAAAATTATAAAAGAAAGAAAATAGAATATTCTGAAGAAAACGTCTAGTTTTGTTGCATCGTTGGCGTCGTTGAATATAGAGTGAGTTTGTAATCTTGAAGATTTACGTTTCTAAACAAATAAAAATGATTAAAAGGGCTGTTGAACGGTTGTGATCCAGACGCTTCAAGAAAAATAACTGTGCAGAAATAGTAAAATAGCAAGAAGATATATTTATTCTCACTGTTGATTTTGTAGAACAATTGAATATTTTCACAGCTTCAGCTTTAGGAGTAGTATCCTACATCGAAGTGGAAGAAATAGAAAAGAGTAGTGAAAAGAATGAAGCGATGTATATAAAAGAAATAGAAGAGAAAGCATGGTTAAATTAGATATCACATAAGCAAACTGTAATTGGATCTGCAAAACATACATTAGTAATTTATGTACGCATTATGTAGATATGGTGCGTTTTTATAATTACATCAAAGTCTAACAAACACATTTACATTCTAATCGTCGTAAATGTAGGAGAGATACCGGGTAATATGCTGCCAGATATTTTTTTTTAAATTAAGAAAAAATTTCTGATTATCTTCGGACTAATATAAATATGTGTCATACTAAATCCTGAACAACTGCATTTCGAATGTCAAAGGGTCACCTGGCGTGTCTGCCTAAATATAGTTTTCCCTGCGTGAATTAGCTTGTTTGTGTAAACGATTGCAAATATTGCCAAAATTTATAGTCATAATGTTTCCAACAAATGTATAAAATCGACAGAACTATGGAATTTGGGGCCTAGTTCATTAAACGCGGTCAAGTTCTTCTAGTTGGCGTGGTATGACCATTCGCATATGTTATTTCTAACCCCCACCTGACTACGTCATTCAAACATTACGTCACATTGACGAAATAAGGCTCGTCAAAGTATACGGATTTTCGTCTAAAACGCGCAGACGATCACCTGAAATTGAGCAAGCTATTTCTATCGTTTTTTCGTCGTAACGATCCCGATATGAGAGAGATCGGTGGCGTTTGCGAGTTCGTTATCGTCGGCGGATATAACATTTCGGGCGATCGTAGCTTTTCTTTGGCAAGCTTTGGCAATTAGTAACGTAATTTTTTGATGGCGTAGTCAGGTGGGATTTAGGAATGACATATGGAAAAAGTTTGTGCCATGCCAACTAGGAATTCTTACGGCGTTTTGTGAACATGCGCCGGAATTTGAGTACGCCATTTTGGCCCAAAACATAACAGGTTACGACAGTATAAATATATTGCATATATACAACTAAAACAGATTGACGTGCATTTGGGACAAATTGTTGTTTGAATCAATTATTAAAATCCAATTTAAATTTTGTAATTACCTTTTGGGATTCTTCATAAGGTCCAATTGAATTGGAATACTGAGTGTGAGGCTGCCTTGATGAAAAATTTTGAGAAAATATTTCAGAACATTCTTCAGCTTTATCCTTCTCAGTCCTTGAATTTCTGTAAACGGTATGAAATGTGAAGGTCTAGTTTTAGATTGAAGTTATTATTCAAAATCCATAAGTATAACTTGAAGTGCATGATTTAATAAAGAGAAGATGTTCAATATCAAGCAAAAATTGTTTTGAATCCTTCACACTGCTTCGTTCACAAAGTTTGGATAGGTAATACTGCAAAAACAGATTAAGAAATGATTTGTGAAATAATTTGTGGCGGTGATGTTTTATTGCAATGTAGGAAAAATAAGCACTACCTATGTCTTTGTACTGAATCATTGCTTGTTTGTTTCGTAAATCTTTGATAGGTGTTGTTATGATGATTCAGTCCATTTTTCTAGATACAAAACAAAATAGCAATAAATGTTATAGAAGAATCTCCAATAAAAAGCTAGTAAAATTTAAAACATGCAAAATCTATATCTGGCGCTCCAGAAGTATTTGTATACAGTATACCAATATAGAAGTAACTTTTCGTTCGCCTACTTAACATCAAGTTGTGTGAAGGAACTGAATCCTATGGGCAGGTGATATATTTACTTTGAAAACACAGACAGTCCCCGAACTCGCAATAGAACTAAAAAAAGGGAAATAGGAATAACATTATGGCCTAACCATAACCTGGTACACACACTAAAGGAGTAGCATAATCATACTTACTAAATACAAACACAGAGTAAAAAATATACAGTCAACGAACTATTAAATGAGTATATATATATACATTTCCTTATCTTACCAAAATCATTTCTTCATTTTTTAAACCTCTTCTTATTTTTTTAACTTGTATCGTCATGACATAATTTAAAACACAGTATTCCAGTACGGTTGCAAATACAAATAAAAAGCAAGCCCATAGATATAGGTCCATGGCTGTTAGATAAGAAACCTGAAAGTTGAATCAAGTAAATAAATTGTAATACTATAATTTTACAACGTTTTTTACCTGATTGAAGTTTTGTTTGAGTAGCAAATATTTTTAACAATATGTTATCAATCCTCAATTTTTTATTTTAATTTCAATCCTGCATTTTTTGAATGAATAAAATTATATTAATGTTCGCGAAATTCTTTTGTTATTAGAATATTTTGGATAGAAAACTTGAAAAATAGCAACAATTAATTATTTTACAAAAAAGCGAAAAAGGCGTCACCTTTGGCAGTGAAGACTTTAATCCAGTAATTATTGTGGAAATGGTGAGAACTGATGTAATTCCTGAAAAATTGAAATTTTACTTCACTGTACACATAGTATTAAATTCAAGTAAATTATACAACAATAATTAACACTGAATTAATAATGAAAATAAAAACCACGGGCTTATCATTTTCCTAGATATCATAGCCGAAGAGTTCAAATTAGTGTATGTTTATATTATTGATTATATCAACATTGTATGCTTTGTAACTCTTTATCCAATATTAATATTTGGTTTGAATGAACATCTATATGTTCCCTAATTTCTATGTGAACGTTGCCTAGAATTGTGGAGCATTCATTTATGTTCATCCTAACCTGATAGTAATAAAATATTCCGCTTAACCCAATTCGAAGACGCAATTTATCTTTTTCATTCAAGTCTTTCATGATCGTATGGGATCTAATTAATAAAATATAATGCCATTTTTGACTTTTGCTAAAGACAGTGAGAATATATCTTACCCATCGCAACTCTGGCAGGCACTGATCTAGGATCTAGCCACATTCCTAATCCTGCAAGTATCACCATAATAATAGCTGGGAAATAGGATTGAAAAAATACAGATAGAAGATATCTTTGTAATTCAAAGCTGACACGCAGTTCAGATACCTCGCCTGAAGTAAAAGAGATTTAATAGAATTGGGGTTAAAATTACCACAACAAACCATATTACAATTGTTGCTATAATATTCATTAGACACGGAGTTATTATGTTGTTGTTGCTGGCGATATTCTTTTTCTTGTTGTTATTATTGTTGTTGTTTCAAATTCGCATTTACAGGACCAATTGCTTTTCAGTGGTTGGATATTTTTGTTGTCACTACGAGGCTATTACTTCTCGCGAACTCGCTTTTTCCATCTAAAATTGTAGCGGCTCTGCGATCGTCAGCGGAGAATTTTTATAGAAACGTTAGGTAGACTACAGTACTGTACCTGATAATACAGTAGAGACTCGGATTATATAGTACAGAACATGGAAAAGCTAGCCCAATCCGCTTACCGATACTGATACCAGTATACCGATAAGTTATCGTAGCTTATCCAGAGTTCCAGTTTTATTCGGGATATGATTGTGGGGAATTGTTGGTGAAATATTTCGTTTTTCGTCTTCGTGTGCATATATTTGAGCAATGCTCTCCTGATCATAATACCCAATACCAATAAAAGTATCTGATTAATTACCTCCACCCTGTTTACAACGTACAGTATTTGTATGAAGAATATGATGAACAAGTTTAAACTTTGGCATGTTGCTAACTAATTTGGGATCCATGAAAAGATGTTCCATTTTCTCTCCCATTCGCCATTCTAATTCCAATTCATCCGTTGTGTACGCGACTAAAGGACAAAAAAAGTATTTTTAATTGAGCGGTATGAACCTAAAATCAAAATTCTCATCTATCAGTTATCTAGCGATGTTGTACGCTAAACATGTTCTTCCAAATAAAAATTTTGTTTCATTCCAAGAAAAGTTGTTCAAGTTGAATATTTGTTTACAGCAATAATCTCTACATGTTGTTGTGTGTTAAATATATCATAAAATAATATAAATATTAATACTGCAACAAAGTAGTGAGGCTTCATACTTACGGCTTTGTATAGCTAAAGTGCAGTTTTCTATATCAAGAGGAAAGTTGTACAAATTCATTTGACATGCCACAGTTGTGGTTATTCTGAAAAAATTATTAATAAAATTTTCCATATCAGTCAGTTTTAAAACATAATATAATAATATTGAATTATATTAATTAATGCTATTAATGATAAATTGATACAAATCATATATATATATATTAAATGTATAAATATTATTGCGCTAGTAAGTGTGATGAAGGAAGCAGACTATGTTGGAAGTTAGTCAACGTGAATATTCGTAACATATTGGGCAATATATTTATATACTTCGATGGAATTAAAACGTGCAAACCATGATTCTATTTATTATAGAAACAAGAATTACTAATGTTTGAAGTAGGAAAACATTATGTATATCTTAAACGCAGTATTACTTACTTAGCTTTGTAACTAATTGTTCCATTCTTGTAAAGCCTCAGCATAATATTATCAACTGTAGTGCGATGAATAAATGATTTCTTAGATCCAACAATGAATAAATCTTGAAAATTTGAAAAAATATTAAACGTATTGAATCTTTATTTTGGTGAAAAAAAAATTTGGTAAAATTAAATTAATTTTATACTTTATTGCAATGTATTAATATGTAAGCTTTTTATTCATCCATACATAATTCACATTTATTGGAATTGCAGTCTTTGCAATTATCGGACATATTATACAATTGTAAACTACCGTGCATAAACTATGGGTTATATTTAGGACTAATAAAGAATGTATTAAGTACATATTGAACTTATGAAAGTGATGAAATATTATTCATAAAAATATACTATATAAATTGGAAACAATATTATTTCCATAGTTCAAATTGTGATGATGATATTTAGATTGAATAAATATGTTCTCAGATTTCTGAAATTTTAAGGGTAGTTTTTACTTACCTGGTACCCAAAGTTTGTCAATTAATCTACTAGGTAAAACAATACTCTCATGCTCTCCTGTCATCTTCAGTCTTTCATCAGTCCATGACTTCCATATCCGTAATGTGAATGTTAAATCCTGGAATGAGATCAAAATAATACCGTGTTTCCCAGAAAATAAGACCTAGCCCAAACTTTAAAAATTATTTTAGTTTAAGCATCCCCTCTAAAATAAGACCTAGTCGATTAGGCGAAAAAAAAATTGACTCTTCCGTTAATGGTTGGTCATTTTTGAATAATCTATGTTTAGCAGTTTTTTTCTAAACGTGTTATTTATAAGTAAACGGATATCGGTTTTCATATTTTGTATATTCGAAAAGCTCGTAATTCTCTACTTTGCAATTTCGTTTTCGATAAATTAAAATTAAAGACATTCCCCAGAAATAAGCCCCATTGTTATTTTTCGAATGAAAAAAATTTAAATAACACCCTGTCTTATTTTCGGGGAAATAAATCTGTAGTAAGAGTAACTTATTTTACAAATCCTGAAAAGATACCGCGACACAGAGACTCAAAAATATAGAAGTATTGATTTTTTGCTCAGCTACTTACGCATGTCAATATGTTTCACATATACATCTTGATTGCCCAATGAAAATAGAGTGGCAGTTTAAAGCGGAAAATCGATAAATATGTCGGAACGACACTAGAAGAGAAATGACGCGAGAAACGAAAGATCTGTACATAAACTAGTAGAAGCGAAATATTAAACGCGATCTGATTTTGAATGACACTCTTACTACGTATGATGTATAAACCTAATTCCAAGATAAATTGAAAATTGCTTTAATTTTCTCTTCTCAAAAAACTAACAATAAAAAAGGAAGCTTAGGTGTGACATAGGCCTCACCACTGAGCTTTGAGTTTCATTTTCGAGATCCTTGAAGAATGGTTTCGTGTTCGGAACGGTATACAATTGAAATAACTATAATCTAATTAAAATATATGTTATCTTTGAATAATTGCACGGATATAATAAAAGATTAAAAAAATAAGATCTAAAATTTATCATATTCATCTTTGTATTCTAATTTATTGTTTTTCACGTCTTAGATTGTTCCAAAAAATTTTAATAGCAAAATATACGATCAATCTCATCAGTCACCAACTAATATTGCCTGCCAAACAGAGTCAAAACGTTCATTAGAAAGAATTGCCATTGATTTTTAAATTGTATTTTAATGCGGTGTTGATTTCAAGTGACTTTTATATTAAATATTCATGAAGTTGTTGAAACTCAATATTGCTGTAATCAAACTATACTGGTAAAGTATATCAACATTCACACGTAACCTTGAAGTCAGAGATGACGTGAATTTGTGAATCGGCATTAGATGGTTACTCCAGATTCCCTAATCAATTGTCCACTATTAAGTATAAATAAATCAATTAAAATTTTGGATCTGACATTTGAGTAAAGTATGGAATTATACATTGCGATGTCTTAAGAACAATCACGAGTCAATATTATAAACTAAAGATAAGCTGGAATAACAACGGGCGATTTTAGGAAGACGTACGAAGCTTTATAAATTGTACCAAACTGTGCTTTGAACTGAGCCTAATTCAAAATTTGGTAAATTTTTAGAAAATTAATAAAACTGCGTGACGAAATTTTGTCGTTGTTCCCGATTTAAAAACAAAATCAACTGACTATTTTCATATACTTTCTGAATGTCATATCATATGTCGTCTTTCATCGACATCAAAAATTATTAGTCTTCGACAACCCAATTTATGACCTAAAACATTTTTCATGAATATTCATTCAAGTTCATTAATAATAAATGAAACAACATAGCAAAAACATAAATACTGCTTAATGAAAAACGCTTTTGTGCTTTCTTCGCAAGACATATGGGTCTGGTATTCTGTTACTAACTCCAATTCTAGGACTACACGAGTGTATAGTGAAAACATATATAATCACGTGGCTCTAAATTATAATTAATTTTTTCCTGTTCAAATAAATAAACATCCTTTTTTAATGCACTACTTTTGTTGTTATACCGCAACAATACTCTATTGAGTATTCTTTTCTCACAGAATAAAAATCATATACAAATGTCAACTTCCGTTATTTTTGAAATATAAGCAAACGCTTAAAAATATATTGCATGAACGTATAAACGAGAATATCGGTCAGAGACCGAAGACTTATCGATCGAAAGTTAGGGGATCCGCCATAACAGCGCTCTTACTCCATAGTGACACCTTGTGTCCCATCACTAATTAATTAATACCTCGCTAATTATACGACATAATTCGCCAAATTAATAGGCTTCTGATATGATGAATGCACATGCAATCTGGAGAAGATTTAATCTAGCTTTCGTGAGATATCGCGTGCATCTAACAGACAGATGGACAGACAAATAACTATCAACATACTTACCGATTAAAATCGATATGTAATAAAGCCTCTGATTGAAATTCTAAATATTTGTAGTTATAGAATTTTTACGTAAATACTAATCCTATCTGCTGTCCTTTAATACAATGAGCGCTTCACTGTAATAATTTGTTGTAAATTTTTTTTTTACAGCGATATAAAATTATCTCTGCAACGAAACGCTTACAATATATAGAGGAAAGCTGTACACTTACCATATTCACTTCTGAAATGTCTGATATACTTTCAATTAGTATGGCAACTCCAACGCGCACAGGCTCATCTAAAAGTACATGAAATGAATCTTGATAATATGAACTATGATAAAATATAATGTACAGAAATGCTATTTTTGACCCGTCTATTATCGCAGGGCCCAGATCATCAATATCACTATTTAATCTAATCATTAATCTAAAATATTATGTCTATAAATGAAGTGGGTTGATCTATAAATACGTGTGAAATTTACTGAAAAATGCTCTTTACCGTTTCTTGAAGGACTGACGCTCATCTCATATGCATGACTTCTGAACAATTTTTCAACTTGCTGCGTCATAGATGTTGTATGAGGATCAAGGGTCGGATGACTCGGTTCTAAACAAATAATTGATATTTTAATATGACGTGTTTATAAACCATACGCTTCGAACAAGGCTCTGTACGAGGACTGATTTGGTCTTGATGAACAGGAATCTTGCAGATACAGCGTTGCCATCCAGCAAAGGGTACGCCAACTTGACAATTCGCCGCAAAAATCAACAAAATTATTTTAAACATAACTGAAATATGATAAAATATTTTACATACTGTATTTAGTATGTAAGTTTTATTGTTTCTTATTTAAAATGCTGTGTATATGATCAAACCAATTCATTTTACCTTCCTATTTTGTTTACTTTCTGTTACGTAGGGTCTGCCTCTATTGTTACGTAATAATAGAAATAAACATTACTTGCTGCAATTTTGCAAGTTGCAGTTTATTTATCTGCTGAACCGAGTTTAGGGAACATATGCGATATTCTCAGCATTTCAAAGCAAAATCAGGCAAATATGAGAAAAAAAAGTGAATATTTTTTTTATTCCTTAGATCTATGTGTTTACAAACTTTGAAAGGCATGAAGTACACATCAAGGTTACAAAAATAGAGTTCAATTTAAAAGCAGCATTTGTTTTTTTTGTGTAAGTGCGCCGTTTGTTTTTTCCTGATAATTTAGTGCCGCACAAACAAAAAGTTTGGGAACCGCTGGCTTACATAGTTTGTTACGCAACGAGTGAAGTGGTGTGCATGTGATTCGAATCTGACATTACAGCCTGCGATTCAGTCATATTTAAGTCTAACCTCCATGCTTCCGTGCCCTAGTATTGAAAAAAAATTACAAAAAAGTGGAATAGGCCATACGTCGCCTTGTGTTACTAGGTTTCTAATTTTTAATGTCATCTGTGGTAGCTAATATGAAAAATGACAAGTTTAAATCTTTACCATGTTATCGAAAAGAGCAATTTTAGTAAAATAGGTGGCATAGAAGTCCGTGCGCAAGGCTATTTTAAACTTCTCGGACTATGAGAATCTCTTGTTCAAACGCAAGGTAGACACTATGCCGTGTCTATCTATATAAATATCCTAATAACCCTCCTGGTGCCACTTCTTATGAAAAAGATTGCTTGTAGGCAAAGTGATGGCTTTTTGAGAGTGGTCCGCTATAAAAATAATTTTATACCATAATAACTTCGACTTTTGAGATCTGCTTCTTCAGCAATATGATCATCGTTTCTTGATCTGTTCCGCCTTTTTGCTTCTGACGACATATCCGAAAGAATGATAATATACCAAACCAGAGTTGCTTTTCGAAAAATAGTCATTTTAAATCTTAAAAACGTAAAAACCAAGCGACTGAGGAAAAATTATATAATTTCTGTAAACAATAGAATAGTTAGGATTGATTAGTCCAGAGAAAATTGAGGTATTTGTAATTCTCTGAAGCTCAAAATGATTTCATTGCAGTGTTTATAGTTATTCATTTGAACTGTTCTGGCAACGAAATCATATGTTGAACTAAGACTTTTTATTCCCTCTATAAAACAAAACGGCCGCATAACATATCGGTAAGCACGATATTGATCATCCTTGTGATTGATATTTCGGAGAAGATGGAAAAAGATTAACCGAACCTTTTCTTTCTGATAAAAATACTGGACTATATATTACTGAAATGATGATTAACTAGCTCATATTTCAGACAGAAAAATGCTCATTTAACCAAATCCCTTCCTTTGTAAATGACCTACAATTTTTTTTAATTGGCTTTGGCTTTCAATTTTAATTGGACGCCGGGGCAATTGTTACCGAACTTGGGTGTTGTTTGTTGGCCATAATTATCATTATAGTATGAGAATTTTGTTTACTATTGCTCCCGTGATACACTGCAATTGAATTCATAATCGGAATCAACAAATATTGTGCACTACATCTTTAGAGTCATTCAAGATCCACGACTGTTTGCTTAGATTGCTGAAGAAAATTGGCTTTTGACCATATTTTTAGTGAAGTGAAAATCCAATTGGTAATTATTGTCTTCTTGGAAATTTCAAATTTCACACAATAACACATATATTATTTTCAAATATCACTTCACATAATTTTTGCTGCAACTGAAAAAGATACACAAATGTATGAATAATAGGTCTAGTAAAATACACGTTTTGCTTGCTACATTACAAATACGTGGGATGAAAAATAGTAAATATACAGATCTTCAACCTATGAAAGCACAATTTTCCTACTGTTAATGACAGTAAATAGTTTCTGCGGGTCTCTGCCAATCCTTCATTCTAATACGCTACATTTATGGCGTTTTTGTATATAGATAGTACATCATTATTTGGCAAAAATACAAAACTAATTCATTTTTGTATAAAAAATAATATTGATAAAGGTATTTTAAATATTCATTCAAATAAAGTCTCCCCCAATCTCTAACAGTCCTATCAAACTATCTTGCTGCAAAATTTATATCTACAGAATTTCCGAAATCAATATGCTGCATAGCTGACACAATCATTGCCTAAATTGCGTACATATGATTATAGGAGCGGCATTTTCATATTTATATTATTTCTCAGACTTAAACGTCGCCGACTTCAAAGACTCACGACATATCATTATCACCCGAAAATGTGACAGTATGACCTTTCGACTCGAGATTAAGGAAAAGCGGAATAAGTAGATTTCCCATAGGAAGTTATTGACGCCATAACTTACTTACAATAACTATATTTGAACTCTTGCTCGGATACTGGTGTCTAACTAAATATACACATATTGCTAGTTAAATGCATCCGGACTGAACAGTACACGGTGTCCGCAACAGGTTTCTCTTCATTGAACTTGCGCCTTTAAAAGACACTGGCGTCAATACAAACAAAAACCTTTGGAAAATATCCATACTAAATAAAAAGGGATTATTAAAGAAAGCAAGCATATTTTCATATACCATTTTGTTCTGTATAATACTAAATTATCAAAAAATAAATAAAGACATTTCATAATATCGCAGTAGGAACCAGACAAATGAAGATATAATAAAGCTACTAGTCGTGCTGTGTCACTGTGTCACTCAACTTCGAAGTCCATCAATAATTGCTATCCCATACGTCTTTCGGAATTACTTCGAAAAAAATATGAAAAATATGGAATGTAATCTTTCACTATTGAAATGTTTCTAAAGTTCACTGTTTCTGATAACAAATTTATTTTTAACGCGAACAATTTTTATCCTTTCACCATGAAAAATAATAAAAAAATGGAGCTATATAATTCATTTACATTAAAACATTTGTAAAGTTTACACGATTTTTAACATTTTTAAACAAGGTATCATTATAGAATGGGTCGATTGGAATGGCAATTAGAAACTTTGAAAAAGTCAATAAAGACTGACTTCTACGTTAAAAATCAATACCGATTGAAATATATGCAACAATTGTGGAAAAGTCAATTATATTAATAGGTAGAAATTATTTGGTCCTTCGTTTAATTTTTATGACTGGGATACACCGCTGCCAGAATATACTCCATTTTACAATTCAAATTAGATAAATGAACTTATATGCAAGCATTGTCATAAGTTTGTATCTTCGCCAAATACCAAAACACTGCTTGTTAATTATTTTTGTTTTCTAGCATTTTTCATGTTGATTGCAACTGTAAAAATTCTTGTGTTCTCTTCATTGCATTAATTATTAATTCACAATTAAGATGAAACGGGAAATACATTTTCCTGACATAACTTGAGCGCGTGTTGAATTAGAGATCCCACAATAAGATTAAACTCCAATTACTGTTTCATTATAAGCCTTATACAAAAGCGATAAGCACAAGGGCAGCACAAGTTTTCAAATCGATCTTAGGCATGTTAAGCAAAATAAAGAAGTCCTATTGTACAACAAAAACAGTACTTTATAGCAATGCTCTTCAACCTTTTTGTTATTGTGGAACCCCTGATATAGTTTTTTTGTTTTTTATGGAACCCCAATTAACAAAATTGAAAAAAAAATTCTAACTTTGGCAATTGAATTACACCTGGTTCGCTTCGGAGGAGGAGCAGGTACAGCTTTTTGCATTTGAACTACTTTGCTCATTGCCGTCCTGACCTACACCGTTGTTATTATTTCGCCTCACATAGGAAAATATACTATTTTGCTTCATCTGTATTGACTATTTTTACTATATTCCAACAAAAGCTCTTGTTTGTAGTATATACTCTCTCTAATCTCGAGCAATATCTACATTCTACATACTTTGAACATCATGTAACTATGTTCCAACAATAGCGTTTTTGTTAGTTGCATAACAATGACTAAAGTGACGCAACAACCGAAAATATTTCTGTTTTGTCTGTTAACTGCACTGTGCCTAAACAAACCTCCTGTTTAACGAACTGGCCTACTTGGAGTTTGAATGAGACCCGATGGTCTAAGAATATTTATAATGACGCATCAACATGCTGAAGTAATAAATGATTTCCCCTGAAAAAAAAAAAAGCGCGGAACCTTATGAACTCACGGAACCCCACTGCATGTATTGCGGAACCTGGAACCTCTGTTGAAGAGCACTGCTTTATAGTCATAATACTTATTAGATGTGATTCTAGGTAAATAAACGTGAACTGTAAATAAACCTGAAAATACTATTGTACAACATTTGTGACAGGGACAAGATAGATACAGAACAGGAACACTACCTCAGTTTATCAATTATCCTGCTGATAAAATTCTATATTCCATATCTATAGGTATGAAATTGACATATCCAATACAAAAATTGAAAAATTATCAAATAACCAGTAAAAAAGCAACATTTCAATAAAAACCCTCTCATACCTTTTCAGTTTGTTAAAAGCGAACAGGAAAAACTTTTTTATGTGCATCGTAAGTCACAATTTAATCAAGTAAGGTAAACGATAAATTTTTATAACCTACATCAAAGATGCGACAATTAATACCCACAGTTGTCATCATCATTTTCACGAGAAATATTTACAATTCCCGTAATACAATAGGCAAAAAGATTCATATTCAAATGGATGTTACTTGACTTTTTTACGAGAGTCAGGATCTTCAGAATCAGTTATGAATCCCACCCTATTTATATTAATTATTTGATAACATGCTGCAAACAACATATAGTGACTTTTATTGAAAAATGCCATAATTGACTTTTATTAAATATTTTTTTTGGTTCGCTTTAGGAATATTTTCCTATAGCATGACTCTAAAGCGCTACTCAAAGCAAGCACACGAGTACGATATTAAATAAACCTGCATTTGGAATAGATAAGCCACAAAAACGTTCAGAATAGCGGTAAATAAAATTTTGCTTTTCGTACGTGAAATTGAGCTTTATTCTAATCTCCGACATCATAGCGAGTATATATTTTAAAACGGCGGTCTAACAATACGTCTAGGTGTACAATTTTCAGCTTAAGTCTTTTTTGGAACAATTTACTTAGTTCAAATGCCTCATTTCTCAAGTACCTGAAAACAAACCTGTTTTGCATGTTTTGATTACTCGCTGTTATAGCGCTTCACATATAAAAACACTTCCTGTGATCTCTTCAAAATTTGAACCTGAGAATTCTTAAATTTTTTCAATGAATCGTAGCAATGAACTTGAACTCATTATTGAATTTTGTTTGTTGTGAATTATTTATGCCTGTCCTCGCTAATCGGCTTTGAACTCTTCATTGACAGCAGCTAGGCAGCAATTCACTATAGTAAATATAGTGTTACAGCATGTATTTCACGCTTCAAGCCATTAACATTTTACCATTTCACCGGGTAAAATGCAAGTTCTATCAATATTTCTAGGATCGTCAGGACTAACGAGCTACCAGAAAATATTTTTTATTGGCAATGAAATTGGTTTATTATCAGAACAAAATATAACATGATATATCTCAAGAACTTTTAGATAACATGAAACTTATTAGTACTCCAGCATTATCCCTTTTCAAGCACTTTCCTCTGTAAAAACAAAATGCTTTAATGTTTGATAACATATCTGTTTTTCTATCCAGATGTATTCTTTTTACATGTATTATTGGGTTAGGAATAAACTATATAAAAAGATAGTTTTTTATCAAACACTTATTCACTGCCTTCCATACGCAAAATAAAACAAATGAATCAGACGCTCCTGACTCCTGAAAGTTTCAAGCAAATTCTGTATCTATATCTGAGTGTCTCGCTGCAGAACTGAAGTATCATATCATATTGCAACATAATGAGAATAAATTGTAGATAACATTTTCATATTAGTTTGAATTAAAGTGCATTAACCAACGTCTGTCAATCGATGAAGTCTAATAAAGTATATTGAACTTAATGAGGTTGTATTCTGTGTCATTTACTTTCCTATATTCATGCATCGGTAGTTTTCAGGGTTCAATAATATCAGCTTTCAATAATTTAAGACAAAAGTGCAACATGTAGCAATTGCAGCACTTTGTTTTGACACTGGAAACACGTTTATTGTCACAAAAATTGCTATGTTCTACAGCATTGATCGTATATTTCAAACAACACCTAAACTAATTCGCTGGGTCGCCAAAAAAATTTATAGATAAAAAAGGTGAAATTAGTATAATATTAGGTGTAATGATGTTATAGGGGTCATGTTTTCCCTGATTTGATTTAATAGAATTATCAAAAATTATAATCCACAGATGATAAATTTTCATAAGTTCAATATAGAGTTATTTAAATGCTGATTATAGTTTCTAATTTACTATGTGTTACTGACAGCATGTCATGTTTACATTATAGTAACGTCAAGGATTTAAGCAAAGGAAGAATTATGCTTGGTATTATTGTAAGCCTTACCAATTCCATGTCACATCTCGCTCGGTCGGAGCTATTGGAGTCTTCAGTGCCCAATAACGATATTCGATTTTTTTCGGTGTTGGGTAAAGCCATTACACCTGAAGTAAGTCATTTATTAAATTTGTGAGATCAGTCTGAGCCGTCATTCTACCAAGTATTTCAACCGAAACAATATAGTAAATTAAAATATATTAAACGATGAATCAAACGGTGAGTCGTAGACAATTTTTGAAGGGGGTGAGGCTATTCAAAATTTCAGAATTTATCATTTATTTCATTATTTACATTCCGTCCACGAAATTTCAACGTTTTTTTCATTATTATTTCGCCTTACTATCTTTTATTCTTAGCTCATTGTTAGCTAGTTGTTTTTGAGGTGGGGCAGGAGACTTGATTTTTAAAGTAGGGTCTTAAGTTTGTTGCCCGCTTTGTTCCCGTTATCACGCTATTCATACGAATTCTGTTCACGTTTTTCGCTCCAAACAAGATCATGTACAAGTATCTACTGATGTCTATCTGCTTTGATAAAGTATCTTATCATCTAAGTTACTTATCTTTAACACGTGTCAACTAAAATGATTGTGGAAATAAAAAAGGAAAGATATTCCATAGTCTGTTTAATTTATTCAACAATGATTACAGCTCATTCAACAAACAAAAACACTCAAGGCTTATAGTTGCAACTATTAAATGTATTGCCTGAACACCAGTGCTGATATAGAGAAGACAAGAATTGCTTCTTTGACTCCTATCTGTTTTGAGGATGCTCCATTGCATAGATCTAAAAATAACTTGATTTAACATCAAAAATATCTTGAATGCATCGGAAGTCAATTAATTTTTATCTGTGTTACAATAACACGTAGTTGTGAAAGTATCGCTATTCACATCACCGACAGTGCTGCATCCATCTGATCCACTGCTGCACACACGCCCAACTTGGCGAACGCCTGAAAAGTAAAAATAAGTATGTGCGCTGAAACATCTTAGATGTAGGCTTATTTCGTTAGCTATATGGCACAATGTTGTAAACTGCATATTCAAATCAACCATGTTAATAATTTTGGTTATACTATTATTTATCAATTTGAATGTACGCTGAAATATCTCACATTTAGGATCATTTAGTAAGCAATATGGCATTGGCACATTGTTGTGAACTTTATATCTAAATTTGCCAATTTTAATCAATGATTTTATTAATTACCAAAAATTTAATCGTTTATACTCACCCATCAATGTTGCTTCTATTTTTGTGCAGGTCGTTTCAGTCCCATTACATTCTCTAGTTTCTGTTGATGAATCGACTGTGTCACAAACAAGGCATGTGTAACATCTGATGGCAGATGCTGTGAAACAAATTATAAAAATACTTATGGAAATAGTAGAAACTAATTAGCCAAAGATCATTTACATAAAGTGGCGAAAAGTCAAAAGTTAATTGAAGATATTTATCTACATTCCGAATCAACCTTGAAACTTCTGAATTAGATATCTGGTGCTCTTTAAATTGCAACATTAGGCGTCACAGAAGTATGTGTACCAATATAGAGGTAACTAATTTTGTTCGCCTACTTTACATCAAATTGTTTAAAGGGACGGAAGCCTATGAGCAGGGAGTACATTCACTTGACTAACACAGACAGTCCCCGAACTCGTAATAGAACTAAAATAACAAAAATCGGAATAAAATTATGGCCAAACCCTGACCTGGAACGTTCAATAAACGTTTGCTTTCACGTATTCTAATTTTAAATGTAATTTTAATTTATTTTACATCTACTGCTATACTGAACTGAGAATAATTATTAATCGTCCTAACATACCTGTAGCGAAAATCAGCACCAAAACCGAAAAGTATTGCAGGATCTTCATTTGAACAGTGAATAGATTAATTCTAATAATTATCAAGCGCTGACCTATACTATATCTGATGCTGCTGTGGACCAACGCGTAGTATTTGTCTGACCTGACATTCTATAAAGTATCTCTGCTGAATCGTTTAATAACAATAAGATATAGATTATGTGTGATCAATGGTAGTATTATATGTGCAAATGACTTGTCCATGCTTGGAACTGACTTGAAAAAGTTACAATATTCCTCACAAAAGAGAGAAAATATTATCGTTGGACATTTGGAAAGCTGATACACTGTTAGGAAACACGTTAAATAAGCTAGATAAATAATTGTGCACTTCTACACAATATTTCAATGTTGCTTTGTGTAGTGAAAAATTGACCACAGTACATTAAATTTCATCCAGTACTGTGTCCAGTCCTTGTGAAAAGTTTTTATATTCTTTTTTTTTTTATTTTGCAAATACTGAGTTTAACCGTCCATGTGTCGGTGTCGCAGACGTTGACAATAGAAATTCACGCTTGGAGGGTTGGGAATAAAACGTTTATACATAATTATAAAATAAAAGTCGATTTAACCTAATAAATATTTGAAGCTTGTACATCAAATTGTATTCATATGATAACCCAATGCAAGTAAAATAAATTCGCATATATGTAAATATTTTGAGGTATTATGCCAAAGTACGACACACTCAAGCGATATGAATATGTCAATAGCAAAAATAATTATGGATAGATTCACGTAATATTTCCAAAAAAAAATTATATTCAGATGAGCCTCATGACGTATATGCGTAAATAAAAAAGACGTGGTGATATTGATTGAAGCAGGGGAACGTCACATGTACCAGATATATATTATGTAAAATCGGAATAAAGCACAAAAACTTGTTCAATAAACTGTTTTATTTTTTGATAGTTTTTTTTATTTTGATTTAATTGATTATGATGACGTATGAAACCGGTTCAAATATTTGAATTGCGAGAATATTCAAAGACATATTTCAAAACTTTTGAATCATGTAAATTTTCAAATTTGTATTGATCAGGAAGAATAGTTAACCATAACCAGACTGGTCTGCAATCACAATGCATATCAAGTACAGTTCGTGTATTTGGACGATGATGTATATAAATTTGTCAAAGGCAGTCTTGAAGTTACTTTTATCACATATTAGTAAAGTAGTGAACAATAGTGAACTTACGCGCATTAGCAGCATGCAGTTATGGAATTGATTAGCTGATCGATAAGTGAATAGTCAAATATCCAATGCAAAATCTGTGGCGGACACCGGAATGTAGGATGTGTGCCATGTTAGACTTTGGCCATAATTTCAGGTACTACGGGAGTCACTTGTCTAGTCCATGAACTCCGTAATAGAACAAAATTAGGAAAAATTGAAATAAAATGATTGCCTAACCCTAACCTGGTACACATGCTACGTTTCGGTGTCCGCCATATTGGTTCACATACTTCGGGAGTACCAACTTTCTTTCATTTCCGAAATTATATCAACCAATTACACTTGTTTACTTGTACAGGGACATTTGTGAAATAAAAAAAACATCCATTAATAACTGATTCTTAGAATGAATAAAAACAATTATAAGAGCAAGTACATTGTTTATGGTTGAAATTTATTTTTCATCAATAGGACTATTTGTAACGGATCATTAGTTGATAAAAAATGCTGGGATTTTTGAAAATTCTTATTGTTGTGTGGTCAATATTGACCACATGTTTGAGCGAGGAATTTAATTGTAGTTTCAAAACCGAATGCGACGGAGATAAATGTGACGAAACAGCAAAGATCAAGAAAGTATTGGAGGATTATTTGAAAAGACAAACTTTTCAAATTACCTGCGACCAATTTACAAAACTTCCTGAAAGTGATGATGAAAAAAGATACACGGAAATTGAAAAACGTAAATATATACTTTTTAAAAACTGAGTGTTTTTTTATTATGCTAGGTAACGCAACATATTATATGATGAATTATAGGACTTCAAAGTCAATTCGAGGCAAAATTTAATTCTATATTGAAACAGCGGTCTGAAGAACACGACCTCATAGTGGGACTGCAAAAAGGTGAGAATATATTTTGCGTCTATCTGTGACTTTTAATTTTCATTTTTTGCGTTTTAAACTAAGCCTGTCTGTTATAATTTAAATATTTTATTTGCAATAGCAATATATACGAGTTCAAGCATAATTGTATATTTGATGATTTGATTTGATGTTTAACAGAAATGGAAAGTGTAATAGACAGACTCGACAACATGGGTCAACTAGAGACTTGGTACAAAGCAAGTAACAAATTCTACTATAAAATATTTGATGATAAAGTGGATTACGCAACTGCTAAATTAAATTGTATAAAAGTGGGGGCAATGCTGTCATCAGAGGGGATTCGTGATCATACAATTCACAAGTAAAATAGTAATATCATTTGTATCTGTTTTGTTCGGTACTCATGTAATATGCAAACCAAGATTGGCAACACCGGAATGTAGTATGTGTACCAGGTTAGGGTTCGACCATAATTTTATTCCCATTTTCTGATTTCAGTTCTATCACGAGTTCGGACACTAGCCAAGTGACTCTCGTAGTATTTGTACCTGAAATTACCGCCCAACTCTAACCTGGCACGCATACCACGTTCTGGTGTCCGCGATCTTGGTTTGCATACTACAGGAGTACATTTGTTCAACTGTCATGATTTTGTGGCCAATACTTCGGCTAATTCAGTAGGCATATAATGTATTTATATACTCTTTCAGTTTATATTAGATTTTTATTTTTTAAATAGGACATTCTTCATGGAAATTTTTTTAATCGACATAAAGCTTCCGAGTTTTTATTTAATAATTAAATTTACTAATGATGTAGTAATTACATTGCAGTCAACTTGTGCCATTGATCAAGTCTGGCAAATTTCCAGTGTGGATTGGTCTGGACGATATAAACCAAGAAAACACGTTTGTCTGGTCAAATGGAACTGTCGCAAATCCTCGAACAATTCCATGGCTTTTTGGACAACCAGATGGCGGTAGAGAGAATGACCAAGATTGTGTGAAAACTAGTTCTGATAGTTATTTTCTACTGAATGACGAAAGATGCTCGAAAAAATTGAAATATCTTTGTGAGAAGAAATGAACATATAATATCCCACCCACCAATGCCAAATTCGAAATTAAACCTCAACGTGATAAACAATATTAATTAGCAGTTGTTAATTCGTGTTCACTTATTTTTAATATTATTAATTCTTGTTGTTTCTAATTGTATAATTAGTGATTCCTTGGTATATTACATTAATGATAAATTGATGTAATATAATGAGAAAACATGTTTTTTTATAGTATTACATTTACTGTTGTGATGACATTTCCTACGTTACTTGCGGAATAATATTCTCAAATAAATTTATAAAATGAGTTTATTTAAAAAACAAATTACATTTATTCATTTAAAAACGACTAAGCCTACAATATTGTTCGTTTAAAATTGCATAGGTTGTCGATGGTTCAATTTAATATATAAGGTTACCGTAAAATCGTTAAACTAAAACAGACACTCGTTGTTTACATTTGTTTTAAAGCATGCATTTTTTAATACGCATATATATAAACATATGAGAAAATAGTACCAAGTGATGTAATAAATTTTCAAATATCAAAGTTCTTGAAAAATATTTCATGCTAAAATCGAAAATCAATAAACACAAAAATACTTAAATTAGGGTGGTCCGAGGTTGTCGGCTCCATGGGCCACAAAATTATTTTTGCATTGTTCGCGGGCCACAATAGTGCCAGGAATAGGTAAACAGTGCAATACAAAACAAAACCTTCATTGTGCAAACACTTAGTTATCAGGCATAGCCATTCTAGGCTAATAGAATCTGAATTTGTTTTTAGTGTTCTATGTTGCCTATATTATTTGCATATATTCCCGACAAAGAAGTTAGAAAGCCAGATAACAATTTAGACTGCCAAGCACATCATTCAACTTCTCTAATTTCCTCAGCTAGCCGTAACACTATTTAATTCAGTGACATTAGTGATAGCAATATGTCAAGAAATTTTTCTGACTAATTTTATAACGAAACAACACGAAATGCGATTTTTTTGTTACACTCCGAATGTGACGCGGGCCACAGATAAAGAGGCGGCGGGCCACATGTGGCCCTGACTTAAATCATTAATAGAGATATTGGTTTATATAGCTATTGGAACCAAATTTTGAATAATTTTATTACATTTATGATTCCGATATTAGTATATTACGTTTGGAGATAATCAAATTGGTGAATTGTTGTTGCGCTGCAGAATTATATAATAGTTAGCTGTCAACCAGCAGTTATTTCTATACAGTTCGTTCTCTATAAGTTACCGTAGGTTTGCAAGATCTTTTCCAAACAACAACGAGAATGTTAACCATTTGTTATTAGTAATTTTATATGCATGTTCGAAATCTTGTTTTAAAGATGATTAATCATCTTTACCGTTGCGGCATTCAATTAGCCAAGTTTCTATGAAAATGCCGAGTGGTAACAAACATGGTTGCCAAAATCTTATTAAATTTTAATACTATTTAAATTCGAATACTGATGAAAAGTCGCCAGTTGCAAACTATGATAATAAGTTATCATTTTTTTTATGTGCATTAGAAAGCATATTGTATTGACAGCATCTTGTTTGTCCAATAGTTGCATATACACACATTCTAATTTAACGAACTTGAATAAGCTGCAATGTTCCTGACGGAAGAAAACTGATACTATTGTTCGTACGTAGAAAACTGATACACTGTCAGGCAACCCGTTAAATGAACTTTATTTTGTTATAAACAATTGTACTCGATCACGAATGATCGAGACTGTGTGAAAATTAGACATCATTTCCTGATTCGAATTGGTAACTTTCACAGTCTCTGGAATAAAAGGTTGAATTATTAGAATGAATTAGAACAATCAAATTTGTGATAACCGAAGAAGAAACGCATAATATCAAAACGCACATGATGGCATGAATCAATATCATCGCACATTTTTTTTTCTTTCTATTATTTGCAAATGATAATTCTCTATTCAATTCAAATAGTAATTTTTTTTTCAGATCTTGAAATGATGTTGAAATCAGCTTTATTTTAACAACTTTCAATGGTAAATGATCCTCATGATTAAACGAACGGATGACTCATCAATTTAGTTAAATAATTAATAAAAAGTTAATAAATATAATTAAAATTAAAAAAAAATGAATACAGAGTGGAATATGAATCATTTGCAAAGTCGTTGGGTATTAAATCCACGTGTTCGTATATTGCAACATTGCTACTTATTGCAAATATTGTAATTATAAAAGTTACGTATAAGGTAAGGTCAGTAAAAAGTTCCATAAACATTGCCAACACTTTTTTAATATTTTGAATGCGATTTTATTGGTAAGGAAATAATAAAAGTATCATTGCATATCAGTTATGATGTTATAGCTAAAACATTTTTGACCAAGTTTAGTAATTTCTTTATTATAGTTATCGCTCAGTCGAATTGTTAGTTGATTGAACCGAACTGGTAAAACCATGAAAGGTAAAAAAGGTACAATTTCACGTGCCCCATGTCTATATAAAGAAGAAATTCTGTACAAATAACCAATCTTCCTTACAAAAACAGGTTTTCGCGCTCATCATGTTTCCGACGAGTCTGTCATATCCGGTTACATTGTGAATTTTACAAAAATGACTGCACGAATGCGTATTGCATTCAGTAGTCATTCAACTTTAATATTACTTGGGTCGCATGCATGACTATGATCTTCTTTTAAATTTTTTCGTCGCAAGTATTTATTTCTCAATTTTCAACAATTTCAAAAATTACTCTCCATGTGATATGAATAACTTGAAACTTAAATTTTTCATAAAGCTTGTCTAATTGAAACTACGTTATTTATTTTCCAAACGAACCACTGTCAAATTAATATATGTGTTCTCAAATTGATGCGATTCATCGGCAAAACCCGATGATCGAAATATTTGACGTAGATCTAAATTGGTAATTAATCTATGTACTATTCAGTCAAATCATTGCTCTAGCCTGGGTCTGTCAGGAAGATAAAATATCATCGATTGAATGCCGCCGTTGTCCCTCAAAGTGCACACGAACCGACAATTCTCTCATTTTATTGCAAATGGCCACGGATACATTCCGAGTCAAAGCATATTTAAATTGAAAGGTTGTTCATTAAGGTTAAAGTTCATTAAAGGTCGAATATCAGACGCTCCATATCAGTTTATTGTTTCTTATGACTTAGCTTGTATAGAGGACAAAGCCCCATCTTTGAGTAGTTCAAGGATTTTTTGTGCATAATTATTTATACAGTATATATATATATATATAGCTAAATGAAAACTGGGTATTATTACTCATTTTTAATTAGATGCAATGACTCAAAATTGGGTAGTACTGAAGTTGAATTGGAATTTTTTTTGTAATGTGCTTCAATTTTCTAACTGCATGTGTAACAATATTTTAAAATTATGTTATAATACCAAGGTGAAATCATGTGCAGGTCGTTATTATCAAAGTTCCGTGTGAATCCGAAATTGCTCGAAATTGTGGCCGCATTCAAGAACCGCTGTTTTAAACTTTGAATTTACGGACAGCGCCTCGAAATAAATGGCACGCGATGGCGAGAGCAAACATTAAGCCCATTTTTTCCTATGGGTTAAATGTTTGATTTATTTCAGAGCGAACACGATTTCGAGATTTATTTGAAGACGTAAAGACTAATGGCGGACAACTTAGCTAGGAAGCCAAAATTTTTACTAGTTGGTGGCTACAATGGGGGCGAAAAAATACCGGAAAGAAAATTATTCCTTGAGGATGCATGTTGGACTATATACTCGTATGTTTATGATATTAGCACTAGGAGTAGAGCCAATCACATGCCAAATATCTGCGTAATTGATAACGACTCAAGTTCATATCTCAAAGCTAATTCAGAAGCAGACATCACGGCATTGCATGAAATGTTATACAATGATGAATCTTTTGATGGTATAACTCATGTTTTGCTTGGTCATAGCCACGGCGCACTAGTCATATATGAAGCTCTTAAAGATGAGGCCCTGTGGAATTTTCTTATAAAGAAACGTACACCAGAAAGAGAAATACCGATCATAATTAAAACGATTCGAAGTCGACTCGCAATATTTAGCCTGGGAGGAATCCAAGACATACCTGGGGATTACGCAAAGGTATCGCAGTCAAATAAAGTATATTACAAATTACAACTGCTACATTTCATTGAAAGATATATTTGATATCGTGTGGTAATTAACAATTTCAATCTATGCTGTTGAATTGCGCGCATCTTATCTCATCCAAAACAGCTTCATTTTGAACTAAATTAAATTAATATTATGCAGAACACGATAAATCAAACAGTAAATTCTGATTATCTTTTAAAATTAAATTGGGTATTTGAAAAAGCTTTTCCAAAACCAACGGCTATAGCCATGATTAGGAAATATTAAATATGAATTGAAGAATTTTAAATTAGGAATCGCTTAACTGAACTCTTGTTATTCAAATAATGTATAAAATAATTAAACAGCTTTTTAGTTATTTCTAAATACAATTTCACATTTATATATAATGATTAACATATAATTTTTAACAGGTGTGTTGGAATATTGAATTTGAAAATGATGGTATTGCAAAATCAGTCAAAACGCTTTTTGGGAAATATGCAGACAGCAACAAGACAATCATATCAAAACCACAACCTGAACAATTTGTACAGTCACAGAAACAAATGTTTTTGTCAAATCTGTCCTGTTCTGCATCGTGCAGTAAAGAAAATCATATTTTACGAACGTATGTAAATCACGAGAAAGTGCTCGAAACTATAGATGCATATCTTAAATAAAATTAAAGTTTATTTTAAAGAATAACTTTTCTCATTATGAAATATCGACATAAATTATTGGTATTCTGAGGTATTACATTGCATAATTTTGATCTTTTCATATCAACACATTGAGAAAAATATATCAATGGAATTAATCAAATTCTTTTGCTACAATATTAAAATAAAATAAAATGATTTCAAGAATAATCAGTGAAACCTACTCATATCTGTGTGATTTTTTTGATATTTTTATTTGTACCTTATAAGAATGTATACATACAAATACGTTTAGTCTCACTGACATATTACGAAAAGTTGTGCAAAGTGGAGATAATATAACATGCCACAGTTCTGTGCAGTCTATTCAGTTTTTCCAATTTACATTTATATTGATAATTATTGCATTTCATTTTTTATGCTTTTTGAAAAAGTGCATGAGTATTGACAACAAGATAAGCTAAATACAAGCTCTAATTTTCAGTGCAGACTTTTTTTTGGAGCTTCCATGGCCTTCTATTCCGCGCAACTTACCAAGCTCTTAGAGGGAACGTTGTTTGCGACACAATACTTAGTATCGGTCACTTGCAAAACCGTTTGAATTTCGAATGCGTCATATTATTATTATTGTACCTTATTATTGTCTAGTAGCTGTAAATATCGTTTTCTGCCGAAAGTTCACTGAATTTGATTAAAATGAAATTGGAGAATTTCCAAATATACTATTAAAATATTATTTGAAGTAAGACTCTGATTCAAATGCCTTGTCTTTCTTATTACTCTATATATCGTAAAGAGGTATTATGATATTTGAATTAAAAATAAATTTGAACTCATTCAATTTGTAATCTGACTTTGTATTTGCCTAATTTTTCTTTGTCTAATTTTTACAGATTTTATTTAATCTGAGATGTACTAAATAATTATAGGATTTTAAATTATACAATAAAAATGGTTGATAAAATTAACAATGTAAAACAAGTTTGTCGGAAAGGATTTGAAGCTTATTTAATTGGAGGTTTCGGAGCCGATATCAATGAAGTGGAAGCTGGAGCGTGGGAGATATGCAAACAGTTATACAACTTTTCAGAAAGAAAGAGAATTATTCATTACAGGGACGTTGAGTCAATTGTGAACACTGCAAGAAGTTTGTCAGACAAACCGAAAACCATTGTTTCCGAGATTCACAAAATTCTCTTCCATATGCCACACTGTAATGATGGAATAACTCGTATTATTTTTGCCCACAGCCATGGAGCTAAAATTGTTAGAAAGGCACTTGATGAAAAGTCACTTCTTGATTATTTCATTGAATCTCGTCAAAATGCAAATGGAGTGGACTTTTCTAAAAAACTCAAGCGAATTAAAGACAATTTAGCAGTTTTTACTCTTGGTGGCATCGACACAATTCCAAAAGAATATGCTAAGGTTTGTTCGATTTTCCTATGTTCAAACACAAATGTGCACATGATCTTTGACATTCAAAAATATTCGAGTAACCAATTCTTGCTGACTCATCTAAAAACATGTTATTTTAATAGTTATTCAAAACTCTCAGATGCACCCGTGTTTGCATCCGGTCAACAAAGTTATTCTAAAATGAACAGAAAAATAACTGATTAATACAGGGTGTCCTATAAGTTTCGACCCATGGTAAAATATTTATAATCAAAGGAATATTTATTTTAATTGTAAAATGATTTGTAATCAATCCGTATTGAATTTGATGTTACACATGTTGGACGTTATAGTTCTCATTTATCACACACCAAAACTTATTAAAACTTACAATTGTCATTACTATAAAATTGGGTAATACCTGTTGGACACCTTGTATAATGTTGTTTGCGATGTATTCAACTTTTAATAAATAGTTTCTGATCTACTTTGCAGATATGTCTCAACATGCGGCTTAAACAAGATATAAATTCTGAGTTTGGCAACATTATTTATGGAGAAAGCAGCCAAAACTCAGAAATAATAAAGTTTCATAACGGCGAAGTGGAATCTTCAACAACTCAGTCAAAATTGGATCAACTTAAAAACTTCTGTCGGTTGAAAACATTAAAAAGAGCATCCACTGAAGGAACAAAACATGTACTATTTGAATATACAAAAGACGCGGCTGTAATGGGGAAAATTTTACAAACTTTAATGTTGGAGAGCAATTCTGTGCAATGTGGATGCTCAGGGACGACTACCAAGAAGAAACTTGAAAATAAGGAATGGAACATCAAAAGACACAATATTACATGGTCGTACGCTCGCGCCCCAAAATACTTCTACAAAACGAATCTCTGATGAGCGAAATAGGATTTGAATTTTACAGTTTCTAAATTATATGAGTGTAAATGGTGTATTTGACAATATAAAAAAAATCACATCAAGTTCATTTATGTTTAGAATTCATGCCGAATGTAGTTAGATTTCTATATGTGCATCGCTTGTTACGGTACTTTACAGGGCCATATACAGTTCATTTAACGGTTTTTGTTTATTGTTGAATGAATTTCTTATAATCTCATATATTACGCGGTGATATGAGATTTCCTAAGGATTAGTAAATATATTTCGAACAACGATTTCAACTTTAATCTACTCAAACTTTAATATAATTTTGAATTACTACTAATTTTCTAATTAAAGGAATATTTTGCAATTTTCATTTTTTATAAAGTCTCTGAACCAAAAGCATTACCATGTCTTAATTGTTTCATGGTATGACTGCTGAACCGGTGATTTAAAATGTTGATAAAGATTTCTAATTGTGAAATATTGACCTAAAAATAATTGTTGCATTTTTAAATATTTCATTGTCTAATTTTGACTTGCCTCCAACTTGGTTGTTGAAACTGACAACGTGAAGCAAGTTTGTCAGACGGGACTCAAAGCATATTTAGTTGGTGTTATCGGAGCCGATATCAATGAAGTAGAAGTCGCAGCGTGGGAGATATGCAAACAGTTATACAACTTTTCAGAAGGGAAGAGAATCGGTCATTACAGCGACGTTGAATCAATAGTAGACACTGCAAAAAATTCAACAGAAGTACCGACAACCATTGTTTACAAGATTCAAAAAATTCTCTTTTGTATGCCCCACTGTAAAAATGGAATAACACGCATTATTTTTGCCCACAGCCATGGAGCTAAAATTGTTAGAACTGCACTTGAGAAAAACTCACTTCATCAGTATTTCATCAAATATTGTCGACCTGAAAATGGAGTGGATTTTACCAAAAAACTCGAGCAAATTAAAGACAATTTAGCAGTTTTTACTCTTGGTGGTATCGACACAATTCCAAAAGGATATGCTAAGGTTTGTTCTATATTCTCATTTTTAAACAGAAATTTGCACATGATCTTTGACATTTAAAAATATTGGAGTAACAAATTCTAGCTGACTCATCCAAAAACATGTTTTTTTGTTGTTAGTTATTCAAAACTCCTAGATGCACCCGTCCTTGCATCCGGTCAACCAAGTTGTTCTAAAATGAACAGAAAAATAACTGATTGATACAGGGTGTCCTATAAGTTTCGACATTCGCCCGGCAACCCTAATAATTACACACCAAGTTTTTTGACAACTCAGTTCCAATTCGAAGTTTTCTTCACCTCGAGTATTCATTTTCCCAAACAAAATTTGTTCAGTAAGCTACGAAGCTAGACAGATTCGATATGTGATCTGAGGCAAAACCGCTATTCTGAAGATGAGACTTACTTGTGCATGGAATAAGACAGATTTATTTTTATAAATTCAATTTACATTACATTACATTAATTTAATCATTGCTCTTGAAACATTATCATTTCACGGTTTTTGTTTATTGTTGAAACAATTCTTTGTTTATCCACAATTAAAGGGGAGACAAACGATTGCAGTGTGTTTTGTGATTATCTTTCAATGAACTATTTTGACCTCCCACTCGAAGTGTTGAAGGTCACATTCCACGTCGTTAAATTTGACATATTTTTAATGGGGTAATGAAAACCTAAAGAATTTCTGCATGAATTACCCTGGTGTTGCTGAGAATTCAACACGGAACAAAATTTTGAAAACAAAAAAATTTTTCTCTGCTTTGCCATCTTTTTGCAAAAAAGGAGTTTATTTGGAATATTTGCGAGTAATTTTAATATTGACGCGGACATGTAATTATTGTGAGAAATTTTTAAATTGTATTCAACTCGTTGGGAAACATTGTGAAGTGTTTTGCATTACTTCATGAAGCTACTTTTTTTTAAATATTTTCATTTACATCGGGAATTGAATTACTATTTTGAAAGGTAGTTAACGTTCAAAAATAACTTGTGGCCGTTTTAATACGACGGAAAGATTATCTGACCAAGTATTTTAACCCTCAACAATTACATACTGTTTATATCTAGATTAATTATTGGATTTCGATGGAATTGAAATTCTTTCACCTTGGAAATGAAATTATGCGGTGCAAAAATTGTTATTTATCAAAAATCCATAAAGTCTTAGATTTTTTCAAATTTGCAGAAAGAATTTATTGATATGATATATTTTTGTCCTCACAGATGTAAAAGGATGTAATTATTCTTGAACAACTAATGATTAAAATTCTAAAATTCAACAAACCTGGTTGAGAGATATTGCCAACTTACTTAATAACAAAATTAAGAGTGTAAAGGGATTTTACACACCCTGGTATATCAAGCACAATGTACAGTAAAGTTAGATGAATATACAATTCCGGCCAGAACTGTTACTAGAAACACCAAACAAAATTTCGTATACTATACAATTTGTTTTTTATACATTGATTGTTTCATTACTTCACAGAGTCACTCATTTTACGGTTTTTCGTGAATGTTGAATTTATTATTTACTGTTCCATATTATAGGCAGTGATAGAAGATTGCGTTGTGTTTTGTGTTTATTTTTTGATAAAAGATTTTGACTATGCTTGTTTCGCCAAAAAACGGTGGTCTGATTGTTCAATCATATATGAGGCGATAAAAAAAATTGGCTAAGCCTTGTACAGTAGTAAAATACAGTAGTTCATTTTGTGACTATTTATTTTAATCCATCATTTTGAAATAATTATTTGTATTAAATTTTCAATATAGCAAGAAATGGTTTTTGTTTTGTTGATTTTGCAAGACGTTATCGTTCTATTTCCTTTTACTATTAAAATATGTTAAGACTCCAGAGGAAGAATTTGTGGGCAAAAGTAAAAAAAAAATTAATAAAGCAGTTTGACGGTCAACAAGACTCCACACACTTCGCACTGAAGAATAATACTTATTCAGCTTTAACCTAGTCTACCCAAGATTTTTTGAGCTTGCTGTCGTCACGTTTGCTTTTAGAATCTTGCATATCTAACGCTACATAGTGTGAACTTTATGAATTTGATGAGTGCAAAATAATAATAATAATAAATTAATTTACCTCAGTTTAATGATAAGCAATTTTATGCGTTTGCCCTACTTTCCAAAGATACTTATTTTACTAAATTTTTCTGGAAGAATTTGCATATATTGGATGTCCTACAATTGGTATCACACATTTTGGTTTATGCTGCGAATTTCAGTTTAAAATACTTGACCTGTTAACCGCAGCGTGACGCTTGACGTAAATGGTAAAAATTTACTATTAATGAGTCACACGGGTTTTAGAACAATTTCGCAGTTCTGGTCCACTAGAGACTGCAGCAGTGAAAGAGATTTATATATCCAGATTTAAATATCTAGCAGGAATGGTCTAAAATTTATATATGGAATCTTTTCTAGAAGGCCCAAGCCACTAATGCAAAAATGTGAGATTTGAAAAAAATACGCTTGCCGCGTTTCAATATAACAATTCGCAATTATCCGGTTAAGATTTAGGTTCGTATTAGGAATGATTGGATATATTATCTTCCAGCGTGATGTATATTTCATACCCTAACCTGATAATCAATTTTTTTTTTAATTTTGAGTGGCGACGGGGTGTTTTTAAGGCGAAGCTTTTACAAAAGATCCTATATATATATATATGTGTGTATACCTGCTATCAGTGTACCATCAGAGTGTGTATTCAATTCGGCGATGAATATTGAAAAAAATTCAAAGCGTTTGTCAAAACTTTACTAACGTATGACCGGAACTAATTCTGAACCTAAAATTGTCAAATATTCATAATCAGCAGTTCCAGATTTTCAAATATATTTACTTAATAATTCGTTAACCGGTTAACCATCTCCAGCCCTAATCATTGGTACTAATCATTTATCCTAATAAGTTGATAACTCTCTAAAAACTTAGTATTGCGCATTTCTATATTTTTAACAGTTCGTAAGTTTTACGAGGTATGGTCGTTTTTTTTGACCATTTGTCATTTAGTGATATTTTTAATTGGATCGCGATATAAAATTACAGAGAATTTTTAGGATAATCCAAATTAATATACTATTATCTTAGACAACAGCAGTGGACGATTATAATGAAATGTAAACAGATAATTTTATAAAGCGGTTAACTCGGCCAACTAATTTCAGCATTCTCGATATTTAACAAGTCAAATAGCTTTTGATTAGGTTTTGTTCAACCTCGTTCTAAAATTATGCAATGAAAAAATTCCCTTAATATTTATATTGAAGCGACAGGTAAAGCAGATTTAGATATATGCGTACATATATGGTAGACAAAATGGCGTACGAAAGATAGATTTCCGTATGAACATTAGATTATTACGTTGCTTTGAGTAAACAATTTTACGGTTTACATTTATTGCTAAAACAATTATATGCCAATCCACGATAAACGATAGCACGTTCGCACCACGATAGCAAAGAGTGTTTTGTAATTAAGCTATTTCGGCTACGCTCCCTATTGAATGTATTAAAGTTTTGTTTTTTGATAAGATAATTCCTGGTACGCCATGTTTTTATAGATTAACAGTTTATTTCTAAATTAAATTATGTACGAGAAGAATTCTTTGTATTGAATTTTGATTGCCACAAGTACTAGTTTTTAATGTTTGAACTTTGTAAAACGTTTTATCTCTACGCGCCCAATATATGCCGTAATTGATTTATGCTTTGACTCCAAAACCAAGGCGACATTACACACTAGTTCCTCACTCGAAGCCCTCATTGTTTCTTGGTCTGACTGTTTAAACGAGAATTTTGACTACACCTTGATTAAAAAACTGTTTATATTCGTTATAGATATGTAGATATTTGTTCAAAATAAATTCAAAATGTTTATGACAAGAATTATTTGTGAAAATATTAAAAGCAACATCAAAAAGAATATTTTTCAAACTTCGTAAAAATTACAAACAACAGGACTCTAAATAAATCACAAATATGGCAAAGAGTGTTTGATAATTTCGAAAGAAAAGACTCAGCCTGGCATGTAATTCTGACCTGTTGATCAATGTACATCTAGACAAAATGTATTATTGAAATTTATTATAATTTTTCTCTAACCAAACACATACAAATGACACCATTCACATGTAAATCACTTATAAAGAGAAACAAATAAGTTTAATAAGTAAAATATTAGTATTATTCGTTTTTATTTGATACAATAGAATTATTTTTTTTAAAAGCTACAGTGTGGTATTTTGAAGGAAGGTATTTTGTTACCGCAAAGCGTATTCAATTAAATAGGCAGTTTAATGCCTAGAAGAGATAATATAAAGGCTAAAGCTCCAGTTTTAAGCATAAAGGAAATCACGTTTAACGAAGTGGTGCTTGAACTTGATATTGAAGATAGCACGTTATGTGTCCATGGTTTTTCTTCTTTTACACCGAAGCTGACTTCGAGAGCTTGTTTTCCTCTGTCTCCAATTACTTTGTACTCTTCCTGCATTCTTGTTATGTCTGACTGCGCCCGAAGATTTACAGATATCTATGAAAAACAACGCATAATAATGGGTAATATTAATCACCAATCCAATAAAGATATCATAAACTTATATTTGTTACTTTCTACTATAGTTGGGACATGCGCTCTTAATTTACCCCAATGAGGAAGAAACAAAATAAACTGTCAAAACACTTGATTCTCGCTGTAATCTCGACTCTTATTTTATAGGAAAAAATAAATACAAAACCTTGGCCAAATCATCCGATAAGTTTGAAGTTCCATCAATCGCCACGATCATTATTGATTCACGTAGAAGGTCTGATAATGGTTGAAACGTGAAGGTTTCTTCAACAATTTGAGTTCCATCTTTGTAGGCAAGAATCATTGTCGAAATATGACCTTCCAGAGAAGAATTGTTTGAAATAAGAGATTTAAGCTCACTGACTGCGTCTTCTTGGGACTGAAATTCTGAAGATGTTGTAATAAATTTCATTCTATCACGATAATTCCGTCTTTCAGACCTTGATGCGTCTTTTACTCCACTGAATATTTTCCAAGCTACGTCCTCGATATCTGTTTCATATTCATGGTCACATATTGAGATTATATTGAATTTTTCCAAGTCCACTTCTGCATTTCCAGCCAATTTACTCATACTTTACGCTCTGTAAATATTAAAATATAGCACTTTAATTTTCATTGCCCTTGTATACCAAGAGGAACAAATCGAGTATCGAGTGCTCAAGTAGTCGTAGGATATTTAAACCGCCTATCTTATTCGGCGCTGTTATTCTATTTGAAACAAACATTCGAAAACACTCGATTTGCAAGATTGAAGCGTAACTAATTATATCCACCTGGTGTATGGTATATAATTAAACGTTTTGGTTTTTGAACGGCAATGACTTAAAATAAGCAAATATGTAATTAAAGGAAAAATCATTAATTTCATCATATCCACCGATATTATTAAACATTCGTCCTTTATCCATGTCGCGTTTGCCATGCGCATATTAAGCCGAATAAGCTCTGCTCGTGATCGAACTTGTTTCGAAAATAAATCAAACACTTTTTTGCTGAAAAATGAAATAAAGCGCCCGGTTTCGGGTTACACAATCGCGTGACATAGGGCCCCCTAGCTGTACTCAACTAAACCGCAGCTTTTCAATGCTTATTATGTATATAAATGTACGATTCGAACTACTGATCAAAAAATTCCATTTAAAACAGGGTACAATATGAAGCAGCACAATGTGCAGGGTGTCCATAAAGTCCATTTATAATTTCAATATTATTAAGAAATCAGATCTCAATATATCTTATCCAGGTTTCTTGTATTTTAATAAGTAATTGTTCACTTCATTTAATACATCTTTGAGGTACAAAACAATATATAGTGTCGATAAATACCCTTTGTAATTTTAAAACATTTTGGGACACTTCATGCGTCGAAAACGTCTTTTTCGTGACAAGTTTGATTGATGAAATCAGAAATATATTTATAGTCGATCTAACTTTTCTCTCATTATTATCCTCGACAAAAATTTTTTTTGTCTTTCATCTAAGTCGATGGAGCCTGACATATACTCAAAATAGGTCAAATAAGGGTACTCCCGTAGTATGTGTTTAGGGTGAGGCCATAATGTTATTCTGATTTTCCAATATCTAGTTTTACTACGCGTTCGAAGGCTGTCTGTGTTAGCCAACAGAATATATCTCCTGTCCAGAGGTTTTATTCCCTTTACACAACTTGATGTAATATAGACGAACAAAATTAGTTACCTTCATATCGGTACTTATACCTCTGAATTGCCTAAATAAGAATTGCTCATGATCGGGCTTGTTCTGAAAATATCTCTAATTCTCTTTAGTTGGAAACGTAACAATGACACTGGTTTTGGGTATCGCCATCGCGTGACATTGCGCCTTCTGGCTGCTCAAATGAAACGCACCCTCTCAATGCATCTCTTAAGAATTTATGTAGATTCAAATGATGGGCAAAGAATTTTTATTATGGGATTTATATGCACCAAAACGTGCAGATTTGAACCTTTGCCATACCATTAAAGACTTTTAAATGTGACTCAATCAAAATTGTTGAATAACGCCTTGCTTGTTTAAAAACAGTTATATAACTCTTATTTAAATCAAAATCTAGTCTAAACTATGAATCTAAGATAATGAAATGTATCAAAAATAAGTTGACGTTGATATGTCCATGTTGTATTTCCAACAGTAACATTATTGTCCAACATTCGCTAATTTTTTTTTTTTATAGATTTCTTAGAAAAACCAAGATGTATTAGGAATAATTTTAAGACTGACTTTGACATATTTGTATATTCCAAGCCGTTAAAAGAGCGAACTGTATTTAGAATGCATTATGATTGCAGACCAGTCTGGTTTTGGTTAAACTATTTTTCCTGAGCGATTAAAAAACGATTAAAAATTTGGAAAAAATTCATTAAACAATTTTTGTGCTTTATTCCGATTTTACATATTACATAGCTGATACATATGAAGTTCCACTGCCTTTAATCAATACAAACATGTCTTTTTTATTTAATCATATCTGGCATAAGGCTCATATGAATATATTTTTTTTGTAAATATTACGTGAATCTATATCCATAGTTTCATTTTTTTTTATTGACATATTTATATTGCTTGAGTGTGTCGGACTATCACATAATATCTCAAAGTATTTACATATGCGAATTTATTTTACTTACACAGGGTTATCAAATGAATACAATTAGATGTACAAGTTTTAAATATATATTAGGTAAAATCGACTATTGTTTTCCAAATATGTACAAACGTTCTATTATTCGCAACCCTCCAAGCGTGAATTTCTATTGTCTACGTCTGCAACACCGACACATGGGCGGTTAAACTCAGTATTTGCAAAATGCAAAAAAAAGAATAGGACAAGGTACTGGTTGAAATGTAATGTACTGTGGTCGATTAATTCACTACACGTAGCAGAATCGAAATATTGAGCACAATTATTTTTCTAGCTTATTTAACGTGTTTCTTAACAGTGTATCAGCTTTCCCAATGACCAAACGATAATATTATTTTTCTTTTGTCAGAAATATTGTGAGTTTTTAAGCACGTCCCAAGCATGTATTAGTAATTTAAACATATAATACTACCTTTGGCCACACATAATTTATTTCCTATTGTTATTAAACGGTTCAAAAGAGATACTTTATGGAATGACAGGTCATACAAAAACCACGGGTTGAATCGTGGCAGGTTTTAATACATAGATCAGTATACCGGAAAATTATTACGATTTAGCAATTCTCTGTTTCAAATGAAGGTCTTGAAATATTATGCGGCTTTGATGCTGATTTTTGCCACAGGTATATTCGTACGATCAATAATTATTCTTAGTACAGTAGGGCAGTACATCTGAAGTAATTTTAAAATTGTATTTTGGATTCAGAAAATAGAATATATGAGAGCAAACATACTCATTTATTGTATGATAGTTTTGATGATGCAAATTTCTCTTCAATATCTATTCCTTCTTTAAAAATATAATTTATAAACACCGTGACGATAAAATAAAATTACATTCATGCAAAGTTTTCCAAGCTGTGTATTTATTGGTGCAACTCATAGAGCGCCAGATATCCAGTTCAAAAATTTTAAGGTTGAGTCAGATTGTAAATAAATATCTTGAATGAACTTTTGACTTTCGCCACTTTGAGTAAATAATTCTTGACTAATTAGTATTTACTATAATTCATATTTCTATGATTTATTTCACAGCATCTGCCATCAGATGTTACACATGCCTTGTGTGTGACACCGTCGACTCATCAACAGAAACTAAAGAATGTAATGGGACTACACCGACCTGTACGAAAGTAGAAGCAACTTTGAATGGTGAGTACAAACGATCAAATCTATGGTAAATAAAATACAGTTTTTTACAATAAACTATCGGTACTCACAATGTTCACGACTTTGTAGGACTTCACGATCGGTAAAGCGAAGGTGGAGGAGAGGAGATTTTAATTTTTAATGACGTCATAGCGCACAAAAAAACCAATCTCTTTGGTCCTGTAGAAATTTTTGATACAAATACAAATTAATGCCTCCAATCAAAACATACAATCTTCAACCACTGAAAATTTCAAAGCAAATTATTCAGTAGTTAATGAGAAAAACAATTATTCATAACGATAGGGAGAAAACGTCTAACAACAACAAAAACAACAACAACATATTAACAAAACGATCCATATGTCCACTCCGTGTTCAGTAATCAATATTAAATAACATTAGATATTTTGAATATACAGTTCACGACAACTAAATAAGCCTACATCTGAGATATTCCACCGTACATGCCTATTTTTACTTTTCAGGCGTTCTCCAAGTTGGGCGATTGTGCAGCAGTGGATCAGATGGATGCAGCACCGTAGGTGATGTAAATAGCGATACTTTCACAACTACATGTTACTGTAACACAGGTGAAGATTTGTTGAAAAAACTTATGATGAATTATTTATATTGAAAATATTTTTGATGTTAAATCTAGTTATGTTTAGAGTTATGCAATGGAGCAACCTCAAAAAAGATGGGAATCAAAGTAGCAATGCTTTTCTTCTTTTTATCTGCATTGGTGTTCAGCCAATACATTTAATAGTTGGAACTATGAGGCTGAAATATTTTTCTTTTGTTAAATGAGCTGTAATCATTGTTGAAGAAAATAAAAAAAAATAATAGATATCTGTGATTCTCACATTCGCAAAGATTGTAGAGGACACGTGTGAAGGATAGGTAACTTACTCAGAAGGGAAGATAGTTTATTTAAGCAGTGGCAATTACATATCCGTACATGATTGTAAAGAATCTTATTCGGAGGGCAAGACGTATATAATAGCCGTATGAATTGCGCAGGAATCAACAAAACAGAATAATTGTGATGCCGGTACTGTAGATGGAATGAACGTAATGCATGATCGTTTGATATATGCACACAAACCATTTGCTAAAATAATTATATGTTATGTTGTATTTATAAAACTTTTCGGTGTATCACTACCTGTTATTGAAATTTATTGGAGGCCCGCAAAAAATGCACGACGGGCCACAGTTTGCCGACAACTTATATAATACAGGAACAAATCGGGCGACAAACTTAGGCCTCTACTTTATGAATCACGATTTTAGCCGTATAAAGTAAAGTACACGAACTTAAGTTAAACTTAAGTTTAAAGAATAATGACCTGCATTAGATGTATCTAAGAAGTTTTTCGTGTTCAATTACCATTTTGATCACAAAATTGATCCAAAAACTACAAAACTTAAACACAATTTATTTTACACAACAACCGCAGATTTAGATGTTTTGTGAAATCGGTTTTGTTTTTCAATTTCGCGGATAGACTTCAGACTTTAAAACTAAAAATGACCCACTTCCTCCATACTTTTCCATTACATACCTTTGTATCGCTTCGGGATTGCGTTCGGTAGATAAATGCACTGTGTGCACTGCACTGCGGATAAATGAATTGTGTATTCTATGTTTTGTTCTCCAATGCTTAATATGTACTGTAACCATATATATTCTCATTTTTAACTTCCACAATATTGTTTTGATTTAAATATATCGTAGAATGGCAGCTCACACTGATCTCATAAATTCAATGAATGGCCAAGGTCATGTTTAATAGTCTTACCCAACACCGTAATACGATTGAAATGAGAAAAACATCAATTTTCATTCATATTCAAATATAAATCACGGAAACATCTTGCTGATCTTCGAAACAACATCCTGCATTTTTTTATTGTTGTAAGGGCAAGGAGAGAAATTGTCGCATATACATTGATTTGTTGGCGATCTTTTGCGACTAGTGCCACTCCAAGTCTTGAAGCAGGTATCGTACGGAAAGTTGCACGTAGTATAACGTCCATTTCGGATATCTAAATTTAGAGTTGCATTCGTCAGTACCATGGCGTAAATGCCATGAAAACAGTATTGATATTAAAATACACCTTTCACTATTTCTTACCATTAACAATTAATACAAATAGTTTTTGACTAATCACCATTATTGTCCGGGTTCACATATTACAAATATGTATTATGCAAAATAATATTTTGCTGTATATAATAACTTGAAGAATACCAATAAAAACTTGCAACACATAACAAACACAAAAAGAACAATAAGAGAATTTCGAACTAATTAGGGCACTCAATTGGAGTTAAAAAACATCAATACCACTATTAATATAACTTGATATTCAGTGTTTATTCACATTAGTAATTAAAATAATAATTTGTATTCCTATGGATGAACGGTAACCATATCAGAATACTAAAGCTTTTGGACTGGTTGAGAACTTTTTTCTATTGATAATTGTATATGTGTGAGAAAACATTTTTGTTCACATCTTATTAACGAACTCGCCTGTGCTAGTTGAAGCGTATTTGCTGCTGAATGGTCCCGTTTTATCATCAACTTTAAATCCTTCATAGCCCTCTATAATAATATGTGAAAAATTGAATATAAGCCACATACTTTGTTCAATACACGCACACACATTTCATAAATATCTAACCCAAACAATCGGACAAATAAGCGAACAATGAATATTCAAGATGAATATATATATATTTATTGTGAATACCTATCGCTGCAATTATTTATATCCTTTAACTAGTTTACAGGAAATAGTCAAAACTAAACTCTCGTGTCAAGTACTGTGTACTAAACGTTCTCTAGTAATCTTTTATATAGCCCTGAGCATGTCAGTTGTCCGTTGAAATTCTATCAGCACTGTATACGCATTTACTCCGTGTGTCAAACAGAACTTAAATAAGCTATAATAAGTTTATGTTGAGTGGAATAGGAATTGATTTGTAGTATCATCGAAGATTCATATCATTTTCATTAGAATTAAGAACCAGTTGGGTGATGACACTGCCAAACTATGAAATTGCGAGAATAACAATAAAACCCATAAATTGGAATCATTGACAAAACTCAACATAATCACATTTACATTTTACTCAATATAAACAGAGATACAAGTATTATTCAATTTCTTTCATACTATTTGAAAGGTAAAAGGGGGTTACAATATCTGTACATGCAAATATTTTATGTCTAAAACAGCTTCTGTCGTTCACGTAGGAAGTCTCAATCTTTCTTAAAATATCTCTTGAATTTTTGAAATATAGTCCTGTTTGTTGGTATACTCGTCAACGTACCGACTGTTGATGTTGAATACATCACTGGCGTTGAGCATTGCTTTAGTTTCTGTCTCCAACAGTTGTATTTTTCTTGTGCTACTGTAATAGAAAATAGAAAAATATATCCAAATACATCACGGGTCAATCTATTCTATATGACCACTGGTAGAATTCAAATTTTTTTTGGCAGCCGGTTCCTTCATAAAAGTTATTTTTCAGCCTGTTCTGTTACAAACAGAACCTTGACAGTAACCCGTAATGCTAACCGGTTCGCTGACCTCATACAATTCCGCGAGGCGATTCTATAGAACCGGTGCGAACCGGCTGAATCCCACCACTGTATATGACTATACCCTTTACCAGGGTGGTCCAAACCCAGGCCCGCGGGTCACATGTGGCCCACCGCGGCATTACATGTGGCCCGCGTCACATTCGGAAAGTAACCAATAAATCACATTTCGTGTTGTTTCGTAATAAAATTATTCAGAAAAACTTTTTGACATATTCTTTCATCACTAATGTCACTGAATTGACCAGTGTTATGGCTAGCCAAGGCAAATAGCAAAGTTGAATGATGTGCTTGGCAGTCTAAATTATTCTCTGGCTTTCTATCTTTTTGGTCGGGAATATATGCTAACAATATAGGCATTTTAGAAAACTAAAAATCGAATGCGGATTCTATTAGCCTGGGATGGCTATGTCTGATAACTATGTGTTTGCACAATTAAAGTGTTTGTTTTTTATTGCACAGTTTACCTATTCTATAGGCACTATTGTGGCCCTCGAACAATGAAGAAAAAATAAATTTGTGGCCCGCGGAGCCAACAACCTTGGACCACCCTGCCCTATACTATACCATAGTACAGGATGATATAATTCGTCATAGCATGAAAATTAGCTAGTCCAATCTCAAATAACATTGCTCAGTACACTCACCGGGTCTCTCTGTGGAACTCACACCAGCTGCAGGCGAAGATTTGTAAATTAATGTCGAAGAAAGAGGTAATGCAAATGCTTTGAAAATATAACGACTTTTTTCAGCAAGTTTCATCATTGTACAGCACTTCTACTTTATCTCTTTATGAACCGAAATTTCGCTATGACTGACTATACAATATATAATATACTATCGACAAACTTTACAGTAAAAATAAAACATATCTCTTCCTTTGCGCATATCCTTCACGTCAGCCCAATTTTATCAGGAAGCGTTGATGGTAAGTGGTAACAAATATTAGCAACAAATCTGATTTTATATTCAGCACTAAGTGAATTTGATAATCAATTTGTATATACAAAATAAATACTTTGAACCAATACAATTCAATTTCATAGCAAATCTGGGCGTTTTAAAATTATGAACTGATACTCATAGTCTTCATTCAAGTGTATGATATAATTTTTAGAATTGTTCATGTATTTGGTCACTCTAAAATTGGGTCACTCTAAAAAATTATTTATATTTTTCTAAATTATCTAAATTTTTAGCAGCCTATTTAATGAATTGTAATTAAAATCAATTATGATTAACGTAGGAGGACGACATCCGATTTGACCATCAGCAACTTCAGTTTCTTCATTTTAACTCTTGCTTCATCTTTTGTGCTGGTCGTTGTCGTTTAATTGAATTTCTTAGATTCTGTTGATTTCGATTGTGCCATTGTGTCTGTGTCACAAGCAATAGCAGATGCTGTTAGAGAAAAAATGGGAATATGTATGAATATGATAAAATTTCAAACGACAGGTCCTATGCATCCAATAGAACCAACTTCATTTCGTCATGCAGGAAATCCTTAATATTTCAAAGACAAGGCATCATGCATAAGGATACCAGATTTCATTGCAATTTACAGGTAGTCATGATAGATCGGAAAAGATAATAAAAGACTGCAAAATCTAAATTTATACCTATTAAAATATAAAATGATAGAAGCAAAAGGAAATTTTAGATTTTCACAAATATAACGAAAAAATGAACATGCCCTGGAAAACTGGGATGAAATCTTTAAATATAAATTGGAAATAAAAAGTTAAACCAGGAAAAGATTGGGGTGTAAAAATGATAAAAACACACAATTAAATTACAATTAGACTTAGGAAATAATACGGTAAAAATATCGGTTATATTAAATTGGGACCTCCTGAAGTATGCGCTCAAGATGGCGCACAAACTGAATTCAGGTTGTGTACCAGGTTAGGGTTCAGGTTATGCGACATCTTTGTGCGCATACTTCAGGAGTACCTTAAATTGTATGTTGGAATTAAATTTGTTTAAGGTGAAACCATATAAGGTTCGAACTGGAATATGTGAATACGAAATACCTATAACATTATAATGTATCCTTTCACAATTATAAAGATTAATATTTACTGTCATATGCATAACTCCAAGCAAGATATGAAATAACTATGATCATATGATTGCGTATTAGGATGTTGGATATTGAACTGCAGGTCCTTTCTCCTTATCTACTTCTTACTTCAAATCCGTATGTGGGCATTGCCACTATGATATCTGAACAAGATAAATGTGATAAATGAGAACAAAGTGATCCGTTTCCTCGAAAGAGTGAGCATATTTTTTTTAAAGTTTTGTCAAATTATTGTCTAACTTATTCAAACAAAACAAGATACAATTACAAAAATAAAGATTAAAATAATTGTAGACTCAGATTGCGACAATGAGATTCAGTTTTCATAATTTGTTTAAAACTTACTAAAATATAGTAATAACATTGCAGTCGACTCGTGACAATAATTCAGTCTGGGCAATTTTCAGTGTGAGTTGTTCTTGACCAATAGTTATCCACAATTCTGTCTTGGTTCACTTTTTGTGCACAAGAATTTATTAGGTCCATCAACTTTCTAATGCAAATAAAAAAATAAAAAATACAAGAAACTATTTTTGAAAAAATAGACACGTTAATAAATAATTAAAATGAGCATCACCACCCACAGCCAAAAATGCGGCAGTATCATTCATTTCAATCAAAGTTTAACAAATTTATCAAAAATTGTGGCAATTATTAATAGGTTCGTGGCCCACCTGAAAATGTATCTGTGGCCCAGAAGTGGACCGTGGCCCACTGGTTGAGAAACGGTGGTCGGAACAATATAAACCAAGAAAACAAGTTTGTCTGGTCCAGTGGAACTATCGAAAACCCTTGAACTATTTCATGTTTTTTGTACAACCAGATGGCGGTAGAGAGAATGATCAAGACTGTGTTGAAAGGGGTATCTCATTGCCAATGTACCATTATGTATGATTATTGTAATGTAATGACAAAACACATTTCTATAGTATTGAATTTAATGTTGTGGGACATTTTTAACGTTACTCACTGAACTCGGTCTTGTTTGTACTAATATACTTAAATAAGTTTACAAAGTTAATTTAAATCTATGAGGAATAATTTAATAATCTTTAAGCCAGTTTACATAAACATCGGATAATGTTAACGATTTGTTAATAATCTTATTATATGAATAATGGAAATCTTGTTTTAAACGTATTTAAATATCTATACCGTTGACGTAGTCAATTGGCGCAAAATTTGTAAAAGTGACCAATTTTAACAAACGTGGTTGCTAAAATCATATTTGAATTTATAAATATTTAAATGCGGCTACAAAAAAAAGATGTCAATCACAAAACTATAATAGCAATTTGGAATATTTTTTAATAGATTCTCCCAAGCAAATGGTATTGACAGAATTTTCATCAGTCAGCCGTTGCATATTCATACAGCCGAATTTATAGGGCTTGAATAAACAGAATATATAGTTTTGGCGGAGGGGAGGGGGGGGGGTCCTCAGTGCATTATTATGTTGACAAGTAAAGAGTATTCGAGATATTTTTGGAGCAAGAAGGATTACGAGCAGTAGCCTATCTATTTGGCCTGAAAACCTAATGCAAGTGGAATAGATAGAGACCTAAAATTTTAACTTGTTGGGGCTTATAATAGGAGCAAAGAATGATCGCATATGAAACCAAGTCCTGATGCTATATGTTGCCCAAAATTCTCGTACGGTATTACACCTTCACTCCAGAAATCTTGTTAGGTCCATCGTGGCATATACGCACAGCAAAATTTATAAAGCTTGAATAAACCGAATAAGTGGTACTGTCCGAACGTAATGAAACCTGATACACTGAGAAATCCTTCTAATACATCGATTGTATTAGTAACAATTGTACTCGAACAAAAACAGCACGTTTTTGTGCAAATAATCACGTAATTGAAATTCTTTGTCCATCAATCGAACCTACATTCATTTACAAGCGATTCGTGGAAAGGGTGCTATTTAGGGAGCTCCAGAAGTGTGTGCACCAAGATGGCGCACTTCCTGAATATAGTATGTGTACCAGGTTAGAGTTCAGGTTGTGCGCCATATTGCTGCACATAATTTGGAAAGCCCCTTTTAGTTAGGTATAAGCAGCCAGAAAGCCCGATATACGCGTACACTCAGCAAATTTTTGTGTTACCAAACAAAGAGTGTTCGAAATAGTTTTAAAACAAGCGCGATTAGCAGTACTTATTTGTCTAAAGAGACTCATGGCAAGCGGCATAAATAAACGCCAAATCTTTTTACAAAGAATGGTTGGATATAAAGCTAATACCTAGAGATACATGTAGGACAATATACTCGTACGTGATTGAGTATTACACCTTCACTCTAAAATATCTTGTTTGGCCAAATCGTGGCATATACCAACAGCCTAATTTATAAGGCTTGTTTTTGTTGGCGGATGAAACTTGATATTATTGTCTGGGCGTTGAAGGCTTGATACACTATTGAGAAACCCGTTAAATACACTCTATTGTGTTAAGAACAACTGTACTGGATTTAAAGAATACAATATTCCTGTATTGATTATTTCAGCGATAAGACTGGTCATGAAGTATGGCATTTAAAACCGGTATTTAATTTACAACCTCCGCTTCTTATAGTAAATATGTCGAATGTATGCCTTTGGTTTAATAGTATGCCAATGGTTCAAATAATCACATAATTGAAATTCTTTGTCCATCAATCCAAACCTACATTCGTTTACAAGCGATTCATTGAAAGGGTTCACTTTCGCAGGGTATTGGCAGCCATAATACGCGCGATCACGCGAGGGGGATACAGAACACCGAGCGCTTTTTACGATACCAAGCTAAGAGTGTTCAAGATCTTTTTAAAACAGGAGCGATTACTGGCAGTATTTTTTGGACTTAAAATACTCATGGCAAGCGGCATAGATAAAAGGCAAATGTTTGTACTTGTTGGGGGTTATAATGGAGGAGAAGGAGATTCGGGTATTGAACCGAAACTTAAAGATTCGTGCTGGACAATATACTCGTACGTGCATTATATTTCATATAGAAATAAGAAAAATCACGAGGAAAATATTCGTGTGATTGTAAACGCCTCAAAGTCAATGAAAGCATGTTCAGAATCAGACATCATAAAAATACATAAATTGTTATGGGATGAAAGACAATTTACCTGCAATGGTATCACTCATGTTTTATTTGGTCATAGTCACAGTGCACTGATCATATATGATGCTTGCAAAACTGAGGCCTTAAGGAAGTTTCTTATAAAGGAAAATACACCTGAAGAAAATATCGAGAACGCAATTCAACAGATCCGAGATCGATTAGCAATATTTTCGCTGGAGGGGATCCAAGACATACCTAAAGATTATGCTAAGGTAAAACGATAGAAGAAGCATTATATTGTTATAGAGGAGACCGTGTAAAACATATTTTTTCATATTTAATTCATATTCATATTTTTTTTATTAGTCTTGTTTAAATATTCGGTTGGAGGATGATACCATTGCAACGTTTGGAAAAAAGCTCGTCGGGAGAGCGACAAAGTGCAACAAGAAAACAATTCCGAAGACCAAAAGTAAAGATACAAAATCTGAAAAAAAAAACTTTTCCTCGACAGTTTTTGCTGATTTAAGTCAATCATCATGGGATAAAGCAAATCATGTTTTGCGAGAGTATGTGAATAATGAAGACGTGCTCAAAACAATAGACGTTTATCTTAAAATGTAATGTAGTATTTTATTAAAATAGACGGAGATCTTCAAATTCAAAAGTTTGAAGATTGACCTAAACCCACGGGTGATTTCTAAATACTGTAATTTTATAACGTTTAATTTTTACTATCTTCGCCTTCATATTTTAGAATTTGAAACAAATCCTTGTTTTAAATAAAAGATAAAACAGAAATTATTTTTAAAAATAGCAGCAAACCCTGAGTGGGTTTGTGTAACTTACTGACATATTTGTTCATTATTGAAAGAAACAGCAAATTCCACAAAGCATGTAAGCATGCACACGTAACTGACTGAGCCCACTCGTCGGAACAAGTTGTCAGAACGTGGAAATAATGTCTTAAAAGCAAATTTGTATTAGCGCAGTTCTGTATTGTCATTTATTTATATGGATTTTATATTTTTATTTGAGTATAATATCAATTATGTCAAACAAATGCTATTTATTTTACTTTTTTTATTTAGTACATTTAATACTGTACAACATTTAAAAAAAAATTTCAATGCCAACTTCAGCGTTAGTAATTAAACCATTTTAACAAACTTTGCCATTTTATTTTGTACATGTTTTTAGAATTTATGAATTTAAATTTTATATCTTTACAATATATAATATGCAAACGTTATCAAGCGTCAGCATTAAACGATTAAAGCCAAGTTATATTATTCAGGATTTGTATTATGCCCTCAACGTCAGTTGACCATATGTCCTGCTCTGTATAAAATATGTATAAAATTAGAAACCTTTGTATTATGATTATGTTCAGATTCACTACTTTATTGTGTTGTATTGCGTTTATTTTAATATATATATATATCGTGAATAGGTAAAAATATATTTAATGTAAATTACTTATGTTTGATATGTAAAATTTGCTCTGCTTCAACTTTATTTGTTTGATTGTTACAGGTTTTATTTAGTTTGATTCCCAACGATAGGACATTAAAATACGTGAGGTAAATGGCTGATGAAACTTACAATGTTATACAAGTTTGCCAGAAAGGATTCAAAGCATATTTAATTGGAGGTTTTGGAGCCGATATCAATGAAGTTGAAGATGCAGCGTGGGAGATATGTAAAAAGTTACACAACTTTTCAGAAAGAAAAAGAATTCATCATTACAGGGACGTTGAGTCAATTGTAGACACTGCAGGCAGTTTGACAGAAGTACCCGCGTTAATTGTGTTAAAGATTCACAAAATTCTTTTCCATATGCCTCACTGTAAAAATGGAATAACTCGCATTATTTTTGCACACAGTCATGGAGCTAAAATTGTTAGAACGGCAATTGGTGAAAATTCACTTTATCACTATTTTGTCAAACATCGTCTAAATGAAAGTGGAGTGGACTTTTCTAATAAACTCAATCGAATTAAAGATAATTTAGCAGTCTTCACTCTTGGTGGCATCGACACAATTCCAAAAGAATATGCTAAGGTTTGTTTCTTCGATATTCCCATGTTCAAACACAAATGCGCACATAATCTTTGACATTCAAAAATATTGAAGTAACAAATTCTTGCTGACTCATCCAAAAACATTTTGTTTTTTTAGGTAGTTGAACCACTTAAATGCATCCGGTCAACCAAGTTGTTCTAAAATGAACAAAAAAATAACTGTTCAATAATTTAGTTTGCGATGTATTCAACTTTTAATAAATATTTATTGACCTGCTTTGCAGATATGTCTTAACCTGAGATTTATACAAGATGTAAAATCTAAGTTTGGCAACAAGGTGTATGGAGGAAGCAGTGAAAACTCAGAAATAATAAAGTTTCATAACGGAGAAGTGGAGTCCCAATCAAGACCTTCTTCTGAGTCAATATCGGGTCGACTTGAAAACTTCTTTCAATTAAAAACATTGAAAACCGCATCAACTGAAGGAACAAAACATTTACTGTTTGATTATACGAGAGATAGTGCTATAACGAGGTTCATTTGGAAAACGTTAAGGCTGCAAGGCGATTCTGTGCCGTGTGGTTGCACAGAGACGACCACAAAAAACGAACCCGAAAATATGCACTGGATTAAAAAACACAAAAATGATGAATGGGTCAAAATATGTGATCCAATATATTCACAAAAGCCGTGAAGAAATTATTCGAACTGATTGCCACCAAAAATCAGGTTTCCTGCTCATAAAAAATATTATCAAGACAAATAATTCTTCTCAGACAGACGTGATTGAAACTTAAATTTTTGACTATAAGCTTACCAATGTTTTATTTGGTTTAAAATAAAGTTTTAAAGTACAGTGATAAAGAGCCTATGCTCCATACTTGGGCGCAAAAAAGAATTTAACGTAAATTCACAATTGAATATAAAATTACGAACAATGATAAAAACGTCTCTAAATTGGTATGAAAACAAAATTAAGTTTAAGATCACAGTAGCCAAAAACACTTGTTTGGTTCAAAATAATAAACATGATTGATTCAGTGTCCATGGCATAAGCAGTAGAATATTCAGGAAGATTTATCAAATAAATCAATTATTTCGGAATTTGAATATGAACTTGAAAAAAATGGAAAATAGGAACTATGGTTCATTTTTTGGTTCCCGAATTGTACCTAACTCTAGGAGTGTAATTTGAACCAAAGTGCCTCAGTCCGGTCTATACTTGAATTTAATGAAATTTTTAATTAGTGTTCCACTTTTACTTTATTGTTAATAAATGTTGAACATAAATGTAAAACAGTTTTTTACTTTTCCGAATTCTACATATACAGGAAATATTTAATTCTTCCACACTGAACAAGACTTTGCAGAACAAATCACGAAAACACGAAGGAGAACTTTTCTGAAATTTGAAAAGATCAGATTAATTCAGTTTTGTCAGAGCGGGCTAAATTTTCTCCGAGGTGGCAAGCTTTCTGCGTTAGTTTGAAACCTTTCATGTAATGTACTTGACAAATTCATGTATTTGACATTTTTCGTAGGCATATAAGACTGTCTAAATATTTCAAGTTTTCGACATGTCATACATTACTGCTGATATCAGTCCAGAGTGAGTTTTGTTCACCTAAATATTTATATCGAGTTAAGTAATAACTCTTTGAATATATATATATTCATAAGTGGGTTATGTTACATGGTAAAATAATTCTAGATGCAAAAATGGGAACGAAGCAATTAATATGAATAGAAAACAAAAAGGCTTACACGTATGAGATAGATTCTTGGGAATATGCGCCGAATCGTTGAAAAGGAAACTTATCACGTTCGCGTTTGTTTTGTTTAGTCTAGGCAATTCTTTTGAATTAGGTCTACTCCCTTTACGCGATGACAAAGGATTGTGGTTCGTTCTGTAGGTATTTGTGAGTAAAAGATGATGACTATGCTTAGTAGCGTACAAAAATAACCGTTGATCACAACATGAAATACATGGTTTTTATATTTGAAATTTTCGTTAAACATGTTGGCTTTATTTGCCGCGACAAATCACAAGAGCTCAATATTATGGCGCATAAAGCGTCTCGAACTAATTATATAGGTTTTGCAAATAAAAAATACTTCCGCACACAAAATATATGTTCTAATCAAACAAATAATTGATTTAGAACTTAAAGTTTGGGAGGAATAGACTAATACATCGTATCTTGCACGCAATTTTCAAAGGTGGTGTGCCTAATGCTGGTGCAGAAAATCTTACAGTTTCTCCAGTTCGTATTATACGTTATAAATACAAGAGAGCTACGCTCAAATACATGGACACGTTGAGCCACATGATTTGATGACGTCATAGAGAAAAAAAAGTAATAGCCTTCTGGAGAAAAATTCTATCTTTAACCACTGAAAATTTCTCAGTCATCGAAGAGAAAAGCCATTTCTTCAAAACGTGTCAAAGAACAACAACAACAACAACAAGACTAAGAACAACATAACAACAAAACAATTACTATGTCCACTACGTGTTCAATAATGAAATTCAATCTTTTAGGTCATTGTTGACTACACACACCTTTTGGGTTTTTGACAAGTCCAATATTACTAATGAGCTTAGTCTGCAGTGAGTTTCTTCATCTACAGGCTAATATTGAGTTGAACAAAATTATTCATTACATATTTGTAAAGATACATTTGGACCAAATCAATTACTATACAAAACAAAAAAATACTAAATAAGAATTTAAAAACTTGTGTGTATGTGCCAATGAACGATGCATAGCTACGAAAGCATTTCATTTCACAATTTATGTTCAATATCTTGGCAGTTTTTTGTATTTGACAATTATACGCTGTGAAAAAGATTTCGGGGTGTTTTGTAAATAGCTGTTAATAAAATATTTTGAATTGACTCCATACTTAAAGTATAAGATTTGATTTCTCGAAGAAGTCTGGGCGGCACATAACATAACATGCTGAAATTATTTCATTGTCCAAATGTATATGTAGTTTGGTTATAAAATATTTCAGATGTGATTTGTTTTCAAAGTATAAGATACCAATTTATTTATATTTCTTTATTTTAAAATAAATTCATCAATTCATAAGGAGAATGTTTTATAATCAAATGTTGATTACAAACGTAAAGCAGTTTTTTACTTTTTGAATTCTACATATACTGGATGTATTACAAATAGTTTGTTTCATACATAATTCTTCCACGCTGAACAAGACTTTGCAGAACAAATTGCAGAAACACAAAAAAACACTTTCTGGAAGTTAGGAATGATCAGACTGATTCAGTTTTGTCATAGCGGCTAAAATTCTCAAGTTGGTGATTCTAATGCATTATTTTGGTACGTTGTATTTTTTCACGCTAATAAATAATAGAATTTATGAGTGAACATTTTCTTTGTAGTTTTACTTTATTTCTGATGGCATTCAAGACTGCATACAATTTTCAAGTTTTTATATGTCAGATATTACTACTGAACTCAGTCTGAAGTGAGTTTAATTCATCTAAATGCTAATATCGAGTTGCGTAATAACTCTTTTAAGATATATATATATATATATATATATATATATACATGATAAAAAAATTATTATGAGCAATTAATATGAATGACAAAAAAAATGGCTTACACGTATGAGATGTATTCTTGGATATATGAGAAGAATCTATGATTAGGAAACATATCCCTTTCGCGTTTGTTATTGTCTAAGCAATTCTTTTGTATCTGGTCAACTCACTTTAGGCGATGACAAAGGATTGTGGTTTGATCTGTAGGTATTTGTGAATAAAAGTTTTTGTCTATGCTTTGTAATGTACATAAACAAACTGCTCTCAAAATGTATGAGTTTAATCTGTGATAATTTTTATGAAATAAATTATCATTTTATTAGGTGAATGTTTTGTAATTTAATGTTGATTGCAACATGCAATGTTTCTATTTTCTATTTTGGCTAATACTTCTACTAGTGGAAATGAGACTGGTTTTTAAAAGGATATCCTCACAAAATGCAAAACTTTACCGAACAAATCACGGATACACGACGAGGCATTTCATTAAAGTTTGGAAATCCGACAAATTCAATTTTTTCTTAGCGTTTCATATTTCCTCAAGGTGTAGGGATTTATGCCTTTGCCGATAATCTTGCATTTTTCCCCCCTCCCCCCCCAAAAAAAATTGATAAAGATTATTTTATACATTTGGACATTTTTAGATGGCCAGGATATTGTTTCCTTTCAAAAACCTCATATGTTGCTCAGAGTCAATCCTCCAAACAAAAATCTTTTTTTCCTTTTTTATGAATGTATCGTTTTTTATTACATATTTCTTGACGTTCAAAGATGAACAAAGACAAAATTTTAACAATATTTCATATTCCAATATAATTATTAACAATATATACTAGTTAAATAAAAGCACCGCACATAAAATCCAAGTTTTTAGGCAACAAAGTTCTAAATTTTAGCTTAGTATGTAGTTGTTTTTATTCTACTCGCTTTTAATAAACAAAATATCAGTAATCTGGGTTGAGCAATAAATCTACAAATAAATTAATTAAATTTAGTTTAATACAATTGAAATATATATTTATGATGATATTCCACATGATCAATAATTTTAAATTGATAATGTAATGCCAAGAATAGATAATATAAATTTTAACGCTCCAGTATCGATTAAAAACTCAACTATATTCAATGAGGCCGCGCTAGAACTTGCCAAAGAATTTAGTAAACTTCTTTTAAGGTTTTTTTTTTGGTTAAAATTGAAGTTGACTTCATGAGCGCTTTTCCCGGTGGGTCCGATTATTGTCTGCTCTTCTACTGACCCTTCTACTTCTGAACGCTCACTCAAATTTACAGAAATCTGAATAAAAAATATCACATTGCGAAAACATATTCAACAACCGTGATTTAAACAAATTTCCTAGTTGTTAATTCTAGCTATTTAAAACATGGTACTACTAATTTGTCGCAATGAAGAACATACAACATTAACAATCGAAAACTTTTGGCTTTCACTTCAGTTTGTAAGCGTATTTAGCAATAGAATATTATTATTATACACAGACCTTTGCCAAATCATCCGGTAAGTTGTTCTTTCCCTCAATCGCGACGATCACCGTAGATTCACGTATTTGCTGAATGCGTTTGCTGATATGCCGTTCTTGCTCCCCTTCATCTAGTAAAGTTACTGATAGTGATTGAAAAGTGAACACTTCTTCAACAATTTGAGTTCCCCCCTTGTAAGCAAAAATCATTGTCGAAATACGACTTCCCACGGAAGATGTTTTTGAAATATGAGATTTAAGCTCACTGACTGCGTATTTTTGTGACCGACTTTCTGAAGATGTTGCGATAATTTTCATTCTCTCTCGATATGACCGCCTTTCCAAAGTTGACGCATCTTTTACTCCACTGAAAATTTTCCAAGCTGCGTCTTCCATATCTGTTTCATTTCCTTGGTCACATATTGAGATTATATTAAATTTTTCCAAGTCCACTTTTGCATTTCTAGCCAATGTACTCATATTTACTTATCTGTAACAAAAAACAAACAAAAAAATTAATTTTTCATTGCCCCTGTATACGCACATTAATAAAACAAAGGCCCAAACTAGTTGAGAGATACTAAAACCCCAAGCCGTCCCGTTCACGTAGAGCATTATATTCTTTAGACCAAGCAATCAACAACGCTCACGACGACAAGGCTTATGCAGTGACTCATTACAGCCATCTGCTGTATGTTTTCTAATCTATGGTTTTATAAATTTTTCAAATAAAAATAAAACATCGACTCTATCATATCTGACGATATGTCTTCTCAAAATTATTTTTCACTCTTTATATGTCTAATACGGAGACTATTGATTGGTCAACTGGGAATAATTCTTTTGAAAACTTCTACTAAAATTAGGAGATTGTTCCCACTCAAACTGTAGGCAATGATTAGAATATTTTAATTGAACTAGACTACTAGTGGTATTACTATTTCAACCAAACTCCTTCGTATCCGTTGTTATGTACTTTTGGAAATGGTACCACAACTAACTAATAAACGAATGGAAACGAATGGAAACGAATTTTTACTTTTTGTTTCAGTTGCTCCGATAAAGCAGTACATAACAAATAGTATATTGTGATACTTGTACAAATTTATTAACATATATATACAAATTGCTCTCTCGTTATGAAAACACAGCTCACCTAGAAACCATAAAGATAAATGAGACATTATTGAATATGTTTTGTCCATCAGAAAATTATATTTATTTTTTGAATAAATAATTTTTTTTAAACTGTTGTTCAGTAAATGCAGTTACCCAATATTAAAACTGCTTAATTTTGTATTTTTGTATGGATACTTCTAAAATACTATGAATAAACGATATATATTTGACTTCAATATTTTTTTTAAATAAGCAACGATTAAAGGAAATGAGATGACGGTAGTGGTTATTAAACAATATAGTACAATAACATTCTCTTAGGTTATATTATTTATCAGCTTTATTATAAACTTTGTTTTACCCTTCATAACATTATCACGTTTCCTTGCATACGTTGCTGAATTGTACAACATTCGATGTCAAAAAGCCACAGCCACATACGGAAGGGTATAAAGTGACAATGGCATTTCTTGAGATCTTGGCCAGTAGTAACAAAGCAGTATGCAGTTTTCAATTGTGTGAATTGTATTAACTAAAAATTAAAGATGAGTTTAAAGAATTAAATTTTCGCGAGTGAATTTTTAAACGGGTATCGTCGTTACGTAGTTGTCTATGTAGCCGGTTATTAATATGTTGTTATTAGGCTCCTTATTAGCAAGCTTAATACAAATAAAGTTAACTACAAAAAATAAATTTAAATTAGTGAATGCTTAGGAACGGTAACATTACACCAATGGAAAAATTCCAAACAACGATTTTTACTAAATCGGGAAAAGATATAATATTTATGCCAGACGTGGAAAGTCTAACTTTCCTCAAAAACGTTTATTGAAACGAAAAAATATAATTTTAGATTGAATCGTATTATTTTATTCAGATTCTAACATAATTTATTGGAAACAAGTTATATTATGATTGGTGTCTATATTCCTTGTCATAAATATTGTTTAAATTTGTAGATTTTTCTCAAACTTAGTTTTATCGAGCAATCTTGTAAGTCAAATAAGATGTGGCAAAGTTATGAAGATGAAAATGTTTTATGAAGATGCAATTAGATATGAAACTCATCGAAAGGTATGTAAGCCCTAAAAAAATTAAATATTTGTGTTTATAGCCCTAAAAAACATAAGAGCCATTATAAAGTTGTGCAATATAATATATATATTTAGGAAATAAGATTCAGAAATAACAATATTATGATGTGTTTATGGTTATGTGAACCGCACGTAAAGTAAAAACTTGTACAATTCTCCATTTATTATCTATGTTAGTTGGAAATTGCAATTCATGAAATTCTTAGTACACTTTAAGCAATGTCGTAGTGCATACTACACTTGGACGTGCAAAACACTAGACTTCTGTATCGTTTTTTTTTGGATAAACTTAGGCACATTATATAAAGTAATATTAGATAGCCCATCATCGTACCAAAATATATATAAAAGAAACAAACGATATTCTTCTATTTTATACTCAAACATTGTTTTATTATATATTTATGTACGCTTAATATTATTTTTTTTTTAGTTGTCAACACGCCCGGGAGTCAACTATCAAGAAGTCAACCAGCACAACTCAGCTTAAGTCAATCACCAAATCATTCTGTTTATGATAGATCACGTGACCTCCCGCTGCCTCGCAGTCCACAACCTTTTGAGCAGAAAACGTATCAAGAAAAGATTACACCGATCCCTCTGGTTGCTTCACCAGAAGTTGATATTACAAATAAGGTTGCAAGTAAAAGGTGGAAAGCTGCAAAAGTAGTTTCAGGAGTCATTTTTGTTTTTTCAATGGTCACGATTATATCTATTCAAGGATTAACATACAAACAGGTTGGCATCGGTGGTAATTTAATCATCATATTTGCCCTTGCAGCGTAATATACCGATGACTAATATTGATACCCGGGTCACCAAAGGGGCAAGGGAGTACTAAGGTTTAGAATGAATAGGTGTATATATATAATAAAATGACTCTTGCATCACGTATACCTTTGCTAAATTCTATCATGTGACAAATTCGATAAGGAGCGTCTACACAATGATACTGCAGTTATCGAATAAAAAAAGTTAAATTTTATCAATTAATAGTCTTGCTGCACAAAAATATAGATGGATTTTTGTTAAAATGCTATGGAGTTACATTTGTGTTACAAAAAAATAAAACTCTTGAAAAACATGCATGGGGGGCATGGACCAATTAATATATTTATGCTGTTTCATTGAACCATATACACATAAGGCCACCGGAAGCTGTCATGAAACACATGACACTTGAAAATCAATTATGATAGAAAGATCTTGTACGCGACAGTTCAGATACTTTCCGTTCATTTTGCACATTTTAAATACAATAGTATGGTTGAATCTTCAACCTTTGTATACTGCACACTAGAAAGTAACCATTGTCTGCTGCGTCTTAAATAATATTATGGTTAAGATAATTCTTCCTTTTACTAAAAAGAATCTAAGTCATGGCCAAAAGTTCAAAATTTGATATGTTTTGGAAAAACTTCATTTCCTGTACATTCCTGTGCCTAGTTCTCGTCGTTCAGATCATTATACATGGCCGAAATTATGTTTTGTATAACGTTATAAGATTATAAAAATGCACATGTGTCAATAACCAGTTGTCATGTGGTGCAAATATTGACGAAAATACTGAAAACGTTCTTTCAAAATATAATGATGGAATTTCCAATAAATAAAAAAGAGCAATTCAGTACCCGATACCTGATATGTTACTGAAGTTCTAATATAGAGAAGTTTAAATAATTTTCTTCTTCATTTTACTAAGCAAAAACAATCTCATTATCCAGTCATTCTACGACGTATTTTTCTATTTGGGGCAAGATTTATAAGCGAACACAATGGAAAATATATTAGAAAAATTTGGTTTATTTTTAGATTTCATCATCACCAAATATCAAAAAGTATCCAGCATCTTCTTGCAATGAATTACTCAAAGAAGGGATGAGAAAGAGTGGAATTTATGACATCAAACCAGAACGCGAGTTTGAGGCAATCGAGGTAGAATTATCATTTGTTCAATATAATTGATGATTTTGTAGTTCCGAATTGAGCATGCTTCATAAAATTAAGCAAATGTGGAACCTATTGGTCGTTTTGACCAATGGTTATTGTTTTTCAAGGCATTGGGTTTTTGCTGTGAATATTCGCTTATCGCAGTAACTAATGTGAGAATCGACTTTATGGGAACAAGTTTTCATTCCGCATGTAGATACTTCCCCCACGTTTCTCCTCCAATCGCTTTGGCAATATTGGTAGTCAGTTAAAGTTCTACTCTTAGAGTATTGTTCTCTTTTTTTTTCTGACAGGCATATTGTGACATGGAAACAGACGGTGGTGGCTGGACATTGGTTGCTAGCATACATGAGTCAGACATAACAAAGAAATGTGACGACAAAGATCGATGGGCAAATTACAAATCAAGTAGTGAGAGTAAGGATGTAAAAGTAGCCAACAATAGAAAAAAGTGTCGTACATTGTCATACTCAAAGGTCTTTATAATACAAAACTTATTATAGACATCTTGAGAATCATCGAATACATCGAATACATTTGAGAAAACTTTTTTCCATAACTGAATATCATTTTTTAACTTATAGTATTTTGAGAAAATAGTTCTAAACAATATTTTTGTTTTCTCTATTGATCTATTTATTAATTGAATAGTATTTTTATTTACAGAAAATAATAACTGGGAAAACAAAAAATATTCGGAGATGTGCGAAACTGTACAAATGATGACTACAAGAACACCGCTTACTATGCGCTGAATGTGAGTAAACGTATTAGAAATGAGATGCTGTATGAATTGTTCCAAGTCGTTGTTACGTGTTATGTTGAACTAAGTCACAGAGTCGAGGAACTGGTTTATAATAGCTGATAGACTACATTCATGATCGCTGCATTTGGAGTGTCCCACAAGGAAATTTTTTAAACTTAAAGGCTTCATTATTGTAATTGATCATTGAATTATTTTTTTAATAGCTAACGTTTCATATATTTGTAATTTTTAACCCTAGAAATAAGTTTTATATTTCTCTTATAGGCCAAAGATGTCATGATATGGCATGTTGCTTCTAACACCCCACTCGCATCATTAAAAAGTCGAGCACATCTTCGTTACAGAACAAAAAATCATTTTTTACAAAAAGCTGGTGGAAATCTGCAATCTCTGTACTCTGAAAGATATCCTCTTGTTATAGAATCTGGTATTGTAAAGTTTCTTGCGGTGCATATATAGTTATATTCATACCTACTTTGACTTTTTTTTATTAATGTTGCAATGTATTTGAAGGCCCTAGATTAAAGAAAAATAGAAACAGTTTTATTTTGATATATTATACTTTTATAAATTTTTATTTGAACTTTTTGAAATAAAATATTAATGTATTATACCCAGAAAAAGATGAACTTATTGCAATGCAAAGATCACGATCTGTCGTACAAGCATTGAAAAAAAAATCTTCAGCCATTCAAGCAATCATTCCGAACTGGTACACTTATTCGTATGTGCATAGCGGAAATGTAAACAACAATATAGAAAACAGCTTAATGTACAATTCAAATGGAAATTTCGTAAGGCGATATTTTGTATGAAATTAAAATATGTATGACATATCTATTTAAACAGCAAAAATATAAAAGAATAAGGTTTAAACATACAAATAAATTACGTTATTGAGAAGATTCTTTTCAAGTTGGCATTTTTTGATTCATCCTCAGGTACATAATTCAAAATAAATTTTATAGAGAGTTTTTTCTATAACATTGGTAACTATGACTACAACAAATGTGTTTAAAATCATGAAATCATAGAAAAATTACACAACATTTTAGAAAATGACTGAATGGTATTTGGACAATCTTGGCGAAAGGTACGCCAAATAAAGGCAAAAAAAAGTTTATGCCATTCTTATTACACAGTCCCTATCGATTAGTATAACAAGCAAATTAACTTTTATTTCTTCAGATCAACTTTCGAAACTCAAGACAGGGTATTAATCTAAATTACGGTTTCATGCACAACTCGTAAGTCTAAAGTTGTAACTATCACATCGGTTCGAATAGTAATAAATAAATAATTGTATCGTTGATAACTGGATCGCCCATTTGGTCTTATGTAAATTTTAACATTATCATCTATTGGGTCGCATACTTTAAATTTTGCTCGGGTCTTTTAAGCGCCATTTTGCCAAATTCAACGCAAGCAAGCAAGTTTTAAAAAGCCGTGAGTGAGGTTGTTGATCAAACGATTAAGGGAATGGCCATACATAACGGGCTCAGTAATATGGGTGACAAACGTCAAAAATGTGCAAAAAATGTAGTGTTTAAAATGTATTATAATATTAACCTGCTTTGGAAATTATTTAGACCTTACTGGAAGTACAATACGGTATCTACAAGAATGACTCAACCTTTCCTTATGGTAACCGTAATAGCAAACGATAATAAATATAGTGAATATTTTCAGACTGAAGTAAGTAATTTAATTCATAAATATATTGAATAATAGATATTTTCATTGCTTAGATCTTCTCAAAAACTTTCTATTCAACCTATTCAAATAAAAAATATTACAATGATATTATTGAGACTACAATTCTGGATCTCAAAACAAAATCAACGGAAATGTGATCCTCGTAACACTTCAACAATTTCACTAGAACAATACTATTATAATGATAATAATAATTACACAATAATAATCCCGCTTTTAAACAGGTACATTCTAATCGTCGTAGCGTTGACTTTCGAGAGCTCCTTGAAAACAGTATTCAAAGTGGGAATTTCGTGTTACAATATAAGGCTGTGCATGCCTATAATCCATCTTCCGTCACTATCTGCGAACTACATTTTATAATAACTAACACAATTGTGAGTAGCAATTGCGTATATTCGTATTGAATTTGTCAATTAATCGATTTTGAAAATTCAAATAAACTCTCGAATTGATAATGAAAAATTAGAATAACAATTAATGACACATGATGGAATCAATTACTTATTACGTTATATCTTTCACATTACAGAAAAACCTTTACAAGACGTTTTTAGGGATTCAAGGATTAAAAAAAGGCAGTTTACAGTTGAATATTAGTTTGCAATATATCTTTCAAATGCTAACAAAAGATTATTTTTTAATAAATTGTGGCTGTTTGTTCTACAATACCTTGTTTTTTTAATATCGATATTACTAAGGTCTCATTTATCAAGTGAGTGCAAAGTAAAGATCTGAATATAATTATAACACGAAGAAGAGGAGTGATTAGTCGGGTTAACTTAATCTTTAGCAGAGAATTTTTTTGGTAATTAATGTTGATTTTATCAGCTCCTTGGATAAATTTACTTTAAATAGACAGTCGTCGTAATCATTGAATTTTGAATTGAGTAATTAAATTTGGCACGGAAAAAAGTAAAAAATCTGGCATCTAACCATTAGTCTCATGGCGAGCAATATTTACCATAATAATATTTTTATAAAGATATAATCAATAATTTATTGATGATTTCAATTTTTGCAATTTTCATCAAAGAATTCGAGCTATTCAAAATTTAGAAGAGTAAAGTTTTAAACTTTTTAGAACTGGAAATCAACCATTCCAAAATCCTTCAGACGAAGTTACTCAAGAGGATCAAGCAGTAGAATGACAAATCATTTTATAGTAGATGGAAGTCCTAGTAATATTTTGATGGGATACATGCTTCTGACAAGGTTAGCCAATAGAATTGACGATAAGAATAAAGCATTTTTTCATAATTTTCTTACAAATTTTTATTGTCATCAATTTTGGTGATTAACTGAATAAAACTCTAATCTCAATTCAAATTTTGTTTCTAGTATTCCGGAAAAAAACATTACTCTATTGCAACTTAATGAAGTAGCAAACAATATTTTAGAGACTGTTTCGAATCTCAGAAGCCTATTCAATGGTAAATACAAGTTTATTTCACATGTAGAGTAAGCTAAAACTTGATATTTTATCCAATAATGCTGAAACTGCTTTAAAGTAAAATGGTTTTAAAAATACCTCTACCCAAAATCCGTTTAAGAAAATTGAATTGTACAATACAATCTATCATGTATGATGATGTGTATAAATATTATCGTACAATGATCATACCAATTTTGCTGCCAAAATGAATTCTGTATTTGTGATTAATAAAACCAGATCGTATTAATTATCTACAACTTGCAAGAAATTAAAAACTGCATAATTGAGAAAATATTTATGGTTTGAATAAATATCAATTTAGAAAAATCAGAAAATAGTGGATTAGTAACACCAGTCATCTTTGACAAGGGAAATACGAGTGAAATACTTCAAATGATTCCACCAAATTACAGAAACTCAGTTGAACCAGGATATCTTCAATTTCGAGCCTACAATTCTACAGGATATCCGAACGCATTGTGTCCAGGGATAAAGTAAATATTTGCAAAAAAATTAAATTGTCTTTTAATTCTGAAATCTTATCTGTACAATTTATTGCAAATACTGTAATTTTTTAGGAATTTTTGTAAAGACAGTTTTGATTTTCAGTTTTTGAACAGCACGTTAAGTTAGCCAAGTTTTAACTTTAATCTCCACGCATACATAAGTGGGTTATTTAAAATAAAATTTGCTCTATGATTATTCTATTCAGAATGATTTCATACTACTCACAACAGCTTTGCATTGGTGGGGTCTCCGAAGATGTTAGTCAATATGGAACCTGTGGTGACTTTGCAGGTAGTAGTCTATCAAATCTATATTATACAATGCTATCAATATATCAATGAATGAAATAAATGAAAGGAAATTTTTCAAATTCGTTGGGCAAAAACTTTTTGAGTACAAAGACGTCAAAAATACCTAATGTTTCATTTGAAGCCATTAGTTTGATATATAATGAAATTACTTCAAACTACTACAATGATTTCATTATAATTTAGTATCAGTAAGATGATGAAAAATCGAACCAATTTACTTTTTCATTTATTAGGTTGGGCGGGAAAAAAGACTGATGTCATCTATTCAGACGTTGCAATTGGGAATGCACACTCTCAAAAAGACATCTCTTCTGCAATACTGATTTTCTATCGTTGATTCATATTACCACAGATCAAGATTCTAGCCTATACAATTCAGTCACGCTGGCCATGGCAGTTCCTTGTCCTGTAATAATTTCGGGGACATACAATACTACACCTATATAAGTACTATATATGTACATATACCGTATATTAAATTCAAATCGTTACGATCAACACCTATTTCATGGCATCTTTAAAACGATAATGCTCGAGTGACAAGTTTGTTGGAAGTTTTTTGGAATTTACTCGTCGTTTTACAGACATTATTTCTTTTTGAGCATGTATTTGTCTTAATATTCTTAACCTATTTATACTGGTAAACAGTTGCAATTTACACGTGATTGTGAAAATATCCATTACTTACTTTGCTGATGTAACATTCTCTATTGAATTGCATTCATCCTTTATTTTTTCATCTTTGTTCGTCGTCATCTCAATGTTTGAATTGACTGTTTAATAATTAATATGCACAAACAATCCCTAGAAGAAAATCAATATTTTATATGCAATTTCAATTTTATTTGCTTTTGACTACTCGAGGGTTTACGAACAATCCATACACAAGAAGTTGTAATATTATGACCATTAAATAATGTATTAATGGGAATAATAAAATAATACTCCAGTCGAAATTTTTATTGTATCTCGTTCTTATTTATAATAGTATATAATGAATAGAATATTTCAATGTAAAGAGTTCATTTTTCATTACAGTTTTTCATCATTTGTGAATAACTGGCAAATTTAATAATAAAAAATAAACTGAAACCGATTTTTTTCTTTTGATTGGTCGATAGTTTGAATTATGTGCTTATTGATATTACAAACTATTAAATCCATTTTCCGTGAGTGTATGCATGGAATGTATAATCAAGATTTAGCACATTAATAAAGCATATGAACAGAAACAAATATGTGTTTTGTTTGTGCATCACTCAAGTTAAGAATGTAGAAAATTCTATAGGTCAATATATAGGGACTGATTATCGTCGTAAATGTTCATGATTCCCATCAAATCTCAAACTCAAGGACCATATTTGTCACGTTTGCTAGACATTACGTTCTTGAGTTTGCAATCAACAAAACAAAATTATAAAATTTGCACAACAAACCCACGATAAAAAAAGTTGGTAACTTCTCTAATTGCTCATGATTTTCATCATATTGGTCGTCACAGCTTCAAGCAATACATAACAAAATATTTAAATCTAATCTTGATCGTTAGTTGTTATGGCGTTTTAACTCGATTGGTAAGGTCATTGATACGATTATATACCGAGTCATTAAAGAATACTCAACATCAACTATTTCCGCCCTGAGGTCATAAATAGGTCTATTTCGTTGTTTGGGATTATACAATATTTGTAATGACGATTGATCTTAGTTTAATATCTAATCAGCTCACGCCCCCTTCGAAAAATTGCCTACGCCACCTTGTGGCGCTTGCCTCCCCGTTTGAGAACCACCGATCTAATAGATTCAAATTCCTAACGAAAAATATGAAATATACTGAGATATGAATATTTAAATCAAATTTGTTTAATTCTTGTTGATCAACGTAAACGTCACCTATGAATATCTGATTGAAAATAAGTAATTTTTTAACATAACCTGATGTTGGAAACAAGCCGGAAGTTATGTTCGCTTAAATTCTTCTTTTTTAAACATTTAAAGGAACTTGAGAAAGGATGGTTTGATAGTATCTACTATGTGCTGTATTTAACAAGAAGAGGAAAAATGTAGTTCTTCAAATAATCACACCAACTCTAAGATCTTCTGTACTTGATTTATTAGGAAATATAAAAATGTTGCATACATATTCTACATTCATCTTCTGTTGTCTTTCACATATTCCCAAAAGTAAAAGAATTCTAAATTAGTGTTTAATTTACTATTTCAATCAATAATCAGATCATTTCTAAAATCATGCGATTTATAAATACTGCTTTCTAACATTGAATAGGAGTCATCGTAAACATAACTCAATGAGCAACAAAATCACACAGCGTTAATATGTAAGTTTCATATATAAAATACCCGTACTTAAATTTTCCCATGTATGTACAGTCATTCTGAACTGCGAACAAAAACGGTCAACATACGGCCATAGCAGTACGAGTCGTTATGTACCAAAATGAGAGTAATATCTGAAGGTAAATGGTTCATTAGCAACCTGAGTGCTAATTTCAGACAGAGAATTTATTCATTGTTCTAAATTTGACATAACTGCACTACGTAAGCTACTTTAACATAACACCTTTTACATATTCTAACACATAACTTTCTAAACTGAATAATCAGCGGCGGTACGAGTTATCCATTTACTGCGGTAACCAAAACAAATAAAAAGAATGGGTTCATTGACTATCCCGTCATCCCAAAAATGGATTTTCAACGGTTCTCTGATGCTCATCACTGTATATTGTCAACTTCAAATTAAACTTTTTTCGTCAAAATATTCAAGATATAGTTCGATTTATTGCGCTCGATTGAAAATTGTTATTTGTAGTTTCACATGTTTGAGATTAGGGTTAGGTCATAATTTTATTCCGATTTTCCTTATTTTAGTTCTATTACGAGTTCGGGAACTATCTGTGTCAGCCAAGGCAATATACATCCTGCCCATAGGTTTCATTCCCTTACAAAACTTGATGTAAAATATGCGAACAAAATTAGTTACCTCAATATTGGTACACACACTTCTAGAGCGTCAGAATTGTATTGTTAATATCTGATATTCATATCTAACAATCTTTTGACTTTTGATTTGATTACTATTTTGATAAAATACACTGATGCTTTACATTCTTCAATATGTTTTATTATAATAATACAGCCATGAAAAAGTCTTTGTCCAATATATTAAAAAAAAAAATGAAACGTCAAAAAGCCGTATAGCGCACGTGAAACCTAATCGGTAAATAACAGGAAATACTCGGTAAATATCAGGAAATTGCAATAGGAAAAACTATTAGGTATTTAAATAGAACTATATTGTGAACATTTTAACAGTATCCGCTTTGTGCAGGATCAGGAATAAATTTGTAAATGTGTTGCTGAGTAAGTATACTACCAAAACTAAGTATTCAAATAATGATTAAACATAATAGGTATTTGACGATTGGGAATTTCAAACACAAATTTTGAGTAAAAGGATAAAATCGTAATCTAAAGCAACGAGTAATGTTTCATAGTAATGGTCAGTACTGAATATATATAAATTATAAATATATTATAAATTTATATGAAGAAAAGGATGAAAGGATAAAATGGACAAACTAAAAACTAAAAAATTAGGTTCATAAATGTTATGGACTACCATGCAATATTGTTTCAGATTTTAAACAAATTGGATTTTTGCCTCAAAATCACGACATTAACACTACTTAACATTAATGGTATTGGAGCTAGATTCGGCAATATTGTATCTTATTCTGTGAAAAGATTAAATTTATATTTAATCAAATGAAAACAAAATTCCAATAAATAGAGAACATGAAATATGAAATAGATATTCACATTTTACTGAATTAGAATAGTGTGTGCAAAATTTTCATTTGATTGCACACTTGTAGTATTTATTATATTCAAACAAAATAATAATAGCATTACTCATGATTAATAGACCTTAGTTATTCGAAATCCACTCCACGTCCATAACAATAAATGAGGCTTTCTGCTCTGGTGAACACAGTCCTCGTAAAAGCTAATGTTAAAATTGTTTTCTGTATGCCATTTTTAATTTGTTCGCGTGGGATTGGTTTTAAATGACTTTTAGGTCTATTGCAGACCAGCATTGGCAAACAGTTTATGACAAAAATTAAAATTGATGGAAACATTTTAGGGCAACATCTTAATTCGTTGAGCCTAATCCGTATTGAATAGGTAGGTAATCAAATATATGGTTCTTCTGGATAAATCGATGTATGTTAATATAATTATTTTTATCCATCTAACTTGCTAAGTTGATATTAGGGTGTTAAATTTTCATTACTAGCATTTTAAATTTTGTCTTGAGAAAATCTTGATTAGTGTCCACATATCTTAGCGATAGAATATCAGGATTGTGGAAGAAATGTCTTTTTGTGAGTGTGCATTTCCACTTGCAACTTCCAGATAAATGACGTCATTCTTTTTTCCCGCCCAACCTAACAAATGTGAAAATAACATAGTTTTAATAATTGTTTCAGTTTCATACTATTATGTTATATATAGTGAATGTAATTGCTTCAAGCAATCTGTATCCAAAAGTGTGTGTACCAATATAGAGGTAAATAATTTTGTTCGCCTATTTTATATCAAGTTGTTTAAAGAAATTGAAACTTATGGACAGGGAGTATATTCACTTGGCTAACACAGACAGTCTCCGAACTCCTAATAGAACTAAAATAAAGAAAATCGGAATAACATTATGGCATAACCTCAATCTGGTACACACACTAGGAATACCCTTTCTAGTAATAATATAGTAGCAGGAAATATGTTGATACTAAATTTATGTAGTAATTTTAGTTATTGAGTTTGTGTCCTCGACATAATACTGGTATCTGTAATGATTCGATGTGATATATATAACATTAATAAATGAATACCAGCAAAGTCACCGCATGTCCCATGTTCTTCCGCGTCGTCGGAAACTCCACCAATGCAAACCTGTTGTGAATTGTATAAAATCACTCTGAATAGAATGAGATGGGTATGATTAAATTGTTTTAAAGTAATATCAACTGTATCATATGTTGGCAAAAGTAAAAAATTAAGTAATTCAACATGTTAGGCAGCATTAAAAATTAAAAATATTATAAATAAATATTCTAAAGATCTTCTAGAAATTTAATGAGTAAGAGGGTCTGGATTTTTCACAATAGCAAATTATAAATTTTTGATTTGGTATTTTTACGAATGTGGCGTAAATGAAAACAATAAGAAATTTAGCAATAATGTTATGCAAGTTTTAGATGATAGAAAAATTCAATTAAATTCTTGATATTAATTTACAATAAAAATATGCAAATTTAATTTATGTAAAAATGATACTTGATTCCTGGACACAATGCGTTTGGATATCCTGTAGAATTGTAAGCTCGGAATTGCAGCTATCCTGGTTCAACTGATGTTCTGTAGTTTGGAGGTATCATTTGAAGTATTTCACTCTTATTTCTTTTGTCAAAGATGACTGGTGTCACTAATCCGCAACTTTCTGAATTTTCTAAATGGATATCAATAATGTAATTTACTCAAAGTGTCCTAGTTTTTGATTGCTTGCTGCACGTATAAAAATATTATTATAATATATAACGATATTATTCGCAAATAGAAATGTACATATTCACATGTTAGATTTCAATGCATGGATTGTCTATTCTAAACCGAAGGTGTGCAACAGACCGCGAGTCACTCGTCAAAACATTTGGTGTGGCCCTTGTCAAAATCAGACTTTAATCCATCAAGCATAAAATTCTAATCCGCCAGTTTAATTTTAAAAAGACGCCCACATAAGTGAAAATACATAATATTTTTTGATCTTGTTGCTGTGGTAAATCTTTTACAGTTTTGTCCGATGCCTTCATTCTTTTAAGGCTAATCAATAGCCGCATTCCGCATATTTTCGTGGTT